ACTTCTTATCACTGGCCTGATGCGCAAAATTGGCTAAAACGAAGCAGTCAATGTGGTATGGCTTCCTGAGGAAACCGTCCGGTGTTTGGTCTGAAAGGACAATCTTCTCGTAGGCTTGGTAAGCTGTTCCTTGTACTTATTGCATGGCCGTATGTCATACTGACACGCGCGCCCTTCAGGACATCTATTAGTGTGCCGAACATAGATCAACGGCAAGCAAAGGAGTAAGCAGGTCGGACGTGTCGGCTTAATTCCTTCAGCTTACCAGTATACCAAGTCCGCTTTCAGGCTTGTATGTGCTGTCGTGGCATGTCATGGTCGCCCCTCCCGGCATTCTCTAACCGTTGCAGGGCTCCTCGCCTTAGGACATCGCTATCGGAAAACTTCATTCCACGGGCTCGAGCTTCCACTTATGGACCGGCGCAGGTTGCACGCGCTCAATAGCACAAGATCTTCCCTCTTCTTCCATTCGGTGCAGAGACGCTCAGGATGGATTTCCGGCGTTGACCGTCCTTGACCAGGTAAGCTCCGCCGTTCACGTTACATTCTTGACGCTTCATGGATAGCTTACAAACGAAGTCAATCAAGCTAGTAAGCAGACGCGGCTTCTTTGCCAGAGTGGAACCATTACGCAATCCGATCCCATTCAAGTTGCAAACTCTTACCAAACCTCCGCTCGATGATTCGCTACGTACGGAAGTCCAATCCACCATGGCCGGTGCGTTCCCCTCTGTACTACCAATCGAGACGAAGCGCACGAGCCATGAGCACACTGTTCGGTTCCCATAGCAAAATGGACGCTTGCTCGGGATAGCACGTATGGTGACTCAGGCTCGCTGTTGTCCCTGGTGCAGACCGCAGCGGACTCGCCGTCCCGAGACACATGCTATGTCCGCTTGGGACGTCAGTGCGGCACCGCGCGCGCACAGACATCGTGATATCTTTCTCCTCAGGCCTCGGGACCGTCCCCTACTCTGCGGACCCGCTACTGCGCACGCGCGCGATGGTCACCCCATCGTCCGGCCTCGCGCCGCCGTCTGTGCGCTACACAGCGCCGCCGCAGGCCTGCGTCACCCAATTGTGAAAGCGAAAGGGCCAGCTATGCCAGCGAGCACCGCCTGGAGCCTGCGGTGGGCTGCGGGGCTGCCCAGGATTACATCCTTGGGCTTCCCTGCAGCCCGCGGATAGATCAGCTGGGCACGTTCCGCCGAGGCGCACGATCGATGCTAGGTAGCTTACATACTCTGGGATCCAGGGGCAAGAGTTGCGGTGAACGGGTGAAGGGCTCGTAGCGGGAGCGCCGTGAGACTGAGTCACCCTGGGCCGGGAGGACCGCGTCATGCTGGCTGAGTACCGGGACAGCAGCAGAACAATTGCTTGGGCTTGGTACCGGGACAGCAGCAGAACAATTGCTTGGGCTTGGTACGACACTGCAGGAGCTTGTCGCCCAAGCCAGCCGGATTTGGTGTCCTTGAATAGCAGCTGCGTCGAAGTTTCCGATCACTGGATACACATATGCTACATGGCGGTGCCATGCGACTCGGGCTTGCCCACACCGCTCAATGTTTCGTTTTCATGTACTCCACGCGACCTCCCTAGCGACTTTGGCTTATCGGATCATGGTTGCACAGAGAGGCATCATGGATACGCCTCGCGCGAGTACGTCGACCTGGGACGCTGCGCAAGGGCAACGGTCGGGCTGACTGCTCGGCGTTCCGACGCTCGTCTTGTGCCCGGTCTCTGAGGTCGCAACTCTTCTGCGCGCCGTTCATTCTGTCTTGTTACCAAGAACATGGTTAACAGTTGCCACTCTAGCATTATATATCGTGCAAGTCCCAGTTTATGTTCAAATGTCGCGATTGAATGTTGATAATACTGCACAGGTATACCGCGTTACTGCCAGGATCCCTCGATTCGAGGCTCTTTATATACATCTCAGAAGGTCATTTGGCTATGCAGACGCTACTGCAGCCGTGTGTCCTGCCGTGCGGGGATCAAGCCGCACTTGCTCGGGTCTGGGTGAGTCGTCCTCCTGCGCGCTGACTGTCAGCGCGCAATATATGTACTGGTGTTATTCAAATCGACTGTTCCGTTGTGACCCAAGCTCTTCCAGTGTCGTACAAGCTACCACATGACAACGGTGATGCCGTGGAATGCAGAGCGCACACTTCGTTATAGAGGGATCTCGATGCGCGCCTGCCTTGGTTTACTCCAGTTGACCGAACAGTCCATGCCCCCTTTCATTCGAACGCCCGTCGTCTCGCCCATAGTCGCCAGGAGTATCATCCTGACATCATCTTAACCCCCAGGAAGCAAAACTATGGGGATCTGAGCACCCGTGAAACCCTGAATCTTCCCTAGGGGCGGGTGCTCTCCCTTCGGCCACTTGATGGCAACAGATACACATCGTACAAACTACGACTTGACAGACCTCAAGGAACACAGCCGCACGCGCAACCGCACCTCCATCAACGGCAGCACGTAAAAAGCATCCGGTCTCTCGCTGGACGTGTATGGCACGACCACAAATACCGACGCTGGCACGAGCGCATCACGACCGAGGCGCAGCGGGAGCCGCCGAGTGCTTGTCCGCAGCCGTCATCCCTTCGAAGAGTCCGACGCGACCACTCGGCCTGTGCGCCGTTGCGACCGACATTTGCGTATCCGCAGCGACGCAGTTACGCCGCAGATGTGGTTAGCGCTACGACCGTCGGGACGTCTATCGAGAAGGTCGTCCGCGCGCAGGTGGCATGCAGTGCCCTTGACTCCCACTAGGATGGCGGCAGGGGTAACTTCGCCCCTCGTCGCGCAGATGGTATTTTGGTCGGCGGTAAGTGCTGGGGACGGTGTCTCTGGCGCAACAACTTGTAGTGTTTACTTTGACATGCCAAATTGTCGTATGACCTGTTCTCAACTTGGCCGTGAAATGCAACATAAGGAGTGATGATCCCCGCTTGTTGGCGGTCATTCTTACGTCTTGCTGAGGGCCCTGATCCCGCCTGTTCTCATGCAGCCTAGCTGCTGGCTAGATCCACACTCGTAGGCCTCAAACTCTTCCACTCGCACTTCACAAGCTTCGCCATTTCCAGATGCAGACGTGCACGATCCTTTAGCGTCTCATCGCGCCCATCGGTATCTATGAAGCGCTGCCGGCATAGTTGTCTCTTCTGTGCAAGTGCCTGAGAAAAGGAAGGCTGTTGACGTCCCTCTTTGACTATTCGATGCTACATAGTCGCAACCCCAAACCTTCCGCGAGACGTTTCCTGAAGGCGTTGGCGTGTCCCTGTCAGCGGCCCGCGGATTTATTGCGCGTGGAGGTCGATATGCCTCAAGAGGGGCAAGTGCACCCTGCGTTCGTCCACCTTCCTGCACTTACGTGAAACTCTCATGAACAGACCGATCTCTTTCGCCCATGCCGTGTATATATTGTACGCTCACGGCATCCGTCCGTCTCGCCCTTCCCCGAGCACTCTCCGGAAGTCAATATACACGTGTGTGCGAAAACGTACCGACGGGGAGGCTCGCGTCGCATTGGGCTTCGCGCTGCCGTGAGCTGAAGGAGCGTTCCCAGGAAGGCTAGAAACCACACGTCAACGCCGTACGTAGCACGTCGCCGTTTTGGCAAGGCCGCTTATCGTCGCGGCCTCGACCGTTGCTCGCCGAGCACCTTCTTGGACGGTAGCTTCTGCCATGGGTGCTGATGCCCCGGGCACTATGCGGTCGCGGCGATCCCGATGAGTTTAATAGATGACGATCACGCACATAGGCCTGCCCAAACCGGGCGTGCTGGATCCCGCGACGCACTGGCACCAGACCCGCGAGCCAGCCCGTGCGAGGCCACCGTCCCCGTCGACACGCCCGCACTGCGTCGCGGCCGGCATGGCGTCACGGACGCCAAACTGTATAGTGTGCGCCCGGGGCGCGCTGTTATCACCTCTTCGTATAGACTCCGTGCGTCCGTGCCTGCCCTGGAACCGGGCGGTTCCCATCTTCGGACGCGGGGGCACAGGAGATCTGCCTTCTAGGTCAAGAGCCTCCCCCCGTCCCCTTGGTCATGGGACGCCGCCGGACATGTGGCAGCCGTCCTCGGGCTGCGCGCGCTGCGGGGCCTGAGGGGCTTATCCGGAATAGCCTTGCTCTTGCTCCATTTGCGCCTCCCAGCCCGCGCCCGAGCTGCGCCGCGCCAGCAGCGTCGCGCAGAGGCAACTCGGTGACCAAATGAGCGGCCTAACGGCGCGCTGCTAGCGCACCGTCCGCCACAGACCACCTTTACGACACAGCGGCCCCCTCTGAGTCGCGTCCGACTCGGCGGGGCCCGCGGTCCCAGAGTCGGACACCTTCGCGGAGCACCGGGTGCGCTGGGGCGCTGCCACACTCACGGCGGGCTGTCAGGCTCTCGACACGTCGGGCAGGCCTGTGTAAGAATCCGAAGCGTTTCAGAAGGACGGCCGCGCACCAGAACCCGGTCCTAAAGTTTACTGCAGCCTGATAGAAAACGATCAGAACCGGCGGGGAAAGGACACACCACCTCGAGAATGCGGCCCGGGCCTCTTCTGATACAGTGTCGCACTGTCCACCGAGGGCGCGCGGCCGAGTCAGACAGAGCTGCTGCTTGGCTGCTGCTGGTCCTTGCTCCGCCCCGGATTGGGAAGGAGTGCGAAGGGTCGCCGTGCAGTGGGAACACACGCCGAATCTGTCGTCGGAGAATCACAATCAAGAGCCTACTGCCCGTCCGCGCCCCGCGACCGTGACGGGCAGCGCCTAGCCTGCGCACTGGGTGGGGAGCACGGATATCGATGGGGCCGCGTCGGCGCGCGCTGCCTGCATACAATAGACTAGACGCTATTCCTGGGTGAGCACGCCCTGCGGTTCCTCGCGGAAGGACGCACCTCGCCGGAGCCACATGTTACGAGGCGTTCTGGGGGAAGGGGAACGAACGCACCAGGAATGTATGTTGTTACGTCCTGCGCCTGCGAGCGCGGGGCAGGCCCTGGGACGACGGCTCGGAGAAGATGGATATCCAATCTAGTACTAATCGTACAGCCAACGCCGCTACCGCGGCGCACTCTAACTTACACACGCCGCCGCCCGCAGCGTGCCATCGATCCAGGGCGAGGGAACAGACAGAACTGAGAACACAGAAGGAGAAAGAGGAAAGAAACTCTAGAGGATGAGAACATCCAGGTCGTTATCCCGCATCACCGCGCGCCAGTCCGCCCGGGGGTGGTTCGTGTCCAATCGCTGCCAGACCTGTAGGTTAGGATTAACGTCAGGAATACGTCAAACACTGAACGCTGTGGTGCGGCACGCGCGCGCAACGTGCCACGCGCAGCATGCACAGTGCGTACCTGCAGCACGATAGACTCGGACGTCTCGATCTCGTAGCAACCTAGAAAGCAGAGCGATTGATGAGCGTGCTTGAAGCATGAGTGACCTGGGGCGGGCGGCTGCCAGTGGGGTGGATCAGACGCTCACATTGTTTCCTGCATAATTGAATGGGTGGATCATCGGGCCGGGGGAGCGATGCCAGGAGAGGTCAGGCTCAGTTCAGCGACTTCGGCGGAATGATGACGAGGAGCGGGGAACCTGTTTCATACCTGAACAGCTCGAAGATTGACAGGACCCGTGGACGCTCCGCCCCGAAGAGCTGGGAGCCCGCTATTATGACGGGCCAAGTGAGACTGCGCGCCGCGTCGGTGAGCCAACGACGTTCCTGGGCGCACTGTAGCGAGAGAGATAGCGGGACACTCACTCGACGCCCATGCCCTTCTGGCCGCACTCGAGGCAGAGCGCGAGGATGGCGGCGGCGTGGTCCTGGACGAGCGCGTCCGCGGGCGGCACGTTCAGCACGTCCCGCAGGAGGATGATCTATGCGCCGACGGGACATCATTCACTCTAACCGCCCTCGACAAGAACCTCCGAACGAACGACTGACCTGCGCGGCGTGCTGATAGACGCAGTTCCCAATCTGCACGCGCTGGTGCAGCAGCCCTGCGGCGCTCCGCCAGCCTTCGAGGGCCCGGTACAGCTCCCGCGCCTCGCGCGCCTGCGCATCTGGGGCGGCGGCGGCCACCTTCCCGTCCTCCGATACCTCGGCGACAGAGGCAGTTGGGGGATTGAGCACCTGCGCAACGAGCGTCGCAACCTGGCGTGGGGCACGCATGATGCATGAGCAACCTACGTCCGCGCGACACGGAGAGTGGGGGCCTGAATGGACGAGGGGCAGGGGCTGACCTGGGCGAGCAGCAGCAGGAACTCCCTCGACATGCCGAACACCTTGTCGCTATACGACACGTTGTCCTCGGCGTTCGTCTTCGTCATCCTACAGGCGCCCTCTCGTCAGAAGATCTGCCGAAGCAACGGGGGGAAAACAGACGGACCACCAGCAGTCGATGTTCAGCAGGCTCGGCGCCTGCCCGCGCGCGAGGCACCCTGCGGAGAGGCGTTATTCAGAGCGCGGATGGGGCGGCGGGCACGGCGAGGAAGCGCGTACCGAAGAGCTCATACACGGCGACGATCTCCAGGAGCAGTCTCGCGCGACACACGCCGGTAACGGTGTTCGGCCGGTGCCCTTTGCTGCGCGCGAGCAGGAGCCCGGGCCCGCCGCGTGTCCGGACGAGGTTCTTCGCGAACCCCAGGCTCTTGGACCAGCGCCGTCCGCAGGTGAAGATCTGTGCCGAGACCCGTGCCCGCTGTCACCGACCGCACACGCATCAGGGGGAGCGAGGAAGGGCGCGACTCACGTCGATGAGGGCGATCGTGACCGCGGCGGCGAGCGCGGCGTCGTTGTGGCAGCCTTCGGACGTGCCGCACGCGGAGACGAGGAGGTGCTCCGACTTCGCGCGGAACGACTCGGCGACCCGGAGGGCCTCTTCCGCGGCCTGCTGGGACACACCGTTGCGCGAGAGCAGGAAGGACTGGTGCACGGCGGCGACGCCGAGCAGCGCGGAGCGCAGCGACTCGACCGCCGAGTCCGACCCGCGCACACCGTCGAACAGGAATTGGAAGTTAGCGGCCAGGACCGGGTTCTCAGACGGGTAGGCCATTATGATGCTCAGCGCATTGTCGCAGTAATGACGGATCTTGGGGGGCAAAACAAGACTCATTCATTGATATCTAAGGTGATGCGTAGTATGCGAAGAAGACCCCACCAGGTTTCTCTCCTGATGCGTCGGGAACTGCGGCGGCGACGGGGAGCGCTGTTTAGATGCGTGCCATGGTTCTGGCATGGGGACGGAACTCACGTAGGGCTCGATGGGGTCGACGGGCGTCAGGAGTTGCGGCGAAGACCACTGCGACTGGGGGGACGCGCTTTCCGTGCCGCCGCGGACCTGGGAGCCGTCTTGGTGGGCGATGATGCGAGGCAGAGGCGTAGACTGAGACTGGGAGTAGTGGTGGTGCTGGTGTTGGTGTTGGTGGTGGTGTGCAGCAGTGGAATAGCCGTGGACGTAGTGCGGTTGACTGGTATAAGATGAAGCAAGTTCAGGGATAGCAGGGAGAGCGTGGGTATTATTCGAATGCATAGGGTATCCATGAGAAGACGTTGAAATTGGAGACACGCTTGAACATATGAAAGTTAATATCGCGAGCGTCTGCCAGAGGCGTCAGAACAACATACCCTTGGCGGCGGCCATCATTCATGACGACGGGCATGTTGACGTTAGGATCACTGCTCGCGACGTAACATCAGCCCTGCCCCACACATTGCAAAACCGAGCGAGTAGTATGACGGACCTGTGGCGCCGAGAGACCATGGGCGGGATGCCCATCTCTAGGGGCTCTCGTTTCGGGGGGGAGGGGCCACGGGTTGGGGGAGTTGCTGCCTCGGACACACCGGATGACCCTGCCGTAGAAGGGCGCGTGTCCGAGCCGTCCATGGGGGACGGAGGCTCCCGCTTCGGCGTGGGCTTTTTGCGGGTAGGGACGCCTTCCGGCCACGTACACTGTGCGCGTTACGTCAGAGGGCATTCGCGGGGGAAGTAGCACACGGGGTGCACGTACCTCGCGCTGGCCGTGGCTGCAGCGCAGACAGGTGGGCTTCGTCTCGTCGCACTGGCGGGGGGAGTCAGCCCTGCACGGGCGGGCGCCTCTGAAACCGAACACACCTTGATCTTCTTGCCACGGCATGTAAGGCAGCCCGTCTTGCTGCGGGTGTACTTGGGCCGCTTGCGCTGGGCGGCGGTGTCTTGCTGCTGCTGTCGCATCGAGTTGGGGCCAGCAGCGACGACGTGCATGTGGGCGGTGCTGGTGTGCATGCCGGAGTTGTAGTACGCGTTCGGAACATAGTGATGGGTGGGGGTGGTACTGGTGCGCGTATGACGGTGAGACATGCCTGGCATGGCGCACGCCGGGGGCGGGGACTCACTAGTGCAGACTGTCGGCCATGACGGGGTATGGATGGGGAGGCGAGTCGAAATGACGAGGGTAGGGATGGGGAACGTCCATGGCTTAAAAACGAAATGGGTGCAAGTGGAGGAAAGTGTGTCAAGAAAAGGAGGTGTGCTGTTGATTGTTGTTGCGGATCACTTCATATCGGGCATCGAGCCCGATTCGAGATCTCGTTGTCGTTGCAGTCGCATGTCCCAACGCCGTCACGGAAGAATTCGGTCGGCTAAAGATTATATTCGCCTTTTTCCAGCGATTTCCCGCTTTCCCGCTTTCCGCCCTTGTTTGAAACGTGCCGGTTCTCCGGTCGCAACGGCTCCAACGCCCTCTGTGCTAGTCGTTGCGGCGGGCGCATCGATGTCCCTGCCGGTGTGCAGCACGCATTGTGGGCGGGCGTCCCGTCGAGCACGGCGGACGCGACGAACAATCAAGGCCGACGGGCCAAACGCGGGGCGCAATGGGGGTCGTGCGATGGGCTGATGAGCGATCTGCGTCTGCGTCTGGGGCGCGGAGGCCGGCCAAGCCCATGGACGAGCGGCGGATAATCCCTGTCCGCCGCCCAAGGCTGCTTGAAGCCTAATTTAGGGTTACACGCCTCTGATCGCACGGTGTCACTCTCATTCCCCACTGGCTGCTCATCGAGTGCGCTCCCCGTCCCCTGCACGCCTCGCCCCGGCCAGCCAGCAGCGTCGTCCAGCACCCTGCAATATCCCGCAGAATATTCGCGCACCCGCGAGCCTCCCTCCCTGCCCGGCGTTTGCGCCGTGCACCCTCCGGATCATCACACCTGTGCAGGGCAGAGATCCTAGCTCACTGGGATCCGTGGGCAATTCCCTTTGATAGCTAAATGCATAACGTACGCCAGAAGGGCCCACCGGGACATCCCAGAGAGCCCGCGCATGTGCCCCAGGAAAGACGATTATCTCCACCGTTCCCACGCAATCTCTCCTCCTCCCCATCATCCCTTTTCTTTAGCTCCTTCCACGCCCCAAGCTCCTGCCACATGTGTTGTGCTCACGTCTGATTTCATTATGTTGACATATCATATGAGGATGTAGGTCCATCCCTAGCGCCCCGCGCCCCGCGTGCCCTCCATTATCCTCAGCCAGCCCGCCCGCGCACCCTCCCAGTCAGCCCTCGCGAGTCCCCGCTCGAGCACGTCCGTCGTGCTTTGTGCCTTCGCGAGCCCTGCGCGAAGGGCGCGATTGCAATCTAAGGCCCTGTCCCTTGCGTCTCAATTGGCATTGTGCGAAAGTTTTCAGTCTCTTCTGATGACCCGGCCTGCTGGAGTCCAAATGACACCTTGCCAAAACCTCTCACCACCTTCTCGACCCAAGTACCTCATAGATGCAGGGTCATCAGCGTGCGGGCCCCCTGCGTGACAGACCCTGACTAATTATGGGTGCGATAACGCCCGCCCGTCTCGCGGCCGGCGAAATCCCTTTCCCGCCCTCCCGTCCGGAGAGCCCTCCCCCCACCCGGCCGGGCGGGCTGCTGCTGCTTCGTGGAAATAAACGCTGCGAGGGATCCATCACCGCGTGCCCGCCTTGCGCCACAAAGCTCTTCGATGCAGAATTGGGAGCCTCGTCGAAGCTGCGTCTTCGCGACGACCGTGCTCCAGCACGGCCCAGCGGTCATGCGGCGATACGTACAGCCAGCACTGGCAGCTGGGGCCCGCAGCAGAAGCAACACGCCCGCATTCGACGCTCCCCCCGCCGCCGCAAGACGTCAAAAGTGCCCGGTTCCACGCGAAGCGCGACTACGACCACTGCGGGTTACGACAGCACCGGGCACGCCCGCACCAGGTGGGCGATGTGGTACAACCACCGCCGCGGGCTGTCAGCCGGCCTACAGATAGCTCGACGCGTCACGTAAATCCCTGATTCCCAGCTGCTTCCCAGGGCCCCCACTGGCATCAGAACGCGGCGCGGTTTGCACGGCCGCTGAGTGGGCGAGTCGGGTACGGCGCGCCCGTCCTGGGACGCGCGAAGCCGCAGGAAGGGGCAGAAGGCCACACGCCCGCGGCCGGGCATGCGCGCACACAGCCGGCCCTCGTGGCGCGACGCTGTTGCTTCTTGCTTCGCGGGGCTTGCCGGGCGTGCATACGGCTCGAGGTGGACAAAAGCAGCGCGGGGACTCGCAGTGCGCGACATTACCATTCAATGCGCAGGATGATGCAGATGATGCAACAGCGTTCGGCGGACGTTTCTCGACGCCGTGGATATGTGGCCAGCTGACGGCGAGGAATGTGGAATGCAGATAGCAGCAGGTGCCCCCGCCGCTCCAGATAGGCTCTGGGTGGGGGGCCCCCGTTCTGTGCAGCCCGGGGGCCCGATTAGCTGTGTATGGCGAAAGGCCTGAAACGGTGATGGACGTTACCATCCCTCGCAGGCCTTCTGTGCGACATCCCGATCCCGGCGTCGGGCGCGTGGCCTCGCAGCACCGGACGCAGAGGATGGAAGACCGCCGGGGTTCGCGTTCGCACTGGGGGTGTTCGTCTCCGTGGCTCCTCCTCGCCCCCGCACAAGGGCTTCCCTGCTCCCGCGTCTGGCATCGCAAGGCACCGCTGGCGGCAGCCCGTGGGTACCCGCCAGTGGGGACGTGTGGAAGGGAAGCACCGCTGCTGCCTGAGCCTGCGCCTCTCTCGATGACATTAGCTAGCCGGTGTGTTGACGCGTGTCGGCAGTGGGCATCCTGTGGGACTCACTCGGCGCACACATCGCGCGACGGTGTGTGCACTTGTGCGCTCCGGCGGGTACCTTGCGCCAGCCCGGCGGACGCGAGCTCGAGCTCGGACGGAGAGCAATTCGGAGTGCCCTCTGCCAACTCCGACAAACCTGGGTCCGCCTCGCGCCATGTTCCCCGACGCACCTCGACGACCTCGCGGCTCGCGCTCCGAGGAGCTGCGGATCAGAGGGCGTCGGGCGTATGCGAGCGCTGCCCGCCACGGCGGGGTCGGGTATCAGCAGCAGGGATGGCGATGACGGGGGGACGCAAACGAGTCGGGCCCAAACGTTCGCGGGAGTAACGGCAAGCGAGCGGGATAGGCGGCGCAGTTTAGAGCCCGCGCAGAGGTTCGCTGACTGTGAAGAATCACCAACGCGCACTTCGGTCCGCGTCGATCCGGCTCGCAGCCGTCGCGTACGCTGTCAGCCCCGGCGATGCCCAGTCCCGCCGCGTCGGCGCACTCCTCCAGCACCGCGAGCAGCGAGCGCGAGTTGTAAGTACAATGTGCATGGAGGGCAGGTCGCCGTGTCCCCGACGGGCAGATGGGCGCTGATGCGCCCTCGAAACCCGCGGCCGGCATCCCACGACGCATCGGGCGGCGGGCAAAAGGCCGCTCCCGCATCACGTCCTCTAGAAGTCCCACGTCGAGACAACAACAGGTGCGCCGTCACTGGCTAGCGCTGTGCGCAATTTTTTAGGGACAGCAATGGGCATTGGGCAGGCCACGGTCGCTGCTGCGTCCCGCCACGGCGTCGCATCACTCCCTCTTACCGCCGAGTGTGCCGACGCCGTCGCTGCCAGTGCATCTTCTTCGCTTTTGTCGCTGTGGGAGCCGCCGCGCCGCTGGTGAAACGGCTCCCAGGGTGCTGTTTGTGGGCGCACGGAGCGGTGCGCGGCGAGCATGCATGCTCATGATGCTGGGCATGGCCCCCGTGCGACGCGCGCCGGGTGGTCGCGCGGTGACGACGAGTGGGTGGCAGATGGGCGCTGGTGTTAGTGGATCATCGGGCGTGGACGTGCATCTCGGGCCCTGTTCGCGGCACGGAATGAGTAACCTTCCGTGCTTGCTTGTGATGGGAGCATCGTATCAAAGTACAAAGTGCACAAGGGGGTGCCTATCATTGGCAAGACGGCCCAGGTCGTGCTGCGTCGCTAAGGCCTGGGGATCTGCACCTGGGAAGTGTTTATAACATGCTCGAGGACATTCACCGGCCTGCAGCGAGATACAATTGTATGTGCTGCAGGGGTTCGACACAGCGAGAATGTTCTCCTTGCTGCTGCATTATCGATCGTAACGTCTTCGGCGGTAATCCTTGCAGGGGAGGAACTAAGCAGCCGACGTGTCGCTGAAGGACGTAAGAGCACGTCTTCTGGGCCTCTCCTGCCAATGTCGGCCCACGTCAGACCTCTTCAAGTCCGCCTAGCACCCGGGCGCGACCTAAGATTACCTGGCCGACCGGGGGCGTCCTGCGAACACAGTGCGCCTTGTCCACGCACCCTGCCTTCGTTCTCGTAAACCAGGACACGCCGCTATGGCGCGACGTCAAGCTCGAGTCTAAGAATGAACTCTGCGCCAGGGTCGCGTCCGCCCGCTCTCCACCGGAATCCCGGCCGCCACGGCATCCACTGCGTTCTGCTCGGCCACCGAGCCAGCCCCATGCATCGACTGTATGGTACGCAGTAACCGCATGGGGCGTAGCTGCCGCTGAAATTGACAACGCCCGGGCATCAACTAGGCCTCTCGTACACACCGACGCGGCAAGCCCATGATGCTGTCAGAGTCTCCCTGGCTCTGCGCCAGAGCGCCCTCCGACGCGCCAGGTGATCATCTCAGCGAGCCTCGTTCCCCAACGCTTCACGGGCTGATGGCGCACAATAATACGACAGGGCCCGTCCAGCTGCCCGAGCGCGCACTAGCCGTGTCTCCCCGCAATTGAGCGTAACGAGATGCCGCATCTTGGGCGGTACGCCCGAATCTGCCTCCCGCGACGTGCGCTACCCCCTCGGGCAAACCCGCGCTGGGCGCTGGCCTCGCTGACCCCATCGCGGACTCGGAGGAAGATGGCAGTGACGCGACGCGCTATATCACCGTTGGACGTTCGCGCGCCGGACCGCTACGTTTAGAGCTGGCGCAGAGAGCAGCGGCGGCCTTCTAGGTCGCTGGGTCGAATGATCATCTTTGATCGCCCACGTCTGGTTGCGCGCCATGCCGCAGTTTAGAGTAAATGCGTCCCACGAGCAGGCGCCGTCGACGCGTTCTCCTGCGCGAGCGCAGATCGCTCGTCACCTCCATCGAGGTGGCCCGCACACCTGAGTTCTCGGGCGGTGCGGGCCAGTGCTCTGCAGGAAAATTTGGAAGGAGGAGCACGTCCGAGCCCGATACCGGCGGAGCACGTACCTCGATGCACCAGACGATGGTACCTCAGGGATGAGGTGGTCTGTGCTGATCCGAATACTGTCCGCGCGACGTGGTGTTGTGCGATCAGTACCTCGGAACGAGGCTGCAGCTGTACTGATCGGTCGCGGCCTGCTGGAACGTCGACATTGCAAGGGGTGGGCCGTTGTATTACCACTTGCTGACTCGCATGTACGCACGGAACCACGCCGGCTTTCATCTATTCTCCGCGATACCTGCCTGCTTGAGAAACTCGAAACAGCGAGCAAGCACGGGCAGGGGCCAGGGTCCAGCGGCCAGTATGCACGTCGGACTGCCATAACGGTATGGAAGCAGCACGGGTCGCGAGCCCGCGAGAACCGCGCCGGGGAGCGAACCCAGGAGCTGCATGGCGCGCACTCGCGCTCGACGAACCCGGCTACATTGCTGCCGCGCAGCCGTGCCAACGTGCCCTGCGTCCGCTCCGCCGGGCCCCTGCCGCCACGCCCTACGGCATCGCCCCCCTCGCGGGCAGGCTTCAAATTCGCACAACGCCGGGCGCAGAGCGGGCCCCAGCGTGCGTTCTCTGCAAGTGGACGCGCCCGCGCGTGTGGGCTGCCGCGGGGCGTGCTGGGCCCCGGCAGCGCGCAGCCGGGCGCAATGCAGCGCGTGTGTAGAGATTTTGGGAGGCCTCGCGCGTACCGCGTGGCGGCGCACGTCACAGACGGATGCTGACGCGCTTCTGAGCAGGCTTCGGTGCTTCTCCGTCAGAAATCAGGCTGATAGCCGTCGTCGTACTACGATCAGCCCTGCAAGAACCCCAGTGTGGAAGGTAGGAACGCTACCGAAGGAGCGAGCTCGACATGCGGGGGGCGGGAGGCATGTGAGGGCATGTGGTGGACAAGGACAATCCATGGAAGACTCCACAGCAGGCATGTCTCTGATGAGGTTGGTGCATCGAGAGATTCCAGAAGATGTTGTGTTGGTGCGTCGTACTAGTACAAAGCACATGATGAATGCGGAAGTGTGTTGTGTAGCCTGACATATCTATGCGCGCTTAATTCTTGACGAAGAGGTCAGTGAACTTGTGAACGGGGAGCTTGTTGAGGCCCTCTGCGTTGTTAACACGCTCCAGGATACTGTGGAGGAATCAGTGATATGCACGATCGGGGAATGGACCCATACTGACTCCTTCTGGCGGTGCGTAGGGAAGTGCGGCTTGATGTGGTTCTCGAACTTCCGGAGCAGCAAGGGGGTACCCTCCTCGCGACGACGTTTGTGGCCGACGGGGTACTCAATCTCGACCTCGTCGAGCACCGTGCCGTCGTTGAGCTCGACCAGGAGGGCGTTGGAGATCGAGCGCTTCTCGGGCTCGTGGTACTCGGTGCTGAACCGGGTGTCCTCGACGCAGGTGATCTTAGCACGGAGCGCGTCGATGCGTGGGTCCTGAGCCGCCTTATCGGTATACGACTCCGAGGTGAGCTCGCCGAAGATGAGCGGGTACGCGACCATGTAGTTAATGTCGTGGCTACGGCGAGCGCCCATCAGCAATAGCGCGCAGAGTAGCGGTCGGTAAACGCTCACTCTCGGTCGGCAAAGTTGTCGAGCGGGCCCTTCTTGTTGATGATACGCATAGCGGCCTCCTGGGTGCGGATGCGGATGCTCTTGATGTCATCGCTGCTCTTGCCCAACTCCTTCAGCTTGTTGTGGAGGATGTGCGCAGCCTCGACAGCCGTCTGCGCGTGGAATTCGGCCGGGTACGAGATCTTGAAGAGCACGTTCTCCATGATGTAGGTACCAAACGGCCGCTGGAACTCAAACGGCTTGCCCTACATTACGACCGGTAAGATAGTGACCATGTTGGCGAGGAGCAATCATACCTTGAAGAGGACGTCATAGAAGCCCCACGTCTTGGCAGTGAGGACAGAGGGCATGCCCTGCTCGCCGCGCTTCACGAGGTAGGCGAGGTGCACTGCCCGCGAGCAGGCGTCGCCAGCAGCCCACGACTTGCGGGAACCGGTGTTGGGTGCATGACGGTACGTGCGGAGTGACTGGCCATCGGCCCATGCTTGGGAAATTGCGTCAATCGTCTGCTGACGGTCGAGGCCGCTGGATCCAAGCAACTGTCATCAGCGGCCGCGAAGGTGGTTACGGGTGGGGCAAACGTACATTAGCTTGGAGACGACCGCCGTGCTGGCAACCTTGACAAGCACGACGTGGTCCAGGCCGACACGGTTGAACGAGTTGAGGAGCGCCAGGCCACCCTGGATCTCGTGCGCCTTGATCATGCCCTCGAGCACCTCATGCACCGTCAGGGGCTGGCCCTTGCGGGAGAGGTGGTCGGCGACGGCGAGGATGGCCCCAAGGTTGTCTGAGGGGTGCCCCCACTCTGCAGCGAGGAAGCAGTCGTTGAAGTCCAGCCACCGGATCGCCGTGCCGATATTGAATGCACCACGAATAGGGTCGAGCTGGTAGTTGGTGCCGGGCACCTTGGTACCTGCAGACACGAACGTTCGGCTATGCGCACCATGAGGTAAAATGCTGCATACCGTTAGGCACGATGGTGCCCTCGACGACGGGCCCCAAAAGGTTGGCGCACGCAGGAAACCTGAGGCCCTCGAGCCCACAGCCGATGGTGTCAATCAGGCATAGACGTGCGGTTTCCCATGCGAGCGGCGACTTGATCTCGTAGTCGTGTACGTAGTCCGCAATGTCTTGCACGACCTTGTCGGGCTGTGGGCGGACGGCGGACTCTGCGTGGCTGGACATGGTGCGAGCGGAAGATGCTGGCTTGAGTACAGACGCGACAGGAAGCACAGAACGGGCAAGAAGGGGCGATCGGCTGATAGATGAGATAGCGGCGGTCTGCACGCGTGCCACTGAGGCCCTCGAGCGCAGTGTTTGGGGCAGCGAGCGACGAGCAGAAGACAACATGGGTTGGGTCGAGTGCGCTGTCGAGCGCGAGGAGCAGAGCGTGTTGACCAACGGCCGGCACTCGGCTATATCCTTCCAGACGCCCGACGCCGGTCCACGCACGGAAACCCCGGACCCCGCATTCCTCATCCTCCTCCCCACGGGGAACGACGCCAAGGCTCCTCTGCACTCCCGGAACATCTTCTGAGCCGCCTTTTGACCGGTGAAATTTGTCGTCGAGGTCTGCAGACCGCCCTTGGACGCGCTCCGATCACCACCAGTCACTACACTCCGGTTTCTCCATCTATCTCCGTCCCGCGCTCGGGACGCCTCGTCTCACAGGTGATGAATTTGACTCCAGGGCAGGCGCATGAGGCGTATGTCGGACCACCGTCCAATCCCGTTGACGTGGCAGCGTTCTTGAAGGAGGCGGGCGAGCTGCAGGATGGCTCGGAGGAACAAGGACCACTCCCGGTCTTCTCGCAGTCCGCCTGTGACCTTCCTGCGGGCGCAAGGGAGGCATGGACGGCCCTGCCTCAAGATGAACAAGACAGCATCAAGGCAGAATGCTGGTGTGTTCTCACGTCACATTGGCGCGTCATAACGGGCAGTTAATCAATTAACCTAGGACAGCGTGGATGACTTGCGCAAACAACTCGAGGACATCATCGAGAACCCCCGCTTGATGGGTCACATCGCCAGAACACATGAAGCAACCGTGCACGCTATCTATGAAACTGCGGAACCCACGAGCAGGAAGAAGCGCAAGCGGACGACTCTATCCGACCCCGAGGAAGAACATGCCGAGGTGACCGCGCTCCGACTCAAGCTGGAGGCCACACAGCTGAAGTGTTGGCCGTCAGTGCTCATGTTCTGCACATTAAACTACATGATCTGACTTCACTTCGCAGATTAACGCTACACGCCGCCTCCTTCATTCGACCTCCGCGACAGCCCGATCACAACACGCTCATACATGTTGTAAGCGAGTAACAGCACGCCCATATGTTCACTAATTGATTTTGCCCACAGAAAGCCCTAGGCTCAGCTACGGCTGGCGAACGCGACGCGCTCATCTTCATTACGGTGTACAATCGACAGTCGTGGGGCCAGCGAGTACTGTCGCGGTCGTCGCAGCATGTTCTGCTGTCGTCACAGACCTTGGGAGACTTGTACAGCGCTATACCGTGCCCTTCTAAGGACCTTCCAGAGGAGCTGCGCGATGAGACTGGTCGAATATCCGGCTACAGAACGCGTCGAGACGCAGAAGACATGGCTATCGATGATAACGTCGAGGCCGTAATGTGCATAGAAGGCGTACTGTATGGCCGCGGCCAAGCGGTGGATGACTACGCGGGGTAGCTATCCGACGCTCTGTATGATGTATCACATGCTGACAGTCCGATAGGAAGGTGCTCCAGCTGAACGAGTCGCTGCCCGAGGGCAAGAGACAGGATGTGACAAGAGGATCTTCGCTAAACACCACGAGGATATCTTCGCTCATTCTCTGCTTGCATGAGCCCTGTTGGGTCCTCCATGCTGGAAGCTGCGAACACTTCTTTGTAGTAACCAACATCAGGTAGGGTCGTGTTACAACAGTCGTGAAGTCACGAATACTGACTTCTATGGAACAGGGCAAAACATCCTGCCGACCCCGCGTCAGGGTACCCCTTGACGACTCAGATAACCCCTCCGCTCTCAGACTTCTGCCGGGTGTGTACCAAGGTGCCCGCGGTGTACTCTATCGTGGGAGATGTCAGGCTAGGGGAAAGCCCGTATCTCATATGCGGACCGTGCTGGAGGTGGATGGGAGAGCCAAAGGACGAAGAGGTGATGGTGGTACCCCTTGCTAAGCACGAGCAAGGATGGACGTCGGAGGTACCCTGACTAGTGGGCGTATTAGCTTCTCATATATATGTCATATTGGCGGAATCATGCTCGCGTCCCAGAAGTTATATGGGCCAGAAGAATGAGCTGTGTATCTTGATTCTTCAGCTAGTTTACGGCCGTACGGGCGCCTACGCGGTGTCGGGCGCGTTTTGGGACGCGCTTGTGGCGCCAGAACCCGCGGACATGGCTTGTCTCCGTACCAACTGCTCGACCTGATGACCCTGCTGCCCCTGCGTCTGCGCTGCTGAGCTCCTGTTCTTATCTGCGGCAGACTCTTGGCATCCAGCCCTCTGACCACCATGGACACGCCGTCTCATCTGAGTGTCATCCTCGACCTCTCTCCTACTCAATGGGCTCTCTCTGCGCAGTCGACCAACCCACCCGGGATCTCCCTCGAGACGTTCTTATCGCAGCTCCTTGCGTTCCTGAACGCCCATATCGCGTGCAAAGACGAGAACACGTTGGCAGTGTTCGGCGCGCTCCCTGGAGAGAGGTGCGTTAGTGCTTACGTGCTGTGGTTGCTGCGACTTCCTATCGTCTTTCCCTTCTGATTGCCACGGGCCAAACTCTGCCGCTGCTCAGTGTACTCCTGTACTCGTCTACTGGCGAAGTGACAGCCAGTGACGATGGGCCTACGGACTCCAACACGTACCGTCCATTCAAGACCCTCGACGCGACGGTCATGAAGTCTCTAGCGGAGCGTTTGGAGTCGTTTGGGGATGCAGCAGAAGAAGGTAAGCAACTCATGCTTCACGCTTATCGCCTTTCCAAAACGAATTCCCCTCGTCGCAGCACCCATTGGTATTGTTGGATGCATGACGAAGGCTCTGTGCTGTAAGTAGGAGCACCCAGCGCTCTCTGCAGGTTGTTTATAGGTCGGCAGACATCAACAGGATCACGTCGAATACTACGGCGGCTGGACCGAACGAGGATGGCCCGACAGCTTCGATTGACCCGCGAATACTCGTGCTCTCAGTCTCGCCCGACCAATCCTCGACTTACATCCCTATCATGAACTCCATATTCTCCGCCCAGAAGCTTGTAAGTCTTCCTCGAGGTCTCCCGCCCTGTAATTCTTGGACAGAAACCTGAAATGCGGCGATTATTCGCAGAAAGTAACAATTGATGTCTGCAAGATCTTCGGAGCAGACAACGTCTTCTTGCAACAAGCGGCGCACCTCACAGGAGGCGCCTACGTGCAGGTAGACAGGACAGACGCGCTCCTGCAATACATGATGGTACGCCCTCCGCTTTTCGTAGCATACAGCCTCTCCCTCATAGCCCTGTGCAAGATGTCTTTCCTACCACCTCCAGCCATCAGGCAGCTCATAGCTGTGCCTACGCAAGATCGAGTAGACTTCAGGGCTGCATGCTTCTGCCATAAGCGGATCGTTGAGATTGGGTTCGTCTGCTCTGTATGCCTGTCTAGTGCGTACCTACCACCCCGTATCCTCCGTCGCAATCACCGAATTTCTGTTCTGTCTGCAGTCTTCTGCCAACCGGTTCCCGTATGCTCGACTTGTCGGTAGGTCTCACGATTCCTCGTGCTTCTATCTCTTCGGGGCAGTCTAGAGCCGCCGCGCCTTGCCGGACCGTAGCTCTCGTCGCGCCTCGTCCTCTTCGTCATGCACCTTTTCTCATAATAATCTCCATCTCCCACAGCACGAAATTCCCGATCAAAACCCTGCAACGACTGAACGCGTCGCGCCCGCCTGCTGCGTCGTTGTCGTCCGCCCCAGGCACGCCTGCCCGGCCGCTAGCACACAGGAACGGCACAGCAACTCCCGCGACACCGCGCCCAGGCTAATTTGTCGACACCGTGGGTCTCTCCGAATAAGCAGCAAGCTTCACGGAGCGCGGAGCAGAACCATTCGCCTTGCCGCTGTCTGTCAAGCTCGCCAGCGATCGGACGGCGCGGGAAGGCTCTGGATAATTAACAGCGTGGCTTCGCGCGCGCGGCCCTTTTTCCAACGAGCACGAGGGGCGACACGAGTCGGCCAGGGCGCGGATGTGGTTGCGGGAATACGCACGTTCACACTCTCTGTCAGAACGGGTTGCGGGGGCCTTGGGAAGCCGCGGACGTCGCCCGGCGGTGATTGCGATATCGCGCCAGGCCCGGTGTCCGGCGACCGCCATAATAATAATAACGTCTGAAAAATCGAACGCAGCGCTGCGCGCGGCGGGCGCGCACCTAATGCGATCGACGGTGATATGATAGATTGGCCTGCGGAGACCCGCACTTGCTATTGTGTGGGTGTGGGCCCGTGACGTGCGCGCCCGTGCGGCGAAGAAGCGAAGGGGTGCCGTACGCGCAGGGCTTCACGGTAGCTCTGCGTGCGAGGGTGTGCGATGGATTGATAGAACTAGCAGGCATTCAAACGTCACCGGCGCCGCGGCGGCGTGGCTGGGCTTGTCCCACTATGTGCGAAGCCGCAGGGCGCCGCTGCCCAGGAAGACTCCTGCTCTGACTAGTGCGCGGAGACGTGGTGGGCCTATTACGTCTACGTCGGAGGTATTTGCACGGCGGGGACTCCCTCGCTCGGGGGTCGCGCATCTGCCAGTATCTGGGCGCAATCTGCGCACGGCGTATGTGAGATTGGGTTTGCGGGCTAGCGATCCACTGGTAAGGCCGCAATATACACGGAGGGTGTCTCGCCGGATGGCCGCGCCGGACGGCGAAGTATGGTCGCCTAGAAAGTTGCAGCGGGCTGATCAGCCCGACGGACGGGGTGCTTCTAGCACAGCGGTAGCGGGATGTAGGGACGGACGTACGCTGGGCTTGGAGGAAACGCTAGAGGCGTATCCGATCGCCATGCTCTCCGTGGTGAACGCGCACCAGAGACGGGCTTCGGTGCGACGGTAACGGTTAGCTGGGTGCGACGATCGTGGAGTGGGACGTACGTCTGAGCTGTCCGTCGTCATCGTACTCCTTGACAAGCAATATGACACCAGCTTGTGGAGATGTTTCGCCTCGTTCCGCACACACTTCTGGGAGACGGGATAAGCTCCAATGTGGCCAAGTGGGGGAGGGGGGTGACGAACTGTGGAACTGATGCCCGATGACAGTTTGGAGAACGTCGTGGATGTCTCCGTCCTCTCCTGCGGCCTCCACAGAACTGCAGATGGTCTTGGCAAGCGACGCCCTGGTGATGTCCTCCCCAGCACCTGGAATGGCCGCGGACGCGTGAGTTCAGAGTATGCGTATGCAACCGTATCCACACACCAGAGACACTACATGATACTCTGTGTGTAGCCCAGCAGCCCGCACCATACATTGCTGCCTATGTACGCTTGTAAGCGCCGATACTAGTAGCGGTGGCTTCGACGAGAGACATATACTTCTCCGACCCGTCCCGGGAGCTTGAGCAATAGTCCTCCGCTGAGAAGAGGCCCTATGAGCCTATGTCCCTTGAAGATGTTGGGGGACAGCTACCTTGACACCCCAGCCGCTAGGTTGCCTTCCGCGTCAAGCGCGATGGCGCCGACTGTGTCCTGCCTATCGTGCAAACCATCGGTTTGAGGGTGCTGTAGCCCGACGGCACTACTTGTTTCTAACATGGTATCCATAGGATGCGCGTGTCGCGCTGTTTCTAGCGCGTCTGTCCACCGCTTCCACTCGCGATGCGCGCGCGGTGAGATCATGGAGTCTGGTATACATGCTAAGTCCCGAGTCCGAGCAAATTCTTGCGCTCCTGCGGAGACGAGCAGTCTTGTTCAATCAGAATCTGGAAGATATCCAAAGGCAGCGTGGGAGCGCGTACAGAGGTGGTATCCGTCCTAGAAGGTCTGGGGTCCGTGAGTACTGCAACACACTATGGGCCAATTTGATAGGATTCTTTACGCCTAAAGAGGTGTCAGTGCAGATAGGTCGGTAGAGCCTGTTCGTCCGCGGTCACCGACCTGAGACCGCCCCAATGGCGCCGAAGTCGCGAGTGAGACCGTCCATGAGAGAGGCGTCACATTCGACTATCCCGCTCATGGTGAGGTTCGAGCCATATCCTGTTGCAATGCGCCTTCAGTTTGGCTTCGGTAGAGCGAGCTTCGGGCTGCCTCACCGGCGTTCAAGCACTCTTCATCTTCCAGCACAGCGATGGCGTCAGTAACAGCATGTAGGGCCGCTTCGCGCTCGAGGGCCGCTAACGAACGCGCACAGGCTCTGTGGTAGTATCCGTGGATGAGTTCATAGATGCCAAGACGCATACATACAGACGTAGTGCGCGCTTTATCTCGCCGTCCGAGGACTGCGATCGTGGGTGGAAGCCCGCGCCTCCGTGGACCGCGACGATGCGGAGCGGCTTGTCCTTCGCCGATGGAGAACCCTGCATAGCGTAGTTCTAGCGTATGGATAGCCCTACCGTATTTTCGTTTCCAGGTGAAGCTTTGCGCCTCTCCAGCGTAGTCTCCTCGCGGACAAACACGGGCAGTACGAGGTCGTCGTTCCTAGTCTGTCATGGCGGTAAAGACATAGTTGGAGGCGCGAGGGTGGGCGCCTCAGCCTACAAACAAGATCAAACAACGCGTCTCGCGTCGTGCCACAGGCGCGTCTTGCCTCTGGCTTGTTCCTACATCCGCCTCACCCGACGTCTCCTAGCTCTGTCGCGCGTCTTGCACTTGGATATACCTCGTCTTGTATCTAAAAAATCTCTGCGAGATTATGGCGTGTCATATCGGTGTTCTCCCCGCAGGTATGGCTCCGGAACGCGTTGCAGTCTACGGGTTACAAGACTTAACGGTCCGTCAGAACTGCTGCAAACAATGTCCGGCCATTTGGATGACAAGCATATGGGGGAGGGAGAACCATGTGTTCACACAGAAGGGTTGCGTTTCTTGAGACTTCCTCATCCGCGGACCGGTGAGACACGTCTGTTACTCGTGTATGCACGCACATCTTACCTGTAAGGACCTGGACAGGCATATCGTCGTTATTCATCCCACACGAAACGCCGGAAACTAGCTCTATTCTCGAGGTCCAGTCAGTCGCCCCTCCTAATCGCCGGTCATGGTTTCTGCAGGAGGAAGTCGTGGAAGGTACGTTCTTTGTATACGGATATCCGTCGGGCCTTCACCACCCCTCCCTAGACGGCAAGCTCCTGGTCATGACACCCATAGACCCTGCCTTCCTGCTCATACATCTGCTGCAGCTCACCTTGCCGGTATGTTGTCCGTAGTCTTATGTTCTTCGACATTTAACAATGATGTAGACAAACGGAACCGCGGGTAACTTTCGTCCTGCGGACGACATCATTGAAGCAGCTGCCAGTGCAGTTACATCTTCCACGACGGAAGGCGGTGTCGCGGCATTTTCTTCCGGCGATATTCTACACCTATCAACCCTACGCTGTGTACATGCAGCCATGCGGCGCGTCTGTGAGTACAAAGGTAAGTATCTCAATCATGAGTATAACGGCGCTACTAATGTACAACAGAGATCACTCCGGAGATTACCGTATTCAGGTACTCGCCAGAGCGGGCACAAGAATACCTCCGTACAAAGGTTTCTCGCCTGTCAAACCCGAGCGTTTCCGAACTTTCGCGCACTTTGAACCGCAATCTCGCCAAGGACGGCCTGCTAGAAGACGGAAAGGAAACACTGTTGGTTTGTGAGTGCATTGTGTTGCCGAACTTCCTTCTGTTTCCCAACCTTTTGGTGCAGCCGCTCGCACCCGGGTCGCCTGTGATCTTGTCGCACAATACCTCGCACGCGACGTGTTTGAGAATTTGCTCTCCTCTTACGAGTAAGCGACACCCACGATCACAACGCAACGGTCTGTCTGACAACCCATAGTTTCGCATCCCTTGATGCCCACATGAAGGTGCTCAAGGATGAGTCGATGGCCCTTGCCGCAGTCAACATGAATGCAATCGAGGCAAAGGAAAGCAGGGATCAGAAAGTCGCGAGTGCTGCTGACAAGAAACGCAAGGCGAAGGGGTCGCACGGCGTGGAACAGCTGAAGAAAGCGAACACGAAGGGCATGTCGAAGTTGTCCTCGTTCTTTCAAAAGAAATAGACCGTCCCACAGATCGCCATCCTTTGTACTCGTTGTACTCTGTATGTCTTGCGCCCGCCCGAGAAGATGTATGCGCCTCGCGCCCTTTGCGGTTCCCTCTGCCATGCTCTCCCGAGTAGCGGACCCGTCACTGTGACGGGCCCGTCTTGAAGGGAGCATTTGAAGCTCCGCCCGTCTGCGTCTTGACAAGAACGTTCATGTTCGACTCGTTCCTCCCCTCTCTCCCCTCCAAGCCTCCGACATCCAGCTGAACGCCATGTTGTCTCCGATGGCCCGAGCGGACAGCAAAGAGTACATAGAACGCGCCGTGCAAACCGACCTATCCGACAATCGCCCATCATCGCCCGGATCCCCCGCCACCCCAATGGACCTTTACTCAACCACCGCCGAGTTCCCATCCGATAACTCTCTCCTCGCGTCTGCTCACTCCCGCTCCTCTACCCAGTTTGACAGCGCATACAGTCAGGATCACACTGAGATATCCTTCGACTCCGCCAGCTCCGAAGCCAACAGGTCCATGACCACCACGACGCGCGCATACAAGCGCGTGCAGCTGCCTTCCAATCGGCCGTCTACGCTTGTCGAAAGGCACTCTTCGTCGAGGATATTTTCTCTCCCTGAGGCAACGCCCGGCTTCCGGATGAAGAACGTCCTCGGCAAGACCCCCCGCGTCGTCTCGATGCCTTCTGCGAACTCCCGAAGCGCGACTGACAACTTGGACATCTCTACCCACGCGGGCGACCCTTTCGGCTCGGAGGACGAAGTGCATACTCGCGTCCGTGTTAAGTCGCAAGCCACGGATGTCCCGTATACGCCATCTGCCCCATCTTCTCCCGACTCAGTGGTAATCATCGCTAATAGTAGCAATCAACTCTCAAACGACTTCCTTCGTCCTCGCCGAGACCAGGCGTCTTCCCCGGAGTTGGACGACGATGGTAAGCTAAGCGAGCTATGCTGCTCATGGCTCTACTAACACCGACACCACAGACTGGCTCAGTTGGGCGGAGTCGCCTCCCCGTCCGATACCGGCGTTGCATGGCCCGTCATCTCTGCCGTATGCACGATGCCCGTCGTACGTTTCTTCGCAATTGAGAGGCCTTGAGCTGACCCGTAAACAGCGGTGCTGAGGGAACGATCATTGAGGAACCCGACAGCATGCCTCGTGTCATCTGGGGCCTCGATCCCAACGACGCCAAATCCCGGCGTCCGTCCCAGCACGCGGCAGTCTCACACTCGGCGTTGAAGAAAACTACGGCTCTTGCAGATATACCAGAACGACAGAAGTGGAAGCAAGCACCAAAGCCACACGCGCCACAGGTGATGCAGACTGCGCCTGTCCATGCGACTACTGTCCATGCACCTATCAACGCGGCAGTCCACGGGCCAGTCCTCGCGCCTGTCCCTGCACCTATGCCTGTGCCCGCCCAGCCCTCACGCCGTACGCCCCAGGCACCCCAGAGCATCGCTGCTCGACCGGCACCTCAAAATCTCCCTCAACCCCCAGACTTCATATTGAAGCATTCGGAGCCTATCGACTTGGGGAGATTGGTCGCGAATACCCCCGAAGCAGCTCAATTTACCACACCCCACACAGATCATGCACACTCAGGATCCCGGTGGCAAACTCCTCTCCAGCATCAGCTACCCACTCCAGAGCTGGTACACGACCTCAGTCCCGAGCTCCAAGCGATGATTTTCGCCCAAGAACGGCTGCGATACCAAGGACTCTCTCCATCTTATGCGAACATACCCAGCGATACGAACGGCCGGATGAATCCTTCTCTGCCTGCGGATTCTTCTCTTTCGCTGCTGGAGTCTATCAAGTCTTCCCGCTCGCCGATTGTCCTGGACGATTTGTCGTCTCCCTACGGGCTGTACTCTCGGGGACTATCTGTACAGATGTCTGCTCTTGGCTTCGGTCTCAAAAGCGGTCAACAGCAGCAGCTTCATCACGGACTTCTGCCTACACCTCCCAGCTCTACATCCCCTATCTGGTCCTCGAGCTTCTCGCCTTACCAAGGGGGTATCTTGTCTCCGGAGCTTTTGGCTGCTGCTGCCGCCGCCGGTCTGTCTCCGTTGAATCCGCACTATTTGTCCTCGTATGGCATGCAGCCTCGCCTCGATCATCCGCAGCACGCTCTGGGTCTGAACACTGGCGTCTTAGGCAACCATGCAATGCCCGGTCGAACGCTCCCGGACGGCTTGGCTCCCCCTGCTCAAATCAACAGCGGCGGAGCTCAGAGGCTCCCACCACGTCTAGCCGCCGAATACGCTCGCCGCCGTGCTGGCGTGGACCCTATTGCTGATACTCCACCGCTAGAAACCGATCTTAGTCGTTACTTGTCTTCTCCTGTTCGCGGTGTCTCGCAGTCGCCCATGGTTCCGAAGCCTCCGCCGAACACACCGTATGGCAGTACGAAGCGGCTGGATTCTCAGGCTCAGAAGTCTCTCTTGGCTGTGCCATCTTCGCCGACATCTCTGCATGACGCTCAGTCTCTTGGCTTGTCTCAGCACCCTCGTTCGATCCCACTCAACAAGCTCATGCAACGCCGGCTGTCTAGCGTTCCTGAGGAAGACTATGCTTCCGGTGTGGAGAACGCGCGCACACCGGCCGCTCACGCCCACGGACATGCTCGAGGAGCGGGCGATAAATCGTCTGGTCACGGTCTGCATTTGTACCTATCGCCTTCTAGCCGGTCAAACGTCAACGCCGCATCTCTGGACGTGCTGGGCGACGCTCTCGGAACGCACTACGGCATGGATGACGCGCGAGTCAAGTTCCCTAGCGCCTCTGGGAGGACGTCCGGACCGGCGGGACGCGGCGAAGCACAGGCCGTCAAAGAAGTCCATCGTCGCCAAGGTAGCAGCAACGCTAACAAAGATGGTGGCCAGCGCGGTGACAGCGGTCGAGGTCGCGGACAAAAGCGCGGCGGTCGGGGCAGGAGAGGGCGCGGCGGGGGTTTCCACGCCGGCAACATGACGCACGGCGCGGAACGGGTGGACGGAGGTATGATGGTGAAGTCGTGAAAGCGATTGTGAGTGAGTCGTCTTCGGTGCCGCGAAGGGACGCGCTGACAAGCTGCGATGGCTATTACAGATAGCGCAGTCAGCAGCACAGCAGCGCTGTCGGGCGTCGAGGTGTTCTCGCAGAATCGGACTGTGGTTTCTCCGGCTTTGGATGTTGTGTGAGTTTTGTACGCGTGTATTCTTTCTGCGCTGTAATTGGGTTGTGCCATGGCGAACGCAGGCGCAGACTCTGTAGAGATTCTGAAGAAGCAGGGTGGGCGCGTGGCCATGGGTTCGTGTATCGATAGAGGATGTACATGGTGCCGCGATTAGAATCCGCGTTTTCACGAGGCGAGAAAGGTGTCTGGGCCGGCGGTGGGGCGCGAGCGAGTGTTCGCGCGTTATGTACGTGCGGAGGGGCGCAGCGTTGGCGCGTTCTGTGCGCGGTGCGGGCGGCGATGTGAGACCCGGGAGGAGGGATGTGCGATGGCCACGTGGGCGACGTGCTTGTGGCGTCTATAGCAGGTCGATCGAGCCTGCGCGCTCTTGACCTTCCCTTGCGACTCCTTCCTCTCTTCCTCCTCGTCCACGACGATGCAGTCGCTCCATCCCAGCCCGGCGCGCCCAGCGGGGCCCCGCCCGTCCCACCGCCCCATCTCCCCGGCTCCCTTCGCAGCCCAGGCAGTCGCTCCCCTCAACATCCGCAAGGCCTCCAGGGAGCTCAACGTTCCCAACTCGAATCCCTCCACTCTCCTCTCCCCTCCCACACCCAACCCACCGCTCTCCCGCTCACCCACACCAACCCTGAGCATACCCAGCATGCCAATGCCCAGCTCGTCGCCCAGGCGAAAACCCATGCTGCCCAAGATCGACTTCAAGAGCATCAGCAGCAATAACGGCACGTTTGAGATATACGCAGGTGGGCCGCAGCCACAGGCCGCCTCTCCCGCGCCGCGTGCAGCGGGCGACGCCTCCAACGAGTCCACGATCCGCCCCGACCAGACGATATCGCCGCGGCCACGGCCACCGCCGGCGGTGTCGATGGAGAACCTGCGGCAGACGGTCGAGGAGTTCGACCAGTGGTCCGACGACCTGCTCGAGGAGCTCAGCCGGCTCGGCGAGGGCGCAGGCGGGGCGGTGTACAAGGTGCGCGACCGGCGGACGGGGATGGTCATGGCGCGCAAGACGATCACGACGCTCGAGGCCCCGATGAAGCAGCTGCTGCGCGAGATCAAGATCACGTCGAGCACGGAGCACGTCAACATCATACATTTCTACGGGGCGTATATTAGCCCCAGCAGCAGCGAGGTGAAGGTGCTCATCGACTACTGCGAGGGCGGCTCGCTCGAGTCGGTCGGGAAGCGCATGAGAGAGATCGGCGGCAGGGTCGGCGAGAAGGTGGCGGGGCGGCTCGCGGAGGGGGTGCGTCTTCCTTATTCTGGTCTTCGGTCTGCTCGCGTCTGGCTGTCATAACGGCGGCACGAACGGGGCGCCGATACTGTTCTTGAGCGATCGCTGACATTGAGCGGCGTTGGGTGCGCAAAGATCCTCCAAGGGCTCGCGTACCTACATTCGAGGAAGACAATCCACCGCGACATCAAGCCGCCGAACATCCTGCTTACACGCGAGGGCGTCGTGAAGCTGTGCGACTTTGGTGTCTCGGGGGAGCTGATCAACTCCGTGGCCGGGACGTTCACGGGCACGAGCCTATACATGGCGGTGAGTGCCTTTGTACCTGGTCGCACAGACGCCCCGCTCATTCCCCGCGATGCTGTTTACAGCCGGAACGCCTGTCTGGCGTGGAATATACGATACGATCAGACGTATGGTCTACAGGCATTTCCCTACTCGAGCTCGTGACAAACCGGTTCCCGTTCCCCAACGATCTCGCTGCGATCGAGCTGATGATGTACATCACCCAGAACGAGGTACGTGAGCCTTCTCTGGCACCTTGGGGCTTCGTTCGCTGATATCCTTCTCCCGCGCGTGTCTATCTCTTCCCACGATAGCCCCCGGAGCTTGAGGATGAGGAGGATATCGAGTACAGCGCGGAGATGAAAGACTTTATCAAGAAAGCGTACGTGGCGATAAAGAGGCCCAGCATACATCGTTCCGCAGTGCGCTGAGCTCTTCTACCCCTAGCCTGACGCGAGATCCCACTCTGCGACCCGCACCGGCGGGTATGCTCGATCATCCTTGGATCGTGAGTATGATGCAGCAGAAGGTCGATATGGCGTACTGGATGCGCAAGGTATGGGGCTGGAAGAACCAGAAGAGCCACAGGTGCGATACATCTCTTCGTCTATCAGCATCCGCTAAACGCTTCTTCCACAGCTCTTCACGACCAAGCTCCAGCCGGAGCGAACACCCTTCTTCTCTGGACTCGTCGATGGCAGGCCTAACCATCAACTCTGACGCATAGGCGTCATGTTGTGCAGTATCTTTCCCAGCTTTGGATCTCTCGCTTCAACCATGTCGGACGATGTACACCTCACATCCTTTCGTACTTCTTGTGCTGCCCGCGATGTAGCCTTCATTCGCCCTCGTGCCTATATCTGATATATCCCAAATTGCTGCAGCCCTTTTGCATTCGCCGCTCGATGATGCCCTGTTGGGATACTGGTCCATCCTTTCTCCTTGCGTTTACCCGGTCGTTTCTCGCCGCGTTCCCTGCCGTCCTGACATGTCTCCTTTCTCTGCCAATCTGTCGCAGCTTTGTCCTCGTAAATCATACGCTCGCTCTTGAGAGACACAGAACAAACTACTTGTAATCATAGCTAGAACACAATGTGAAACTCCAGGACTTCAAAGGTTAACTATATGCGTGACTCCTTGTGCATATCGCCGGACAGTCCTAGCAAGCACCGCGAGCGGGCCTATGGAGAGTTGTTCGTGGAACTCGCTTCCCACTTCCACATGTATATCTTCGATCACAGGCTCTAAAACCGACTGTAAGGCCCTTTCGACGGCACCATATTCGTCGACGCTTCAAAGAAGTCTCTTTATTTAAATGTGATTTATTTCATGTATGCAGCCTCGCCGGAGCGTGCCGCAATGCGAAGTACTCTACGAAAACGGATCAAGAGAAAAGTAGTTGAGTAGAAGGAGTAGGCCATGTGTGGGTACCTAAGGACATTTACAAGATGCAACACTCACAACGAACTCCGCATGGACACACCACTCCCGCTCTGTCAAACCAGCCACTGTAGCCTCGTTGAGACTAGCCCAGAGCGGGACGACGAAAGGGGATGGGGGCTGGAGAACTGCGCGACCCAACCATGGTACGAGCCTAGTTGAAGAAGAGACCCCACGGAAGACGCATGCCACGGCCTTCACAATCTAGCAATCGTTGGAAGCAGCACAAGGAGCACATCAGTCAGCAGGGGTTGCGCGAGGCCAATGGGGAGGGAGGTAAATGGTCCAAGGAGCCGCAGGGGAGCCGTACAGACGTGTGCCAGTTGTCAGACCGAGTCCGAATTCCAGATACCAGCAACAGCGAGCACATGCCACAGCCTGAATTCCAGATTCCGTGGTAAACACGGCGGAGTGGCCGACGTCGACGGTGATGGAGTACAGCCAAGAAGAGCGTCGGGGTCCAATGAGCAGGACACCATATCCAGACCGCGGCGGCGACCACGAGCGCCTTTGCATCCCGTCCACCGCGATTGGTCTCCGACGTCGCTTGGCCGCTAATCCCCTCGCTTCGTCTTGCTCCTGGATGTATCGCCGACACAGGCTGACGGGCGTGCATCAGCCCCAGTGGGTTGCTGTCGCGGGCGGTGGGAGGAGCTGGACGGCGGATGACTACGCACAAATTTCCGGGGGCAAGTCAGAGCCTGTCGATTGCGTGATCTCCTCCTCACTCTTCCTCATCCTATAAAATCAACGAGCTCGACGCCGGGATGGACACAAGCTCACCGCCAAATCTCCTCTCATCGTCTGCGGACGCACCTCATCCATCGCACTCGTCTTCTTTGCCTAGCCTCCACCTTCACCGTTCTCTTTATAAGATGGCTAACGCTCCTCATGGTGGTGTTCTGAAGGTAGCTTATCCTTGCTCCGCTCATCAAGCACGCCATTTAACGCCATCTACAGGACCTGGTGGCGAGGGACGAGCACCTGCGCGACAACCTCAAGGCCGAGGCACACACCCTCGCCGATATCATCCTCACTGAGGTGTGTTTTGACTGTGCAGGTGCTGTCGGCTGAATTTTACTGATCATGATGTCATCGGCAGAGGCAACTATGCGACCTCGAGCTGCTCATGAACGGCGGCTTCAGCCCCCTCGAGGGCTTCATGTCCGAGGCCGACTACAAGAAGTGAGTGCACTCTCGTAGAATGTGTGCGCGCAATGCTAAGACTTGTGCAGTGTGATCGACAACCTCCGCCTCGCCGATGGTTCTCTTTTCCCTATGCCGATCACCCTCGATGTGTCTCGCGAGGACATCGACCGTCTCTCTCTTGCGCCCGGAGCGCGCATCGCTCTCCGTGATCCCCGCGACGAGCAGGCTCTTGCTATTATTACCGGTATGTCACTATCTATATTTTGTACGTGCATATACTCATCGAAAACCCATAGTCGAGGATGTGTACCGCCCCGATCAGGTGAAGGAGGCCATTGAGGTCTTCGGCGCGGATGACCCCGCACACCCGGCCGTTTCCTACCTCCGCAACAAGGTCAAGGAGTACTACGTTGGCGGCAAGGTGCAGGCCATCCAACCCCCGACGCACTTTGACTACGTCGCTTTGCGCTGTAAGTCCACATTTCTCGCGCTGTCTTGCAGAGACTCATCATCTGCTCAGTCACCCCCGCCGAGCTCCGCGCACACTTCAAGAAGCTCGCATGGCGCCGCGTCGTCGCTTTCCAGACCCGTAACCCCATGCACCGCGCCCACCGTGAGCTCACCGTTCGCGCCGCCCGCCAACGCCAAGCGAACGTCCTCATCCACCCCGTTGTCGGCCTTACCAAGCCTGGTGATGTCGACCACTACACTCGCGTCCGTGTATACGAGGCCATCATGGCCAAGTACCCCAACGGCATGGGCCACCTCGCCCTCCTCCCCCTCGCGATGCGTATGGCGGGCCCGCGTGAGGCGGTCTGGCACGCGATCATCCGCAAGAACTTCGGCGCGACGCACTTCATCGTCGGCCGCGACCACGCGGGCCCCGGGAAGAACTCTCAGGGCAAGGACTTCTACGGGCCCTATGATGCGCAGGACCTCGTCATGAAGTACCACGAGGAGCTGCACATCGAGATGGTGCCGTTCCAGATGATGACGTACCTTCCGTCTACGGACGAGTACCAGCCCGTCGACGAGGTGCCGAAGGGCGTGCAGACCCTTGACATCTCCGGCACCGAGCTCCGGAGGCGTCTCAAGACTGGCGCGCCCATCCCCGACTGGTTCAGCTACGAGTATGTCCATTCAGCGCATCGACCTGAATACGGCCCACTAACATCAGCCTTGCAGCGCTGTAGTCAAGACTCTTCGCGAGAGCTACCCTCCCCGTCCCAAGCAGGGCTTCGTCATCTTCCTCACCGGCCTCCACGGCTCTGGCAAGGAAACCATCGCAAAGGCTCTCCAAGTCACTCTCAACCAGCAGGGCGGACGTAGCGTCTCGCTCCTGCTCGGCGATACCATCCGTCCCGACCTTGATACCCGTACGTCTACAACATCTAACACGCATGGCACCACACTTACACTACCCACAGCCTTCTCTGCTACGGCTGAGGAGCACTCCAAAAACCTCCAGCGCGTCGCCTTCGTCGCTTCCGAGCTCGCGCGGGCAGGTGCGGCTGTCATCCTTGCCCCGAACACATACAAGCAGGCGGCACGGGATGCCATCAAGGACACGATCCTCCACCAGGCGGGTCCCGGCGGCAACTTCTTCGGCGTGCACGTCGCGACGCCCCTCGAGCACTGCGAGGCGAACGACCGCAAGGGCGTATACGCGCGTGCGCGTAAGGGCGAGATCCGTGGCGTCCCCGGCGTTGACGAGGAGTTCGAGGAGTTCGAGCGGCCACAGCTCACCGTGGATGTGTCGAGGCAGAACATCCCCGAGATCGTGCACAGTACGTGTTTTCGCTTTCTCTTTGGTTGAATGGAAATGCTTACTCGCATTACTTCAGGCATTGTTCTCCTCCTCGAGACGGAATCACTGCTCTAGTGGCGATACCCTCTCACCCACATGTACTGGCATAGCATGGCTGTATGCACCCGTCTGCTGGGGCAGCCTGCTCCTTTTCTTGTTTAGGCTCTAGATTGCGACTTTTGTATGTACGGCATAGAGAATCTGTGTACATTTGTAGGGCGTGCACCTAATATATATGTAACGCACCATGTCTATCGCACATCAAGCACCGGTAGTCGTGGCTGGTACAGCCCACAGGCACTTGGTCTTCGGCGGGCGCCAGGAACTTTCAAAGCGTGCTCAATTTGGCAGGTGTTCTATTCAATTTCCATCACACTGGCTGCCGCCCGCTGCCCACTCAAGGTCGACGATGTCCCTGCATACTTACTATGGAACGAATTCCCTTCTCAGCCTGTTTCAGTGTCGTCTACAGTCCCATGGGGAGGATGAGCTGTCCATGCACGGTGGGCCACATTTTCGTGCCTGCTTGGTGTCTCTCGGATCTGAAACCGCACCCACTTTCAAATTGACTGACCGAGATGTACGGTGCAGGGCGCAACAGCATTCCTTCTGGGCCCGGCGGCCTGCGCTCGAGCCTGCGCGTGCGCTGTTCCGGACTGCATGTATCACAATCAAGCATGCATGATGGACCGCCGAGTGCCCCGGCGGCAGCTGCAACATCATCAGCGAAATGCGCCCAGAAACCGCAACGTGCAGTGACGCGCCCTGTGTCTCACAGCCCTGCGCCCACCCGAGCGCGACCCGAGCCCTAAGTATGCCGGTCTTGGGCGCGGCGGGGGGCGTGTTGAACTTGCAGGTTGCTTTTCTCCAGTTCATTCCTCTTGTCGACGTCTGTTTCTTCATCCCCGCGCGCCCCTCCTTTCGCGCCCTTCTTCTTTCTATTCAGACTGACTGTGCTAGGGCATGATGGCTAGGTGGTCTGCAGCTCTCTGTTTGCTTGCTGGGTTGTTTGCGGGGCACTTTGGTGCGGATGCGATTACGGTGCCCATCCAGGGCCACCGTCGATCTGGGAAGTGGTGGGAGACTCTTGGTGGGGTGTTGCAGAAGCAACGGAGGGCGGGGATCGTTGATTTGCAGAACGCGGGGGATCTGCAGTACTTCACTAACATCACGCTGGGAGGGCAGCAATTTCGCGTCCTGGTGGACAGCGGGAGGTGAGCGTGCACGCATGTATGCGTTGTTGGATCTCGTGACTCACGTTGTACGCGTTTGAACAGTGCGGACCTATGGGTGGCGGGAGACGTCCCCGGGTCAAACAGCACCACCCACAACGCTACGATCAACTACAATGATGGATCCGTCAGTGGTTAGTCGCGTCCATACAAGTGTGGATGTGGCCGAGAGACTAATGGTTCAATAGGCCGGATCCAGACTGCGACGCTTGGAATCGAGGGCTACACCATCTCAAACCAGGCTTACAGTAAGTACAACTTCACCGATTTGTCGCCCGCACGCCAGCTCAAACGGGTCACAGTCTCGCAGGAAGTCACTGAGAGTTATCCCGAGGGCGAAGGTATCCTAGGTCTGGGTCCCAGTCGCTTGTCCTCGGTTCTGGCGGCACTGGGTACCCCTAAAGGCGACCCTCCGCTGGACAGGCTTTTCCAAGAAGTCACGTCCTTGCCCAGCTACATCTCCATCCTGCTGGGTCGGTCGAATGACCCCGACAGCCCTATTCCAGGACAACTGACGATTGGAGAGGTTCTTTCGGACTACGGCGACGTTACATCGAGTCCACAGCTACCCATCGAGCGAGTTGACTGGAACCAGCACTGGATGGTTGCATTGGATAAGGGCGGGATCACCGGGCCCGACGGAAAGCCTATTAAGGCCTCTGTCGACAAGCAACTCAAGGTGATCTTCGACTCCGGATATACGCTGCCACAGGTACCGAAGTAAGTGATAAACCTTGTGTAGATCATGGAAAGTGGCTGATTGATGCCCTATAGGTCTGTCGCGGACGCGATCTACGCTCGAGTGCCGAATGCGACGTATGTGAACATATCTGCGGCAGACACTCCCGTATGGACACTACCGTGCGACGTGGAGCTGAACATCACTTTCACGTTCGCGGGAGTCTCCTACCCAGTTCACCCTCTTGACACGGTCATGGACGATCTACGAGGGCCCCCGGACAGCTCGGGACAGCCGACGTGCGTAGGGTCCTTCCAACCAATGTCTTCGACTCAGCCGTATGACATCGTCCTCGGGATGGCTTTCCGTGAGTTCGCTCCGACATGGTTTTGTTATGATCATGCTGCTGACGACCTCGCTCCGAATCCCGCAGTTCGGAACGCATACATCCTCATGAACTTCGGCGACTTCGTGGACGGCTCGACGGAACAGGTCGGGGACCCGTTCGTGCAGCTACACGCGCTCACGGACCCGGTCGAGGCGCACGGAGACTTCGTTCAGCAGCGGCTCGGCGGCATCGACACGACCGGCCTCCAGACGCTCCTCCCGGCCACAGAGGAGGATACCTCCGCAGGCGTGAAGGCGCCCGGGCGCATGCCATACCTCCCCTGGACTATCGTCGCAAGCGTGCTCGGGGGCCTTCTGGTCGCATTCCTGGTCGCGTATGTTTTTATCTGGCGCCGCGGTCGCAAGTATCGGCGGGTGCACGAAAACGCGCCCTCTGGCCTCGAAGAGGGAAAACGGTCACTGTCACCGTCAAACGAGAAACCGCCTGAGATCGCCATGGCGGACAAGGCGTTCGGACCGAGATCGTCGGAGGCGGACACCGACACGCTCTCGCGAAAGGTGGACACGGATGAGCTCATCTGGGGCCACCGGTCGCGTAAGCCGAAGGGCATCCTTGCAGTAACTCGGGAGTCATCCGCGGCATCGAGCACCGAGCAGCTCCTCCCTGGAACCGCTAGCAGCAGCACGTCGCACGAGACGTCCGAGGAGTCTGCGCCGCTGGCTTCAGACGACAAACCACTTCCCAACCCGTATGCCGATGCTTCCCTTCCCCCGACCCCTCTTGCAAATTCAATGGAGGATCGACCCCTACCGAACCCCTACACCGGCGCGCCTGCGACGACGTCCCCAACCGCGAAGAACGACCGCCCATTACCTCTGACAGATGTTCGACGTACACCCTCCCCCGCGCCCGCGATGCGCAATGCAACCTTGCCTCCACCTGCGCCAGCACCGACGAACGCAACTCAGCCCTTGCAAACGAAGAGGGCCCGCCCCCTGCCTGACCCGCGTGCGTACACGCCCCGGGTTGCGGATGTATTCGACGTGTCTCGTGCGCGGACATCGTCAATATACAAGCTCCCTCCGCTCCAGTTCTCCAGCGCCGACCTCGCGGGACCACATGCTGGTGCCCGCCCTCCGCCTGCTTCGTGATATAGTGATACCTTGTTGTCTGTTATACGTCTTGGTATCTGTCCACTCTCTGCTGAATTCTGTGCGTTTATATTTTACTCTTGCGTTAAACTACTGTATCATAGGCCTGAGGTTATATATCTAAACATTGATCGTTATGGTGTTGCATGCAGTCAAGATCTCATCGATCTTATCCTGGAGCCGAAGAGTGAGCACTGACTTCCATGCTACACCGGAAGCGAGTTCGATATTTCTAGAAGAGGCCCGGCGTTCAAACGTCCAAGCTAAGGTTTGGACTCCAGCTCGGGCACAGTACTTGTTGGCGTACCATGTGAATGGCATGACTTCTATTCGCTCGCAAGAGTACTTCAAGTGTCCTTCGAGGACTTCCAAGACCTCCGATATCCCGAAGAGATGCATCCTGAAACGCGATCACGGGGCCCGCAAGCGCGGCTCGCAGGCGCGTCGTGCTACGATACTCAGCCTGGCTAGTGCACGCCGCCTTTTTGCGCCGCACTCGTTTTGGGACAACAATGCACGTAAGTAGGAGCCGATTGATGCCTTCGAGATCGACGCGCCGCACCGGTGGCTGCCCCCCGGTTAGCTGCTTCCATGTCTTGTTTCCCCTCTTCTATCTCGGGTCGGTTGTTTTTCGACGTCTTCTTGACATGTGTTGAAGCGTAAGTTGAACCGCCTGTCGCGACTTGTACGCATGTGTCTCGAAGATATCTAGATGTTCCCGAAGTATATATATAACTGTGTGCGCTCGCCTGTCGGTCTCTTGCATCCCGTCCATCGCATGCTCCTCACCAGCTGCCCTCAGTCGTCTACATCGCTACTACATCGCTGCAGTGTCGTCACGGATAGGAACTTCATCGTCAAGTAAGTGCGTGTCGTAATACAATCATTAATTATTGAGCATTAGTGACTCCTGCAGGCTTACTTTGACAGTTCTCCATACCCTGGGGCAACAACACTCGCCCAGACCGTAAGGAGTACATACAGTGTTTGCTTGTTACAATCGGGCGCGTAGTGTGGTCGCCAGTTGACTTCGGAACGCGCAAGCTCCCCTCTTACAGCATTTTACCACAACAGATAATTCATTTAAAACATCACGAAGTGCGCGACCACACTACGCGCCCGACTCTAACCAGCAAACACATCTGTACTCCTTACAGTTCAAGTGAGTACTCACCTTGGCTGGCTATGTGCTGTTTTTCAACAATGAGACCGGGAGTATTTCAAGGATCGGTCGCAGATATCCCCGCGAAGGCCGACGTATTGTGCTGAAATCCGGCCCCTAAAGGCTATAAGGTGCCTGGGACTCTCGGTACTAGCGCCGCTTGGCAGCCGAAGGCGTTGTTGTGCTTGCCGCGTGTTTGCCGCCCTTGACAGGCCAAGCTTTTGCTCACAGCATCGAGCGTTTTGAGACCCTCGGGGATCGTCTGTGGCAAGCTGCAGAGGCCAGAAGTACTGGAGAGAGCAAGCGGTGGTTAGGAGACGAAGGTTGTATGAGCACCGGATATATGGTCTGACACAACGTCGCGTGTGCGGGGCGGTGCCGACCGCCCGCGAAGGGAAGCGCATGGCCCTGGCCGCCCAGGAGCTGCCAGGCTTGTCGTCTGCCGTCGCGCGATGAAATCACAGCCACGCCGGCCCAGAACCCATACATATCCAGCCCTACGTCGGGTAAGCATCCCTTTCCACTTCCACCGTCTCTCTGCCAGCTTTCTCTTCTCCTTCCCCTTCCTGGCTGGTCGGTCTGCTCCGTGCTTGCGCTCATGAAGTTCCGGCTATCCACTAGTCTTGTCTTCTACCTGTCATTACTCCTCGATGAGCTCCCCCGAACACAAGCCGTCCGCTTTCCTATCCATGGACGCATAGCCGGCTTCAGCAGCTCGGATGGGGGCGATGTGCGACGCTTCAATCGCCTTGGGGCGAGGGCCAGCATCGAAGGTACCCCGGATATCACGAACAGTGGTAACACTATGTACAAGACGAACATCACGCTCAATGGGAAGCAGTTCAACGTCCTCATCGACACCGGGAGGTACGTGCGCGCGCGCCACCCAGCTTTTCTTGTCGCGCCTCGCGGTACTGACGTCAGTGCGCGCCGTAATTCAGTTCCGACCTGACGGTCACTGGCGATGTGCCGAATGCCGCGGACACTGGCAAGACTGCTGGGGTCACATACGCGTTGGGGGATACCAAAGGTCCAGTCAAAACTGCTACGCTGAACTTTGAGGGCTTCACGGTGCAGAACCAAGCTTTCAGTGAGTGCCAGTACCCAATAGCTCCCGCACTGTCACTGAGTTCCTACCGTAGTCCAACAGCCTGTCGACTCCTCTCACTCAGAGGGCGATGGCATCCTGGGGCTTGGGCCAAGCAGTGGGTCGGAGGTCCTCGCGCAAGTTGGCAAAAACACCGGCGACCCGGTACTAGACCGCATCTTTCGCCAGAACCTGACCACGCCGAACTTCCTTACCATCCTCTTGGGGCGCGCGGATGACCCTACGGACACGTTCGTCGGGGACATCACTGTGGGCGAGGTTGTATCGCCGTTCGAAAACATCACTAGCCAGCCACGCCTGCCCGTCACTGAGGTCTCTGCGCGCAGTGGGCAACGCTGGACGGCGTTCCTGGACGAGAACGGGATCATCGGGCCCGATGGGCAGCATATCGTCACGCCGAAGAAGGCGAACGGCAACAGACTGAACGCGCTGTTCGACTCTGGATTCACGTTCCCGCAGGTCTCAAAGTGCGTGTTTCGCAGTGCTGTGGATCGTCCGTTCTTGCTTATACCATTGCACATGTAGGCGTATCGCGGATGCGATCTACTCTCGCGTACCGGGCGCTAAGTTCACGACTGTGTCGAATGCGCCGGGGCAAATGTGGACGCTGCCCTGCTCGACAGAGCTGAACGTCACGTACCTCTTCTCGAACGTCTCTTACCCCGTTCACCCACTCGACACGGTGACGAGCGCATTCCGCGGTCCCGCGGACGCGAACGGCGACCCGACCTGTGTCGGCGCGTTCCAGCCGATCTCGCTGAGCGACCAGGGCTTCGACATCATCCTCGGCATGTCGTTCTGTACGTGGTTTCACCGGACCCCGCGTGTGACCTGAGTTGACCGCTGTGCACAGTGCGGAACGCCTACATGCTTATCAACTTCGGTGACTACGTCGACGGGGCGGCGTCCAAGGTCGGCGACCCGTACATCCAGCTGCTCCCGCTCACGGACCCCGCCGAGGCGCACCGCGACTTTGTGCAAGTGCGCATGGGCGGCATCGATCGCTCCGCGGACCTAAAGCTGCGCCCGGCGCTCACGGATACGAGCGACGACGACGATGACAGCACCACCACCGACTCGGGCGACAACATCAAGAAGTACCTGCCATACATCATTGCGGGCAGTGTCGCGGGCGGGCTCATTCTGCTCGGGCTCGTGCTGTACGCGTGCTTTGGTGGATCCAAGAAGAGGTACCGTCCGCTGCACGACCCTGCGCCGGCGGGTCTCCCTGGTCAAGGGCCGCCGCCGTTCCAACAGTACCAGCCCTCGCGCCGGTACTAAGTGCCTCGCTGCTTCATCTCGTGTCTGTCATTGCTGTGGCTTTGAGATCCTCGCACATCTAGGTTTTGGTTGGGAATATCTCGGGCTTGCTCTCGCGCTCATTGCTTCATGCACGGACAGACATTGGTATTATATCCGAGGTCGTGTAGTCTACCCTCCCCTTTGAATTGCTGCATTTACATATCAACTACACTCGCATAACTTATCCCACGCACATACTGTGCACACGCTACATACTCACAATGTTGGACAATGGAACCACTGACCTTGACGCTGCTGCCCTTGTGTGCCTAGGGACCCCCTCTTGCGCCCACTTCGACAAGACCGGCGATCGTGGCGGAAAACTGAGCGGACTCACCAGAAACGGCAGACAATGGGCGGAAGCACCGCGGCTTCGGGCGGGCCAGCTACCGAAGAACAATCGATGGGGGCCCGACACCGCCAGGCGATTGTTCGAGGGCAAGCCCGGCGTTGCGGGTGGGGGCGAGCGCGGGGCGTGGCGTGATGAGGGGACAAGGCGGCCGAGGCCCGGGGGTCGCGGTGCAACAAGGTTCATCGAAGCCTGGTGGAAGGAATGCCGCGGGCGCCGCGTGTGCGGTCGCCGCCTTGGTCCGCGTGGTGGAATGCACCGCAGGCGGCGACCGCTGCGCGCCGGAGGACGAGCGTGACAGTGTGCTCAGCGGTGCGCGCGCCGCAGAGGAGGCAAGGAAGGTGTGACTCGCTGAGTGATGGGCGAGACGCCCGTGTGGCAGGTCGGCGGAAGAGGCGCGGTGGACGTGGAGAACGCTGAGCCGGGGCGGCGCACGTTGCCGGCCGCGTCGTCGGCGAAGGGAGAGGCAGCGCCGTGGTTGGATTGGATGATGGGCTCCCACGCTGGACAGAAGGGAGCCCTGGCTGGCTGATGCTGATCGGAGAGCGTGCGCCGCCACTGCCGCCCGGCGGGCGTCGCCGAGCACGACTCGCAGGGGCCAATACGCAGCGAGCAGCGAGCAGAGCGTGCAGCGGGGGGAGTGCGTCGCGGCGAGGGGAGTGTGTTCGAGGGCGACGGAGGATGGCCGGCGATAAGATGGTGAGGAGGGCTCGAGGTCGGAGTTGGCGGTGGTGACGAGCAGGCCGCGCTGTGTGGCCCGGCGCACGCGTGCGAACCGAGTCCGAGCTGGGCTGTCGGCTCTGGCGCTCGTCCTTCCCCTTCTCAACGCCCCCAGCCCCCTCCACCACACCTTCCTCCCCGCGTCCATCATCCCCCTCCCCTCTGCCCCCCCGCCCGCCGTCCGGCAAGCAGTGCGCTCACCGACTACTCCGCCCGCCCACCCCGCCACCGCATGCTCAACGGCCACGACGACGACGACCCGATGGCCTCCGGCGCACTCTCCCCCGTCGCGCCGCTCAGCAACAGCGACGATTCAGACAATACGATGCAGGTCGACTCCGATGTAGACGTTGGCCGCAATGTGGATGCCGACGCCGACGGCGAGTATGACGACGACGATGCACAGAGCGTGCACGAGGCTAGCGGCCCCTCCTCCTCCTACCACAATAAGCGAGTCGTACGTGTTCCTCTTGTCTGTTGTGGCGAAGTTCGGCGCGTTAATGAGGTAGGCGGCATGGCAGGTGAAAGATGAGGAGGATTCAGTACGCGCGCTTCTTATGTCTCCATATGCGTCGCTTACGCCTCGCTACCGCAGGGCTACGAAGATGAAGCAGAAGCAGAAGAACCAAATGACGATGAGGAGGAGGACGCGTCGTACGCGGATGAGGAGTATGGTGCGCCCAAGAAGAAAGCACCCAAGAAGAAGAAGGCGCCGTCGAAACCGAAAGGTGTGTAGTTATACCTCGCCATTTCGCGCATATACCCTCATCCCCGCAAAGTCGCCCCTCGACCCTCAATACCCGACTCGGATTCGGATTCTGACTACGGCGCGCGCTCGAAGAAGAAGAAGAAAACGCGATCGGCGAACGACGAGATACGCGTGTCGAGCAGAGGCGTCAAAATCCCAAACTACGTCGACGACGCACAGGATTTCGAGGACGACGATGCAGACGCGCTCGCGTTGGCTGAAGCCACTGTTCCGGTCAAGGAGGAGGATGAGATCGAGAATGTGCTCAGCCACTGTAGAGACGAGGGACACGAAGAGGATGCGGAGGACGATTGGTACAGCAATATCGTACGTAGCCGCATACATCTCGCTATTCCTCCCCTTACACTGCCAATACAGCGTTTCCACATCAAATGGAAGAACTTTTCCCATCTACACAATACGGATGAGGTCTACGAGTTCTTGAAGCGCTTCAAGGGCCTCAAACGCGTCGACAACTACATCAAGGCGTACAAGATAGACCAGGAGCGTCTGAAGAACCCGAGACTCTCTAGGGAAGACCTAGAGACCATACTCCTGCGGCGCGAACGCGACAAGGAGGAACTCGAGATGCACAAGACGGTAGAGCGCGTGATTGCCCAGCGCGACAACGAGCAGGCGGTCGTCGAGTACTTCTGCAAGTGGAACGGGCTCAACTACGAGCACTGCACATGGGAGCTACAGGACGAGATCCGACCTATTGCGAAGGAGCAAATCGACGCGTTCCGCAAACGCGAGGCGGAGGCGAAGTTCCCCTTCAAGAGTGCGGTATATCCGCGATATGGGCGTCCTGACTTCGAGAAGATCAAGGAGGATCCCCCGTATATAGTTGACACTGGCGGCGAGCTCAAGGATTTCCAGCTTACGGGCCTAAACTGGCTGGCGTATCTCTGGAGCAAGGGAGAGAACGGTATCCTTGCAGATGAGATGGGTCTCGGCAAGGTGAGTAGAGCTATTCCTATGGAGGGTACTTAGTTTCGGCGAGCTAACGCGTGCCCACAGACTGTGCAGTCAGTTTCATTCCTGTCGTATCTGTTCCACGAGCGACGGCAATATGGCCCTTTCCTTGTCATCGTGCCCCTATCCACAATCACCGCTTGGCAGTCGCAGTTCGCGACGTGGGCACCCGACATGCACGTGGTCGCGTATATCGGTGGTGCCGCCGCACGATCTACCGCCCGCCAGTACGAGTTCGGGCCATCGGCGAAGAAGCTCAAGATGAACGTCCTGCTCACGACCTACGAGATCACCCTCCGGGACGTGAAGGAACTCGGCGAGATCAAGTGGCAGGTGCTCATGGTGGACGAGGTACGTGCGGCGTTTTGCGGCACAGCTTTGCGGGAATGGGCACTGAGCAGGTTCATCTCCGTTAGGCGCACAGGCTCAAGAACTCGGAGAGCCAGCTATATGAGGCACTCAGCGGCTTCTCGGCTGCGTCCAAGGTTCTTATCACGGGAACTCCCCTGCAGAATAACGTGAAGGGTACGTGGTTTGCTTGTCTAGGTTAACGTACACTTGTTCATTGAGTTCGACAGAACTTCTCTCGTTGATGCACTTCCTCATGCCCGAGAAGTGTGAGTACTGCCATGTCAACGGCATTTACGAGATCGGCATCTAACGCATCTGTGCTATCCAGTCCAGCTCACGAACGAGTTCGACCTCGCCGACGCTGATCATGAAGTGAAGATCAAGGAGCTGCACAAGCAGCTCGAGTCCCTCATGTTGCGCCGCCTCAAGCGCGACGTGTTGACCTCGCTGCCCACGAAGAGCGAGCGCATCCTCCGCGTTGAGATGTCGGCTCTGCAGACGCACTTCTACAAGAACATTCTCACGAAGGTGGGTCCCATCTGGCGTGACGCGTTACGAGAAGCAGCGACTTATCTCGGCATTAGAACTTCCAAGCTCTGGTGAAGAGCGCCAACGGGAACAACAACATCAGCCTGCTCAACATCGGTAAGTAACCTTCCTCCGACGAGCGGGGGTGCAGATGTCTTAACGCAGTCCCGCAGCAATGGAGCTGAAGAAGGCCGCGAACCATCCTTACCTCTTCGACGGCGCCGAGGTTCGCACTGACAACTCTGACGAGATCCTGAAGGGTCTCGTGATGAGTAGCGGGAAGCTGGTCCTGCTCGACAAGCTACTTGCTCGGCTGCGTCAAGACGGCCACCGTGTCCTCATCTTCAGCCAGATGGTCCGGATGCTCGACATCCTCAGCGACTACATGCAGATGCGCGGGTATCAACATCAGCGCCTCGACGGCATGGTATCGTCGGACGCCCGCAAGAAGTCCATTGCACACTTCAACTCCCCCGGCTCCCCCGACTTCGCGTTCCTTCTCTCCACGCGGGCCGGAGGGCTTGGGATCAACCTGGAGACCGCCGATACGGTCATCATCTTCGACGTGAGTAAGCTGCCCCGTCCGGTGCTGCCCCGTTACCTGTGCTGTCACTGCTGCCCGATGCGTGCGCCTCGGAGTTGGCACCACCGAGGGCTGTGCGCGCCGCATCGAAAACACGTTGCTGACGCCCCTCGCCCTTGTCGTCCCCCCACAGAGCGACTGGAACCCGCAAAACGACCTGCAGGCGATGGCACGTGCGCACCGTATCGGCCAGAAATCGCATGTCAGCGTCTACCGTTTCGTGAGCAAGGACACCATGGAGGAGGACGTTCTAGAGCGGGCGAAGAAGAAGATGGTGCTCGAGTATGCGAGTGAGTGGCCGTTTGGCGCTGTGCGCGGGCTGTGACCCCTGACCACGATGCCGCCGGGTGTCTGCTCGCAGTCATCAACCAGATGGACACGTCCCAGGCGCACCTCAGCTCCAAAGGCGGGGCAAAGGACCCTGCGAAGGCGGATGCGCTGAGCAAGGACGAGCTCCACGCGGTGCTCAAGTACGGGGCGCAGAAAATGTGCGTGGCTTGTCCGTTGCCTGATCAGCTATGCGCTGCCGTGCCCTGTACCGCAGCTTTACTAATGCGCCGTGCGTGGCAGCTTCGACAAGGATGACACCCAGCAGAGCAAGAAGCTCGATGAAATGGACCTCGACGACATCCTCAACCGCGCAGAGCACCACGAGACCGTCGCTGCACAGAACGAGGGCGCGTCCCTTGGTGGAGAGGGCTTCCTCGAGCAATTCGCGAACATCAGCGACGTTAAGAACGACATGAACTGGGAGGACATCATCCCGGCCGAGGAGCGCCACCGCTTCGAGGAGGACGAGCGCAAGGCGGAGGAGCTCGCCGCAGTGGAGACCAAGGACCGCAAGCGGACACATGCACCCGTGTCATATGAAGGTATGGACGTCGAGCACTCATCATCGGCACCCCCTGCGAAGAAGGCGCGCCATCCCCCACCGCAGCGGAAGACGCCAAGCCAGAAGGCGATGGAGCTCAAGGAGCGGGACGTCCGTGTGCTCGTCCGGAGTTTGCAGAAGTGGGGCGATATCCGGCAGCGATACGACATCATCGTGAGTACCCTCTCCTGTCCCCAGCAATACTACGGAGCGGGCGGTTGTTCATACGAGATTGGGCGCAGGTCAACGAGGCGAAGCTGCAGGACAAGAACCGCGGCATGATCCAGGACACGTCGGACGACATTATCGACCTCTGCGTAAAGGCGGTCGAGGAGAACAACGCGGAGAAGCGTGCGCGCATCGAGGCGGGCGAGACCCTCACGAACGCGCAGAAGAGCAAAGCCGTGCTCGTCACCTACCGTGGCGTGAACAACATCAACGCGGAGACGGTCCTCTCTCGACACCGCGACTTGCAGATCCTCTTCAAGTACCTCGACCCCATCTCTCAGGACGACATGTACACCTGGACAATACCGATCGACAACATTCGCCCGACGCTTAATTGGTCGGGGCGGTGGGGTCCCCAGGAAGACTCGATGCTGCTCGTCGGCGCATACAAGTACGGGTTCGGCAACTGGGAGGCGATGGCGAAGGACCCGCGGCTAGGGCTCGAGGGCAAGTTCTTCCTGGAGGAGGGCAAGAAGGGCGAGGACGCGGCGAGCAAGCCAATACCAAACGCCATTCATCTCGTGCGGCGGGGCGACTACCTGCTTGGGATCTTGCGGGAACACGACGAGAAGATTCGTGCTATCGAATCGACGCTCTCTACGCGGCATAACAGGCACTCGTCCAAGACATCGTTGTCGCCACCACCGCCGGTCGCGTCGACGTCGTACACGAGCGCGGTTCGAAAGCGGGCGGAGAGCGAGGCAGTCGCATCGGTGGATGAGGGGAGCAGTAGGAAGCGGAAACGGAGGCCAACGCCGACCTTCACGGACTCGTCTTCGTCGGATGAGTGGTATGTCTTATTCTTTTGTTTTTCATCATTCACTCCAACTTACTTACCATTGTGTCTTCTGCCTTAGCCCATCTATGGACGAAGCAGCGACGAAGGAGGAGCTCCGGCCGGTGAAGAAGCAGCTGAAAAACCTCAAGCTTTCCGGCGGTGACATGCCGAGGGAAGACAAGGTGGCCATCCTCAAGGAGTCCCTCGCTGCCATCGGCAAGCGTATAGAGGTGGTTCTGCAACAGAAAGAGGCGGCAGGCGAGGATCGAACCAAGTGGCGACGACACTTGTGGACGTGAGTGTCGTGACACCTTAACTATTGACATGTTGCTAACGAAGACGTTCCAGGTTCGTTACTCTGTTTTGGCCAAAGAAGGTCAAGGCAGGGAAACTTGAAGAGATCCATGCGAAGATGGTCATGAAGGAGAGCGCGCCGCGGGCGTCGTCGAGCGACGCTACATCCGCTGCGAAGAAGCCCCGACTCAGCACAGGTGCAGCTAGTCGAAGCGGGGCCCCCTCTCTACCATCAGCATCGACAACCTCGTCGCACACAAATGGGAAGTACCGGTGACACCCTCCCATCGCCCTCCACCCGTTTCGTTCCTTTGCTCCGCCTGCTCTGCTGCCGTTGAATATCAGTGACTGCTATACCTGCGTATGTAATGCCCTGCCCCTCTGTATCGTTGACTATCCCACCTCTCCCTCTGTACTCTACCTCGACATGACCCTGATGCTCCCGGACACACCTCATCGCGCACTCTGCTCCGCTACTGTCTTGTTTATACGTCAGTGCCCGCTCATACGTTACACTACGTGCTTCACTTTTTCGCCGCCGCCGGCCCCCACCACCTCAGCACCTGACGTCTTCGCCCTGCGCTCTGCACGCTGTTCCTCTCCGCGATCCCGCTGTTTTCGTAGTACCTACAGAGCGCAATCATCTGAATTACCCTGTGTATCATTGTGTCTTAATAATACAACAATATATCCGTGCAACTATATACACCGTCCGCGCTCAAGCAGCTAGAACGAGTCCTGTACGGGCGGGCCTAGCTAGAGATGAGGCGAGTCACGATAACTGGAGTTTGGGTGTAGTCTGGGAGCGGGGAGAGTGTCGTGCCACATTTACGGGACGCGCTGTGATCAGAGAAGTATACACAGTGAAACCGACGCACACAAGCTACCCTGCGGACTACTCCGTTCTATATATCCCGACCCGCAATCGCAACGCTGACCGAGAGAGGATTGGACCGCTTGCGGCCGCCGTCCTATTTTACACCTACGTGCACACTGTGGAGTTCAGCACTCGCCCGCCCCGTCAGGACCCGGACCGAGCACGAGCGACACTCACTCTCGGCCCTGGACGAAGATGGCCGGCTTGAGCGTCGAAGTGCCGCCGCTGCGCTTGCGCGTGCGAGGGCCGACGGTCACGCTAACCAGCGGGGGGCCTCCGTCAACAGTGGTCAAGCTGGACTTGCGCTGTCGAGATTGCGATCGACGCCTCGACGAAGTCCCGTTCGCCCCAGCAGCCTGTGCAATGGGCGCGACCGCCGCGCGTGCCGCTATACATACCGCTGTCAGCCACGCCTCGTCCTGTAACAGAAAGTGAGGGCGAAGGGGACGCACCTTCGACGACCTTCGCGTCCGCCTCGCGATGGAAACTCTCCATGAGCGCAGTGTAGCGCTTGACTTGCCACGCAAGCTGGCTCGCGCGCGCGGTGTTTCCCTGGCTCAATGCCCACTTGCGTTCCTCTTTAAAGCGTCGCCGCTCCGAGTCCGCGAGGCTCGCGCGCGCGCGGAGCACTGCAACGTCGCGCTCCTGGGGCGTGAGCTTCCCCTCTGGATCGAGCGAGGATGGTACAGAGTCAAGGGAGATCGACGGCGCGGTACTGCAGTACGTGAGGGTTGGGGTAATGGGTCGGATGTCCGTAGGGCGGCCGTGGCGCTCGACGCGATCGCGCTCGCGCTGGAGGTCGGCACGTTCCCGCTCGCGGTCGGCGCGTTCCCGCTCACGGTGGCGGTCGTGCTCCTCGCGTTCACGGTGGGAGGGTTGGTTATGTCGATGGGATCGCGTGCGGTCGCGACCAAAGGAGACGAGGCGGATGCGTTTGGAGGGTTCCGGTGCTCGCGTGTGTCCAACGGTCACTGGGATAGGAGGGCGTTCGGTGTCTACCTGCGCAGCAATCGCAGGGTCCACGTATTGGGCAAGAAGGTCGGTCACGAGCACTCCGAGGGCGACACCGATGACCGTGCATGCCGTTTGCATAACATCCGAGAGTCGCAAGAAGTCGATGACGAGCTTGGCTACGACACCAACGACAACGGCGACAACCACTTGCGGCAGCTGGGTAAGGGTGTTCTGCACCAGGACACCCTGGAAGAGCCCATTGAGGAGGAAGTCGGGGGTGGAGGGTGTGTGTGTGGGATCGGGGATGAGGGTATTTACGAAGACGCGCGCGCCGAGGGCGAAAAGGAGCGGGAGACCAATCGTGAGTTGCATGAAATGTCGGGTGTGGTCATATAGGCATGAGAGGGGGGTATCCACGGGAGCAAGAGCGAGCGCGACCACAAGCACAGCGACGAGCACAGTAGAGAGATGAGGAGGGCCGCAGGGCGGCGTCTGTCCGCCCTGTGAAATCCAACACACGGCCAACACGTGGGGCTCGGCGCGCGCTATCGCATCTAGGACCACAGGCACAGCGACGACAAGCGTCGGAATAACAGAAAAACAAGTGGGGTAGGGTACAGCAGCATGCGTAGTAGTACAAATGTCCATCTCAAAGCTCCGTGTCCACATAATTCGCCATCGGGTCCTCCGTCATTCGGCGGTTCATTCGGTAAGCCTCTGCATCTGAATAAGCAAAGCGTTCACATAGCATGGGTAGATGAACAGGAACTTACCGAGCTCTTCCTCCGAGACCTCATAGCTCTTCTGCTTCTTCCCGAATCGATCGTCGTCCTCCCCACCCTTCGCTTTCCGTTTCCGCTCGTCGGTAATCGCCTGGGCAAGCTTGCTCTTGTCGAGAGCGAGGTCGCCCTCGCCGAGACGTTTCTTCGAGAAGAGCTCCTCCGCCTTCTTCTTGCGGTCGTCTACGCTATCCGCGACGGGTGGTGGAGGAGGTGGCGGCATAGACGAAGTAGCGGCCGCCTGCAGAAGGTGCTTCGCGCTGGACTCCTCCGAGGCCTTGATACCGGCTTCGCCGGTACAGTAGGACATGTGAATGGACGAGCGGCAGCATGCGTAGCCCCATGAGCCTGTCACCATGTCGTACCACGAGCCCCAGACCTCGGTGTGGTTGTTTACGTAGACTAGTAAATGGTGAGTAGGGTCCAGGATGCAACAAAATATAGAAGGCATACCATCTTCGGCGTACTTGGACTTAACCTTGGCCCGCTCCTTGCCCTTGATGACCTGACCCGTCCTCGAGTACTCAACGTACTCCTCGGTTTGTCCATGGAGCAGCTCCTTCGGCGCCTTCTCCAGGTACTCCTCACCACCGTACTTGGCGAGGATGCTGACTTTCGTCGTGTCCTTGAGCTCGTCCTTCTTTTTGTTATACTCTTTGTGCAGGAGCTGCCCTTGTGTGGGGAGAGCATTGATATGGACGTCATTTCCTCGTTGTGCGGCGTTCCACGCGAAGAGCTGTAGTTTCTGCACTTCCGGGGCCTCTCCAGAGTAGCGCAGGAAGTTGTCGCCCGTGAATCTCGCCTGAGCCTTGCGTAAGCACATCTCTCAGCCACAGTAGACAGGATACGTACCTCCTCCACTGGGACGTTCTTGAGCGGGTTATCACGCATAGAGCGAGTCTTTGGATCGTAGTATGCACTCGACGGGTCCAAGTTGATGAGGTACTTCGCCGTGTCCTCACGGATACGCAGGTTCCGCACTGTAATGCGCGTCTTCGTGTCCAGCTTCTGGCCCACCGCGTCCGCCGCATCCGCATACTTGTCCGTGTCCTCATCCTCGTCCTCACTGCTCCCAAAGTCGTCGTCCCGCCCCTCGCTCTTCTCCTTTCCTGCCTTCGCGATCGCCCGCACGGCCGCGAGGTCCGTCGTCGTGCGCTTGTCGATCTCCTCCTCGCGCAGTCGCTGCCGCTCCGCCTCAACTGCCTCGTACTCGTCGTACACATGCCGGTGCTGGCCCGGGTCGTACCCGTTCCAGCGGTCGCGTTTCGCGTCGTACCCGCTCGCGACGTCCTGGATCACCTCGTCCGGCGCGATGTCGCGGTTCGTGAATTTCGCGCCCTTCTTGCGTGGCCGCTCGAGGCAGTCCGCTTTCTTGTGTGTCACCGCCCCACAGTTCTCGCACGCGCCTTTACGGTACTTCTTCGCAGCAGGCCCCGCCTTCGCACCGCGGTCGTACCAGTTGTCGAGCTTGTCCGCGGAGCGGTCGTATTCAGGGATACGTTGGTGGCTGAGTGAGGGTGCGCCAGTGTCGAGATACCACGGTGCTTGGGCGATGTATTCTGCGAAGTACGGATATTAGATGTCTTCAGCGCCATAGAGAGCATGTATAAGTGTACTGACGGGGAATATGGGGGTTGATGGGCTTTCCCTCTTCATCAAGAGCTGCCGGAGCAGTACCAGCTTTCCGTGCTGCGTCGAGATCTTTCTGCCGCCTGAACTCCTCTCTAGAAAGCTTGCCAGTAGCTGCACAAGTAGTCAGTATCGTCTGCGTGGTAATCCAGCATAGCAAAGACGGCACCTGAAGCGGAGGCCATGATGAGGAATGGTGGTGGAGGTCAAGGAACCTAGTGGATGCCGCCCGAGGTGAGTGCCAACAAATAAACGCCCAAAGTAAGCACCGGCAAAAGAAAAAACCACAATTGACAGTGACGAGATTCGAACTCGCGCGGGAAACCCATCACGGTTTTGGACGAGACCTAAACGTGACGCCGTAACCACTTGGCTACACTGCCTTGATCGAGAGAGCTTGCCAGCAATCATGGCCGTGTATATACGTGCAGTGTCTAACGCAGGAACCAACTGTTCCACTAAATCTCTCGACCATCCCCTTCTCCTGTTTTCATACAGTACTCCACGTTGTAGTGCACGCTGCCGAGGCCAAGTATAGACGGGAAAGGGATGTCGTCATTATAAAACAGGAAATTTATAGAAGCATCCGCAATACAAGGTGGTGGAAAAACTCGGTCATACGTCTCAGCTCACAGGTTGAATTATGCTTGTCTCTCGAGCGATGTTGATTTACAAACAGAGGTGTGCGATCGTCTCTCCTTCGCGGTGCTAGAACGTCCCGACAATGTGCACATGGACATGTTCGGGAACGCATGCTCACAGCAAAGAAACACCAATGCACCCCCAGGTCCAGACAGTGTCCCCTACGTCAGCGATTGATACCCAGTGAGCTCGAGATGCCTTGATGCTCAATCAGAGTCGGCGATGGTCTTGCCGCGAGAGCCGTGTACGGCAAGGAAACAGAGAGGCCCTGGCTGAGGTCACATCGCTGCTCCACGAGAGAAGGTTTTGCCGAAAAAGCGATAGAGAGCAGGGGTGCATAGCAGGAAACGTGCTGAGCATGAGCACACGGATATGAACGTCCTGGATCGCACCGGATGAGCGAGGAGAGCGAGGAGGCGGAAGAGGAGTGGGAGGACGGGTCGACGGAGGACGGGAGGGGCGCGGCCCGATCGAGAGGGAGAATTGCGCCGACGGCTCGGGGAGCGCCGAAAGCGGCCAAGGGAGGACACTGGTCCCACGCCAACGGCTCGCTCTCACTGCTCTCCTTCTCCTTCTCCCTCATCGCCCTCTGCAGTCCCCATGCCACTCCGCTCATAGTCGTCTCTGCCATGATCCTGCTAGATGGACTTGACAAGCATGAGGCCCCGCTGGCCGATAAGAACCAGGCTGGACCGTCTTTGCCACCCGTAGCACGGGCGCACACCCCAACCCCTTCTCTTCCCGACTACGAAGCCTCCCAAGCCCAGCTCAAACCAACCGTCCTTTCCTATCCCGAAATTCAGGAGAAGCGGACCCGCAGGCGGAATTACAGGAGATATGCACTGTACGCACTCGTGGTGTATTTTGTGATTTCTGTCGCCATTGGCGTCCCTTTCCTTGTCATTGTGAGTATCGTCCCCTTTCTCGATCGGTGACGGAGCCTCATCTCCCCCAAGAAACTCAAGAAGAGGGCGTATACGAAAGCGAATGCATCATATCCTCAACCATGGTCAGCAAGTGACAACCTGCCGCCTCAAGCAATAACATTAGGCGATGCACCCTTGCGCCTATCATCTGCCAGGTCATGTAACGCATGGAGCTCGCAAGATGTTCAAGATGGCTCCTCATTGCTACAGGCTGAGTGAGTACTGCTCCCTCGTTTATAGTGTGTACAAACCTGACGACGTCCCGATGAAGACTCGAGTACCACGTGCCCGTGAACGGCTCCCTCTTCCTTAACACCAATATCACCTACTCTGGCAACGGCACCTACCTTGACCACTTCTCTGGCCAGCTGATCGTTGGTCTGGACGACGACTTGTCTGCGACGGATGCGACGGTCCGCGTGTCGATGCACTACACAACACCACAACTTCGAAATGCTACGAACGTGTGTATGATGCAAACGGGTTCTGGCGGCGGCCTATATCTCTTCGTAAGCATCACAGTCCTGACAAGCGCACCTCCCTTAACCGGATCGTACAGACCCCCAAGAACATGACCGAAACCGACTCACTTCACTTCAACATCACTCTCCTCCTCCCTCGTAATAACGGTGATCAAAGTACACGCAACATCCCCCAACTCCTCTGTCATCTCCCCCATTTCCAGCATATATATCAATCTATGGACCCGTATGTGACCTTTGGGAGTGTGGTGCTGGGCGGTGCCATGGCAGGGGTGGAAATCGAGGTGCGTGGAACCCGTGATCCGACACTCGCTCTTTTCTCATGACCGTACAGTCAATACAAGCATCAGACGCCGTCGTGAAGGCATCGTCAGCAGAAATCCGGGGCCAGTTCACCGTGGGCTCGTCGTTATCATTGGAGACGGTATCTGCGTATGTTACCAACTGCCTTCTTGGGTGATCGACATACTGATCTTTCGGCAGACCAATCAACGCAGACATCCGACTCTTTAATAACGGTACGTCGGGGAAGCCTACCTATATGCATCTCACGACGGGCAATAAGTGAGTTCATTTACACGTAACGTATGTTGGATCATATTGACGGTTTCCAGTCTGTTGAATGCTACGGTCACGATGTTCGTGCCCCCGGAGATGGCGAACATGACGGGCCCCCACTTCCTGACGCACGCGGAGACGTTCAACGCGCCGCTCACCATCGCGCTGATGCACGACCCAGCCTCCGCACCCGCCGTGGTGCAAATGCGAGCGCTAAACAACCTAGGCAACTCTCGTGTAAGCGTCGACTCGCGGTATGAGGGCACGTTTGACGTCAGCACAATGTTCGCGCAAGCGGACGTGCTCACGAAGCACGACTCGTCCCAAAACTATCGCAGCGTCAACAGCGGGAAAAACATGATGCGCCTTACCAACTACCAGGGAGCAGATAGCGACGACTCTTCGTCGTCGATGAAGAAGCCCGTCATGTACCTCGCGTCCCCAACGACCACCTCTTCATCATCATCTTCCTCCACCTCCGCCGCTGCCAACCAAAGTCGTTGTCTCGAGTACGACCTCATATCGAGCTCGGAGATCCGCGGATGGGTTGGCATACCACCACGAGCACCACCACCGACCCCTTCCTCCCCTGGCAACGCATTCCGGGCGATGGGCCACATCGACGTCGTATCCTCCCTCAGCGGCGCCCAGCTCATGCTGCTCACATAGTCTCGGTGGCCGTAGGCCACAACAGGTTGCTTGCGCACGGACATCTTATCGCACACCCCGCACAGCCGCACCGCTCTTTTCGCATTCGTAGCCGTAGTAGTCGTACTCATCATCGCCACCACCTTCCTCATGCTCATCATTCTCATCGTCATCGCCTCGGGGTTCGGATCGCTTCGCCAGGTTCCTTCCGCACAGTGTGTAGCGTGTACTCTATAGGACCGTTCTCCTTCCTTTTGTCTATCTTATTGCCCGCGCTCTGGGCGTATTCTGTTGTCGCATGCGCGCGATGCCGCTGCGCCTGCTTTATTTGGCCGTTGCAGCTGCTAGTGCCGCAGTTGCTGCGACCCTTCCATACCTACTACCTGCCGCATCGATCGCTCGCTCGCGCTGTGGCCTCCCGTCGTATATACCGCACACTCTCTTGCAATCACAACTGTACTCTCACCCACACACCTGCTTGGAACGCACCGCTGGCGACGTGCGCGCACACCTGGAACAGGTTTGATAACAATCGGCGCTCTTTACATTCCGAGTCAATGCATAGTGAGTGCCGTTTAAAGCCTTTTGTGCCACTTGGCTCCGTGATCTCCCGTAATGCTAATAGACTAGCTCCGAATGTGCACCGCTCCCTTTGTACATTTGGCACATGAATGCCACGTTCTGACAAACCGTATATATACAGGGTCGGCTTCGCCATCTGTCGCCGGATATCCGCACTCTCCCTCTTTTTCCGCCACGATGAACGACCACTGGCCGCACACGCAATACACCCACCCGGCGCGACCCAAGTATGACGGTAGTCGACATCAGTTCACAGCCGAGGAGCTTCTTCAGACGCTTGACGGCGTCAGTGTGGCAGCCAAATGGAAACCGGTCGTGACTAGAAAGGTGCCTGACCCTACGCCGGAGCAGCTGCAGGAGATCGAGAAGGAGCTGGAGCAGCGGCGGCAGTGGGAGGAACGGCGGCTGGCGCGGGATGGGCCTCGTCCGCCGACACCACCACCATCACCACCACAGGAGGAGGTGAAAGACCAGGAGACGGCGGAGCAGAAGGAGGAGCCTATCAAGCAGTGGATAGAGGCCCACCAGAGCGCGACCAACCCCGACGGTACCCACTCCCTACTCCAGTGGCGCGAGGATCTTTGCCAGCTGAAGGACGAGCGGTCGAAGAGCGCTGCGAGCATCATGCTCGGCGTCGCTCTCATTCGCCAGGAGAATCGCACAGCCGATCCCGAGGCATCCGGGGCGACCGTGACCTCGCCCGACATCGTCGAACTCATCTGGGCACTCATCTTCTACGGCCTCAGGAGCGGGACCCTCGGAATGAGCCCCAACCGCACCGCTCAGGGCTTCCTCGCTACCCCTTTGTGCAGCCGTAGCCACCACGGCGACCTTTCAGAGCTCTTCCGACTCCATGTCTGGCAACCGCACGAGTACCGCGGCAAACCGGAGATCGCTATCCATTCGCACCAGTCCTTCGCACGCAGCTGGGTTCTGGGGGGCACGGGCATCGACCACCAGTACTCCGTTACAGAGATGGCAGAGCAAAAGGACGCGACATTCGCCAAGTTCAAAATTCAATGGGAGACGGAAGACGAGGACAAGGTCGGGGTGACGTACAAGACGTACCAGCGACGTTCGATCATCGAGAACCAACAGATCTGGATGAGAGAGAAAGAAACGAGTGTGGAAACGCACACGAAGGACATGTCGTACTCCGTCCTCTCCGCGGTCTATCACCGGTCTCAGATCCCCCCGGAAGAGCTTCACGCGACCCTGTTTTCCTTCGATGCGTATCACGGCTACGACAAGCATGCTGGAGTGCTTGGACCTGTCGATGTCCAGAAGTTTTCACAGGATCGCGACCCTCACGGCATCACCGCGCCATACCTCGCGACACTCGCCGAATCGCTGCGCCACTTCGATTTCCTCATGGACAAGGTCCGAGAGTATTCTAGCGACGCCCACCGTGACTGGAAGTCCGCCCAGGGGGGCATCCAGGAGGCACTTGAGCTGTTCGAGCCGGGCGCTATGCTTGCGGAGGCACAATGCTGTCTTGACATCCTCCGCGCTGAGCAGGCCAAGCTCGCTACGCTGGTCGAGAACGACGAGCGCTCCCCACCGAGAGCAGAGCCACTATCCGACGAAGTAGCATCCGAGCATTCTGCGTGGGTACTGGACGCCAAAGGGTATTCCGCGACTGCCGTGCCCAACAAGGCGCGGATGTTGCGAAAGCGAAAGGCTAGGGACTCTGACTTCGTCGACGACCTACCTGAAGGTTGATATATTGGTGAAGGAGTTGACTTACGAAGAATGACTGGTACTGACATTCCTGGAGAGGTAGACTGAGTTGCTAGGATACCGACCGCTTGCGAATTCCCATGGTTGTTGGATATGTTTGCTTGTGTGATTGTACGATACGTAGTAATATGTATGTTGACTGACGATCTGTACGATATGTGTATACGTAGTATTCCCACCAAAACATCTTTCGGCCCGTAGGTGTTTCTTTGAACGGGGCAGTCAGCGGTCCCATGTTGTAGTCATCTCGTGCCCTCCGTTCCGCGCTTTCTTCTAGTATGTAAAATATGTCTATGCATTCCCCATACTTATACGAATCAACTGTTTCTCCGACGGACTCCTCCAAGCCTTCGCATCGCTACGACGGTCAGATGAACCAATTCGTATTGGGTCAACGCCTGGAGCGGCCAGTGCAGTTGGTTTCGACCGATGAAACTGGCAGAATTTCTTCGAGATTCATGACCATCTTCTACGTTCTCCATCACACTGTTAGCTGCTTGACGCTTGACGTCTAACTTGAGTAGCGGGCTAAACACATTAGTGCGAGGTTGTACTGGCGCTTACCATCAAGTATACCTGCCAGAGCGAGACGACCGTTGACCTCCACCTGCGACCCAACAGACCGAACGGCAAACTGAATGCAAAAACGCGTTTAGAGTTGTCCGTAAAGTGCAGTATCATTATACCTATACAATTGCAAAGTACTCATCCATAAATAATACTACCTGCAACCCTGAGCGATCACGGAACGATCATAGCTCGCTCCTCGGGACCTGGTCCTTTCCAGACACCCTGAAGATGCTGAGCGCGGCCTCGAGCATGTCCTGGATCCCGTCGAAGAACCCCTGGAGGCACCCGACGGTCCCGTCGCGACATGCCCGGACCCAACACGCTAAGCGGTCGAGTAAACCAGCCAAGAACTGCGGCGAGGGGCTGGAACCATCAACTCCTGGCGAGTGTTGCGCCTGCGTTGGGTTCAGTACAAAATGTGAGGAATAAGGGCATGTACGGGCATACCTTGCGCGCTGAAGCGGACTCCGAGACCAGGTTCGCCTCTTCCTCTGCGCCTGTCTCGGCCCACATGCGTCGGAAGTCCTGGACCATGTGCAGAGACTCCATGAGACGGTGAAGCGTGTTGATGAGCGCGACGACCTCGGAGCGTTGAAGCAGGTTCGTGTTCGCCTTCGGGCTGTTACACGTACTCAATCAAAATTGAATATGCGTGAAGGGAGTAACAGTACGCACTCAAGTGCCTTTTCGTCGAGCTCGAACAGCACTTTGAGCGCCGTTGCGATACCCGTGGTCTGAACCTTGCCCCAGAGCCTGCACTTGTCGCAGCCGACGCAGTCCATGATGCGCGTGACGTTCCGGAAGTGCTCCTTGAACTCCTCCTTGAGCACGTTCGCGTTCTCTCCGCGGAACATGGCGGTCTCGTCGAAGCGGCCGACCTCGGTCGCTACATCTATGACGCGGGTGAGGCGCGCGAGCGTCTCCGCGTCGTCCTCATGGGTCCCGCTCGCGCAGTAGTCGTACGCGGTCAGATATGGGCCGAGCCGCGCGACCGCGCGGAGGAGCAGTACTGCGTCGAAGTAGATATACTGCAGGCGCTCTGGGTACGCTGCGACGCGCGAGATGAAGCACTTCAGGTCGGGTCCCTGAGATCGCAGAAGGTTAGACGCGCTATCAGGGAAAGTAGGAATGTGGACGCACCCATTCGCCAGTGGTTTGGTTCATGGTGTCATGACAGATGTGCGTGGAGATACTCGCATGGAGACCGGAGACGACCCTGTAGTACACCTTCCGCTCCAGACACTCCTTCGGGTCTTCCGTGTCATCACCGCCCACCGCCTCCTTCAGGCTGTTCGGAAGAGCACCGAGTCCATGGTTCGGAGAGGTTGACGGGATGACGTCCCATTCAGTCATGCCGAAGCAGTTCTCCTTGTAGATAGCCTCCCAGACACGATGTGCAGATGGACCGGTATAGCCAGTAAACCGTTCGGGATTGAGAGTGAGGTCAACGTAGTCGCCTTCGGTCATGTCGTCCAGGAAGCAGAAGTCTGAGTCGCGGTAATAGCAACCAGGGAGTTTCGTCCGCTGCTCGCTGGTTAGAATGGCTTCGAAGCATTTGCGGCCGCGGTGGACTTACTTGGTCGCCGAAAGGCATCTCCACCTTACTCAGCTCCGCCGCACGCCATCGTTCTGGAATTTCACTCTGTTCCACAGTACATGTCAGCAGGCCGCTACATGGAAAGGTTGAACCTCCGCAACATACCTCGTCTACTGTAGTGATGCCGCACTCGCGGTTCATACACAGACCGTTTTCTTGCCAATATGGGCAATCGCGGTAGAGGTCGACCCGGAAGAACTTGAAGAACGGAGTCTCGACGAGGGAGTGTAGCTCGTTGTAGAGGTCGTCTGTAACGCTCTCTATCGACTCATAATTGCATTGGGTGGTCTCTATAGGACCTGTGGGCTGCAGAGGAGTATGATCTACGTCAGGTGGACTCGGAGAGGAGCAGAAGGACTAAGCCCGAACGCACGATATGTTTACATGCAGCCTCCTTCACTGGTTCCCTCTCAAGAACCGACTTCACTTGCCCACTACGCTGTTGTGTATCGACCAAGAGCGCTTCCTGGGAGTCGGCGGCATGGGAAGAGAAGGGGTAGAAGAGACAAGCGAGAAAGAGCGCGTGGAGATGACGCGAGAACATGTGAGCGTCCTGTCGGTGGCTGCGATTATACCGCGCTCTTGGGCAGCAAGGACTAGTCGGGGTGTGTGTGGTGAGGCGTCTGGCCTGGCAGGACTTATAAAGAGGGTGGGCGAGATGGAGGCGCGGGTGAGAAAAGGTCGGGGATGTGTCAGACGGATAAATTGGAGGTTTGGGCCACGTCGGCGCGAGAAACACAGCGCTTTCGCTCTTGCTCTGTACGGCCATCTCACGCTCCAGCACGCTCCAGCCTCTTTCCTCGGCCCCTCTCGCCCACGGCTGCACCTGCACACACTTCCAACGTCTTGTTGAGTTTGTTGTATACTATGGTCTAGGCGTGCATGTCCGGACAGCCCAAGACTTGGTCGTAAGCTCTGAGACGTGTCAGGACTCGCTATGACCTCTAGTCAATTCCTTCGTGGCGCTGCAACCTTCGAGATCGCCAGTACCACTACTTCTCAAGCTGATATGTCGAAGCCTGGCATCAAAGGTTGGATGTGTTTATGGCTGCAAGCTTACCGAGTCGAGTGCTTTCCGGTATCCTCGGAGTGCAGTTGGCGGTAGTATTTACTACAACTAGTCGAGGCTGATGAAGCCTCTTGGCAGTTAGTTTACTGGACTTCCCCTCTACACCCCATGGTCATATACCCGGCTTTCTCAGGAATATATGATTGACTACCTTCGATTAGACTTTTGTGTCCAAACATACAGCCGGGCTGGGAAGTGTCCCTTAAGGGAGCCGAAGGAGGCAGGTGGTTCCCACGAAGACGCTCAGGACACGTGGGAGAGAGGGAGGATCGCCCACGTAGTATTTCGGGTATATACACATCTTGCTCTCAACTCCCATCTCTCCCTCATAGCGGCTCTCTTTTCGCGAGTGTCGCCAGGAATCCCCCGTCTCAGGCCTCGCGCTTCCCGGACACCCGTACAACTTAATTGCCATGGCTCAGGCACTCTCCGCTGCTGACCTCCAGGTAAGCGTCCTCCCCGACCCCGTCGCGCCGTCGCTCATCCCAATCACAACGGTAGAGGAGGCACGAACTCGAAGGCGCCCCCGACCCGTTCCCCAGTCTGATCGACGACACTCCGGTTAAGGCCCGTGCTCCCGCGGCTAGTCGTGCCGTCGACACCGACTCCCAGGAGGCCTTCCCTTCTCTGGCCCCCGTCCAGCTCGGTAACAAGCCCACCGCCTCGGCCTGGGGTGCCAATGCTGGTCCTCGCATCAAGCCCCCGGCGCCGAAGCAGCCCGTCGTCTCGGACTCCTTCATCCTTTCGTCTATCGATCTCTCCACCGCTGGCAAGGATGGGAAGCCCACGTCCCTCGGTGAAGTGATGAGGCAGGTTATGTCCCAGCACAAGGTTAAACTCGACGCGTCCACGAACCAGAAGTCGCACCAGACCACGTTCTATCTCAAGGCCGACTCCAAGAAGGAGCTCGAGAGGGCGAAGAAGAGCCTCCTCGCTCTGCTCAGTCCGATCGTACGTTTTCCCTCCAGAATCCACCTTCCCGTGGTCTCGGGGCGCATTCGGCGCGTGTTGGAGTGGTCAACTGTATACATCGGCAATGTACCATCGTGACCACCATCAACACGCGTCGGGGTCGCAAACACTCCGCTCGCGACTACTTGAAGCATGGTTTCCTATTTCCGTCCGATTTATGTAACCGACATGTCCCGCAGGTCACTCTTACGCTTAACGCCCCGGCCTCGACCATTCCGACTATCATCGGTCCCAAGGGCGTCACTCTCAAGCAGGTCCGTGACCAGACTGGCGTTAGGGTGGACATTCCCCGCCGCGACACGCTTGCACCGGCTACCAACGGACAGACTAACGGCGGCTCCCACTCCCCTTCGCGCAACCCGACTCCTCTCCCCGGTTCTCCCATTGACGGCGATGAGGAGGAAGAGCCCACGGTCCCCGTCACCATCACTGGTCCCCAGCCCCTCGCACTCGAGGCACAGGCACTGCTCAACGAGATTATCGCAACGAAACGCTCCCGTGCCACGCAGCGTGTGCGCGACATCCCGGAGCACATTCTGCCGTTCGTCCTTCCCCGCCGCGAGCAGTTCCTTGCCGCCGCCGAAGGTGCGGACGTCAACTTGGCGCTGAACGGTGCCGCCCGCGAGATTACTGTTACTGGAGACCGCGACGCGGTCACTCGCGTTGTGGAATCTATCAAGTCTGCGGTCGAATACTTCAAGACCGATGTGATCTCGCTCAAGCTGTCGCTTCCCAAGCGCCAGCATCGTCTGCTCGTCGGCAAGAATGCGGAGGACATTATGGCCAAGGCGCGCTGCGCTATCATCGTGCCGAAGCCCGACGAGGCCAGCGAGGAGCTGCTCATCTGGGGTAAGGCGACGGACGTTGGCCTCGGTGTCCAGGCAGTTATGGAAAAGGCGAACTCGGCGTACATCCACGAGTTCCCGCTCCCCGGCCCCATCTCGGTCTCGCGCCAGCTCATGACTTACATGGTTCGCGTCAACTACGCCAAGACTCTGTCAACTGCGAACCCTGGCGTACAGGTCTATACCCCGGCTGCTTCGACTTGGGACCGTGCGTCTGTGCTGAACGTGGACATCATTGGCGAGAAGCCGAAGGTCGACGCGGCAGTGAGCCAATTCTCTGCGCTCATCGGTAAACTGTTCGGCGCGACCAAGGAGGTCCCGATCGATTGGCTCGTGCACCGTATCATCAACTCTAACAAGAACGCGAAGAAGTAAGTTTGGTGTTGAGCGCGCCGGAACGAAGACTGATCAGACGTTCAGGATCAAGGCATTCCAGGACGTTCAGAACGTTCTGGTCTTCTTCCCGCCGGAATCTGCTGAGCAGTCCACGGTTCTTCTGGTATACGACCCGACCTCACCCAACGCGTCCCCCTCCCCCGTCGAGAAGGCCAACAACCTCGAGACGGTGGAGAAGGAACTGCTCAAGATGGCTCGCGACGCTGCCGATGTCAAGACTGAGGTCATCGAGGTTGAGAAGAAATGGCACGACGCGGTCGTCGGCCGCGGCGGCACTACTCTCAACGCTATCATCGGCGAGGACAAAACGCTCTCGATCAAGGTCGGTACGGACGCCGGCCAGGCGTCAGAGGACTTCATCCTCGTCCGTGGTATCAGCGCAGACGTCGACCGCGCGGTTGGCGAGATTCGCAAGATCGTCGAGGACGCGAAGAACGATGAGATCGTGAGCAGCTTCGTCACGGAGTTTGAGATCGAGCGTGACTACGTCGGGCGCATCGTCGGCGCTGGTGGTGCGGGGGTGAACAAGCTCCGCGACACCCTCGGCGTGAAGATTGACTTCTCGGACGAGGGCGAGGAGAAGGAGAAAGAGGTCACGAAGAAGAAGAAGGGTGTGCACCAAAAGTCGCGCGTCAAGATCGTCGGGCGCAAGGAGAACGTCGAAGAGGCCAAACGTCGCATCCAGGCGCACGCGGACCGCCTTGCGGACGAGACGTCCGAGGTGCTCAAAATCCCGCATCAGTACCACTCCTCGCTCATTGGTCAGAGCGGCAAGTATGTTATCCGCCTCGAGGAGAAGTACGCCGTGAAGATTACGTTCCCGCGCGAGTCCGCTGCGGACGGCGAGGGCAAGACCCGTGAGGTCCTGAAGGTCGATGAGGTGCTCGTCAAGGGTGGCCGGAAGGGTGTCGCCCAGGCCAAGCAGGAGCTCTTGGACGTGAGTATCCGTTTATGTTGCTTAGAGCCTGAAGGCTGACGTCGTCACAGGCTGTCGAGTTCGAGAAGGAGTCGAACAACGTTGTCAAGTTCACCGTTCCCTCCCGCTCGGTCGCCCGTATCCTCGGCAAGGGCGGAGCCACGATCAACGACATCAAGGACCAGACCGGCGCGCAGATCGATGTCGACAAGGCCTCGGACGATACCGCTGTCGCGAACATCGCCGTCCGTGGCACCAAGAAGGCGATCACTGAGGCCAAGGCGCTCATCCTCGCCATCTCGGACCAGGTCCAGGAGGAGACGACCGCGACGGTCGACGTCCCCAGCAAGTTCCACCGCACGCTTATTGGTGCTGGTGGCCAGGGCCTGAAGGAGCTCATCGCTCGCTGTGGTGGGCCCACGGACCCGAAGGCGCAGGCTGGTCTAATTCGCTTGTGCGTACTTTGTTGCGGCTCCTGGTGTGAGATGTGTTAATGGTGCTCGACGTCTGTGCAGCCCCCGCCAAGGGGAGCCTGGCGACGAGGTCCGCCTCCGTGGAGAGCCTAAGCTCGTCGCGAAGCTCAAGGCGGAGCTCGAGAAGACCGTCACAACGCTCAAGGACCGCGTGGTGCTCGGTGTCGAGGTCCCCGTCGCTCAGCACCGTGCCCTCATCGGCCGCGGCGGCCAGCACCTCAACGACCTGCAGAACCGCACCGGGGCGCAGATCCAGTTCCCCGGCTCGCGCTCGTACAACCAGGTCGGCGAGCCTATCAACGCGACTGAGCTCGCCGATGTGGACCCTGCCAACGTCGTCAAGGTCTCCGGTCCTCGTGCTGCTTGTGACAAGGCCGTGGAAGAGCTTAAGGTACGCTACATGACATATCACCATTGAGTGAGACTGACCACGTCCCACTTTTGTAGGCCCAGATCAAACCTGCCGCTCCCGAGGGTGTCAACAGCACCATCACCGTGCCCCTCAAGTTCCACTACGCGGTCTCGCAGCAGGGCAACCTCTTCCGCCAGCTGCGCTCCTCTGGCGTGCACGTCGAGCAGTCCGTGCAGCCGTCCAAGCCCGCGGTGCCCCCGCAGCCCACGCCCCAGGCAGGCGCTGTGACGGCGCGCATCGACGACCCCGACACGGACGCAGCAGGTGTCGAGGCTCAGTGGCAGGTCGTCCCGAACTACCAGGACGCCGAGGAGGGTGACTCGGTGTGGACGCTGAAGGCCCGCGACCAGGCCGGGCTTGACCGCGCGCTCAAGTTCATCACGGACGGGATCGAGCACGCGGAGAAGATGACGCACGTTGGGTTCCTGACGCTGCCTGACCGCACGATGTTCCCGCGCATCGTCGGCGCGAAGGGCTCGAACGTCGCCCGCCTGCGCAACGAAAGCGGTGCGGACATCACGGTCAACCGCGACGACAACACTATCGTCATCGTCGGTGCGTTTTGGGTAGTATCCCACTGAGGTTTACCCGTTGCTGACAAGTGTTTGTAGGCTCCGAGTCTGCCATTGAGACTGCCAAGGACGCCATCCTGAAGATGACCACCAACAACAACCGTGGTCCCCGCGGCCCCCGCCGTGACGCGTAAAGATTTATTAGCTTAGCATAATGTCTGTTGGGTATCACCGTGATCTAGGATAATACACGGTGAAGAGGGGCCACTTGGATGGGCACACGGATGAGTACACCCGGAATATACCATACCAGTACTGCTCGCAGTGGCGTTGTGCAATTGCAATGAGACCCATGGAAGCAACATATTACTCGTACAGCTGGGTGAAAAGCGACAGGGCAGCGGGGTACAGCAAAACAGTAAGGAAACTACAAAGCGACGGGCTCCCCGTCGACGTCGTCCTCCATAGGTTCTCCGTCAACGTCTACGGATGGCAGAGGGACACCGTCGAGGTCGTCTGCGAGGGGCTCGCCATCAACATCGACGTCCTCCATAGGGTCGCCATCTACGTCGTTCAAAGGCTCGCCATCTACATCGTTCAACGGCTCGCCGTCAACGTCCTCAGCGGGTTCCCCGTCGACGTCGACGTCAAGAGGATCGCCATCTACGTCGTCGATAGGGTTCCCGTCAACATCGCTATCCTCGTCCATAGGCTCGCCGTCGGGGTCTTCGGCGTCAGGGGCCGGTGCAGCCTCAACAGGCTCAGTAGGCTTGAACGCGCTCGCCTTGAACTTCGACGTAAAGCTCGGCGCGGCCTCCTGCACCTCGACCACCGCCTCCTCCACGACCTCCCCTTCTTCCGGGAGCGTCGCGCCCTCGAGGCGCTGGCGGAGCACGGCGGTGAACTCGGGCGGGAAGACGATCCAGTCCTCCCAGATGTCGACGACGGCGGTGATCTGCTTCTTGAACGTCTCGGCCGTGATGCGCCCGGGGAAGGAGTGGTAGATCGTGGAGAGGTGGTCGAAGACGAGCCCGAGCCGCGCCTGGAACTCCTGCCGGAACTTCCACGCCATCGGCAGCGGCGCGGCGGAGTTGTGCAGGATGTCGCAGATGAGGTGCAGGCGCGCGACCTTGCGCGGCACGGGCGTGCCGTCGACGACCAGCGAGGCAACGATGATGTCCGCGACCTAGAGTGATTACAGTTAGGACTGGGGGGAGTGGACGACAGGGATGTCCGGGGGCTCTGCACGCACCTCTGCTGCCGCCTCTGCGTGTTCTAAGCTGAACGCCATGCACCGCGCCATTTCGCCACGGCGGCCGGAGAGGGCTCGCAGCATGGCCTCGAAGCGGCGGCGGGCAAGCTTCCCCAACTCGTGTTTACGGCCATGTTCGCGCTCAGAATCCTCTGCCGTGTCGGTGGAGTACACAGAATTGTAGCCCTATTGCCGTATAAGCGGTGTGGTCTGCGCCGATCAGGAGGGAACGCACCTCGTCATCAAACTCTGGGTCCAAGGGATCCCTTCGGTCCACGAGGGAGCGGTAATAGCGGTGGCGATTGTGCTACAAACGCCGTTAATGATGCGCCTGTCAAGCGTATTGCTTCCTTGAAACTCACGTCTCGGTTGAGGAAGGCGTATTTGGGATTTGACTTCTCGCGTTCGTGCAGCGTCTGTTCATACTCCGCGTCGTGTCCACGAACCTCGGCCGCAACCGTCCTGAGAAAAGCGTCCGTGACTTCGTCGTCTTCCAGAACCGGTGGCGGGGGCGTGCGCGATCGTCGTCTGTGCGGCGAGTAACTGCGGCTGCGGCTGTATTTGCGCGATCTGCGGGGCCGCGGAGACAGAGAGTTACTTGGACTGTAAGAGCGACTTCGAGATCTGCGCGAGGAGCGATGGTCGCGAGAGCGGCCGTATTCCCGGTCCCGGTCACGCGATGGCGAACGTGAGCGCGACTGGGGACGGTCACCTTGTTTGCCTGCTGGGGACCGCGACCCGGAAGGAGATCGCGACCCTGTCCTCTTTGCAACTACGGTGACCTATTAGCACTGTTTTGATTCGGTAGAAGAAGTTGACACGTACCGTACATAGGCCGCGGCGCGACGGGTACAGCCTTGCTCCATCCCACGCGGAGAATGGACCCGCCCCAGTCGTATCCATCGAAGTCCCGCAGGGCAGCCTCTGCGCCCCGACGCTTCATGAACGATACAAAGCCGCTCAATCCCGAGTTCTTAGTCCTCCTCGTGGCGGTCATGTCAGCTCCCGGACCGATAGTTGCGTCGGTCCGCGGCCACATTATTTTGACCTAGGGAAGGCAGTCAGAATACCGAATCTGGTCAGGGTGAAAAGGGTTGGTGCGTACAGAGCCCACAGGACCAGCACGCGCAAAGAAGTTCCCAAGGATCTGCTCGTTCACATGGGGTGGAAGATTCGCAACAAATACGTTGGACGTCTGTTAGGGCTAAAGTAAGCCTCTTTTTCATGTAATGGTGGTACGTAACGCATACCTCTGGATCACCACGGTCTTTGCTACCGCTCTGGCCTTCATAAGCTACCCATGGCCATCAGACTCAGTCCCAGGCATCTTCATAAGAAACTTACCAGCTATTGACGTGACCGATCTCCCAGGTATAGCTGCACGGTCGTTGAGCAGGAAACTCATTCATAATAGCTAAGATAGCATACCATGTCGAGATAGTCTCGCATCGCGGTCTGCTTGTTCTCTTCATGGGCCCATTAGTAGCACACCTTGAATAAAGTTAAGCCAGACTGACCTCTTGATCTCTTCCAGAAAATGGTCCATTGCCCTCTTCCCTCTGGGTTTCGGAACAGCGACTGGAGGAGACGGGGGTCTCTGTATGAAGTCATGCGGGCTGAGACAGCTAGTAGAGGCGGTCGGCCAGTGGAACGCACCATGGACTGTTCTCCGAACGCGCGCGACATGCCCCCTCGGCCCCTTGCAGGCGCAGAAGGCGCGTATGCACCTTCCTGTCCAGCTTTCACGAACGCTGACCCGCCCTTCTTCCTGTCCGCCCCCTCGCCCTCGAAGGCGTCCACGAACTCGGCGTACGCCCGCGCGGCATGTTCCTCCTCTTCCTTGCGCTTCGCATCAGCCGCCTCCTTCTCCTTCTCTTTCTTGGACTTTCGAAGGGTACCCTGGGTGAATACGGCCCGCTTCTGGTCGTCTATCTCCTTTTGCTAAGTTCACAGAGAACGAGCGGTGAGCATACGCGCGCGAGAGAAATGAGGTCGGGTCCGTCGCACTGGAAACGAAGTCTCCTCGTCGTCATTGTCAAAGAAGGCCGCAAGCCTTGTTTTAGTCTTGTCCATTTGTTTGATCCAGCTGCGTTGAGACAAGAGTAGATGATAATACTGGCAGTGCGAGACCGAGGCGAGCTTGTGGCGGCAGAGAGAGGCTGCAGCACTTTAGGCGCCCGATTTCCGCACTCGTTGCCCGTCCGCATAAGGCAAGTCTGTATGTTCAACCTGAGACACTCCTCTCAGGTTTCTGCCTTCTTCATCGTACTATCCACTGAGCCGCAGCATCTCGAGGGCATATCGGACTCCAGTTTGCTGTGACAGCGCACCTCAAGCTCAGCTCGTGTACACCGGCTTCGGCTAGTACGGACAGCGCTCACCGTGAATGGCAGCCTTGTGCATAGCCTTACGTCTAAATCCGACACTGTGCGACGCGCGATGGGCGCTCCGACACTGCTCCCACTCCTATGGGACTTCACCAGTCCCTGCATTCCGAGCTAGCCGATCACCCCTGCAAATGCAATTTTGACATGAGTATGTGGCGAGGTGATATATATATCAGGATCGTTGTCAGCGCAGCGTACCACATTCCTCGACTTTCCCCCATCTTCAGCTCCTCCCAGCAGTGGTAGGTACATCGCAACGCCCTCCCCAATCATGGACCATCCTGACTTCTCGTCTATAGCTGCCTTGGTGTACCACCTTTCGTGAACATAACTTGGGCATCCTAAACGCCTCATCATGCATGTCTTTCGATTCATCAGCGCCTTGCTCCTGGTCGCAATAAGTGTCCAGGCCGTACCTCTAGAGCTTGAGGGAAACGTCGCAAGTGGCAGCGAATCACACCTACAAGCTCATCTCGTCGACTCTCGCCCTATATCCTCGCCAGCACCACATTCCTACGTCCGCCGCGCACGACCTCACCCATGACACCAAAGCTGTGTGGCCGGAAGGCGACAACAGGTAAGCTTTGTCTTCCTCTACAGCCACAAATAGGCACTCATATGCATGGCGGACAGTTCCACAACCCTAGTGTAGCACTTCATCTTATACTCCACGCAGCATCTTCCTGTGTAGCTATTGTACAGACTCCACACGCCCCATAACGACGACGACGACGACCTTTCATCTCCGTCTTACCTCCGTCCTCGAACCTACTTCCCAACGATGTCCGATAGCTGCGTCTTCGGGATCGCCGCGGGGAACGCGCGGACCTTGAGGCGCGTGTGCGTTGCCTGCTCGTACGCGAATGCGAACGAGATGAGCTTGAACTCGCTGAACGCCGTGCCCAAGAAGGAGAGGCCGAATGGCATGTTCGGGCCACTCTCACGCGTCGGCTTCGCGGGTGAGAGCGCGGTGTCCGGTGGCAAGAACCCAAGTGGGACTACCAGACAGCAATGTGCTGAGTGTCCATTGTGCAGACATCTAGACACAAACACATACCGGTCACGATCGGGTATCCCACAATCGCAGGAGGGGTCGACGCGATGTCCGTGGGCAAGAGAAGGGCGTCGAGCTTGAATTCCTTCAGAGCTGCGTCGATTCCGCGTGTCGATCCAAGGTCCGTGTCCGCCGCGAGAGCGTCGAAGAATCCCTGGTCTACTGTGGTGTTCTCAGCGGCGATGAACCTGTGGTGAGTGTCCGGTAAGTTGACAATGCAATGTGCAGCGAATACAAGAGCAAGCGTACTGAGACTGGTCAGTCCAAAACGGAGGGATGAGCTCTTCGTCCGCGTGCGCGGTATTGAACGCGATCAAGTCCGCAAGTGTCTTCACCCCCGTCGGAACCTCAACGAGACCAGCAATGTATTTCTCAACGTCAACCTGAGCAATCCGGTTAGCACATCACCCTTCCTTCGCACATCCAGTTTACACTCACCTTGAAGTCTGTGTTGAGTACAATTGTTTCGTTATTCGACGCGAGCAATTCGTCGGAGTCGGGGAAGTCCGCCGGGTCGACGATCGTCGCGCCCCGCGCGCGCAAGGTCGCGAGCGACGCGTTGAACGCAGCAATGCGCACGTCGTCGAGCAGCGCGACGAACTTGCGCGGGACTCCGAGACGCGCCCCAAACAGAGACTCCGCATTTAACGCGCGCGTGTAGTCGGGGACAACTGGGGGTTGCGCGAGCGTAAAGTTGTCGCGCGGGTCGCGTCCAGCAATAATCGAGAGAATCGTAGCCGCGTCCGTCACGGACCGCGCCATAGGTCCCACTGTGTCCTGATGCTCCGATATAGGTACCACTGCGCAAACGGCGTCAGCGTCGCGCTCGCACACTCTGAAGATGGCACCATGTGTGTATACCTCCGTCGCGCGACGTTAGCCCCACGCTCGGCTTGATCCCGACCAAGTTGTTGACGCTGCTCGGCGACACGATTGACCCGTCCGTCTCTGACCCCAGCGCCGCTGCCGCGAGACCGATGGCGGCCCCGATGCCGCTGCCCGAGCTCGAGCCCGAGGGGTCCCCGAGCGGGACGTATGGGCTTGAGGCTTGCCCGCCGCGCCCTGAGAATCCGGATGGTACGATACCGCGGAAGTTGGCCCATTCGGAGAGATTCGCTTTACCGAGCAGGATCGCGCCGGCCGCTCGGAGCTTGGCGGCGACGTGTGCATCGCGCGGGACGACTGAGCCAAGGAAAGCAAAGGAGCCTAGATAAGGTGAAAGACGGGCTAGTTAGATAGCTGCGCATGCGCGTAGACGCAGGACAAGAATCTAACCTGCTGTCGTGTTCATGCCTACCAATCGTGCATGTGAGTGTGGGCCATTGTGAGGAGACGAGAATAGAATTTACCTTCACTGTGCAGCGTCGAGATGTTGTCTTTGAGCAAAATCGGGATGCCGTGCAGGGCACTTCGGGGACCGCTCTGCTTCCGCTCTTTGTCGAGCTCCGCGGCTTGCGCAAGTGCACTCGGATTGAGTTCGATGACCGCACGCAAGGTCGGCCCTTGGTGGTTCACCTCTTCGATTCTGGCGAAGTACGCCTAATGGAATCAAAGCCAGCAAGATGCATCAGCACCCATAGTCACCGGGAATTGGTAAAGGGTCGAACCTTGACGAGATCGACACTCGTAAACAGGCCCTTTTGGAGACCATCCTGGAGCTCTGCAATCGATGCCTCATAGAGGTCAGGGAACGGCGAAGCCTTGACGGCTGCCGAAGCGGTCGCCTGCTTGGCACCATATCCCGCCCATACGAGCGCAAAGATCAAGGTGAAGAACGAGAGCCAGCGTAAGCGTGATATCTTCAGAAGGCCCATCCTGCACGAATGCCGACAGCGATGCACGCGTCGTCGAGCTGCGAGTATTTGCGATCAGACTATATAATGGCGAGTCTTATCAGTGCGCCGTGTGCGCTCGTGAGAGTCGGGGATAAATTTGAGCGGAGAAGAGAGATTTGTGGGCGCAGCGTGCCCCAATGTCGACGCAGGACGCTGTGCGAATGGCGACAGCGTGTCAGCAGGGCGAGTACGTTCCCAAGCATGGGCTACGCACTGCAGTGTGGGATCATTCCACCCAGGCCCACGCGATCGAGTCAGTGTACGAGGACTCGCTAGCAGCTGGCCAGCGCTAGCGCAGCTAGTGAATACACGCAGCACACGTGGGGCGAGGGCTATACACGATCATCCACTACATACCCCCGCTCAAAACGCAGCCCGAGGATCAGAACAATCTACACATCTTCAGCCTATCTCCTTTACACGCGAATGAAACCCCCACTGAAGCTGCCATGTGCAATCACTAGCGGGCAGTGGGACTGTTGCGCACTGAGACGGTACGACACTCTCTTGGCTCTCTCACTCTACGACCGTCTGTGGCGCGCACGGTCCCCTTGATGCATTATCTGAGGAACTTACGGTTTAGGAGACTTGCTAATGCGATCAGAGCGCAGCCTCCCCGCTATGGCGAAACGGACTGACGTGAACTTGGCGGTAACACGCGGTCCGAGGTCTGGAGTCGAAACCTCACCGTCGTTTCCGTCATAGATGGTAAAGTCTGGGTGTCGATTGATCACTGGCTGCGGTGTGCAAGTTGTAAGAGGAGTGGTAGAATATAGGACAGTACGACTTGAGTGCGGCTATAGTGCGTGGTCGTGGTCAAGACGAAGGAGGACAGCTTGTATTAAACGCCCATTTACCATGATCCATTACTCATCCGCATATGGTAACACCAAGTATGTTCGCGCTAGCCGAAGCTGGTAACGCACGTTGTTGAAAGGTCCCCGGACAAGACATATCAGTAAGTACCCATCACACAGAGAAAACCGCACTCCAGTGAAGGATGAAGTCTCAAATCCATCGGTCTATGATACAATCCACGTTTCCCATCTACGCAGTCTAACATTGACATTTATCTGCCTGACATTGAAGCACTACAGCAATGGATTGAAAACAGTTCGATGTGCTGATACAGATAACACGAACAATAACCGACAGCTTATACCATACACTGCGGCTGACCGTAAGCTACACCTGAAGGGCCGGACCGTCCGTGAGGCATCCCTGACACACGCATCAGCTACCGGGCGTTTCAGCTACTGCAGTTGCGCCAAGAAAAACTGCCTACCTGGAGACAGTGCGACAAGAGTTGCCTAGGGCCACCAAAGCGGCGGACGTCTACATCAACAGGTTCGCCATGCCGCTCGCGGCGTAAGCCATGGGTTTCATCGGCGGGTGCGGCTGTGCATCAAACTGGGTGTATTCCTGCGAGCCCGCAGCGTCGATCCGGATCTGCGCGCAGCGGCGGCGGGTCAGCCAAGCTCTGGGGACGGTGAGCGTGCGAGAGGGTCCTTACAAACGCGCCCTTGTTGCCCGCCTGGTCTACGTAATTTGGCGCCGAGAAGACCTGGGGGGCGGCAGGTGAGTCAGCGGTAGTGTGTACGAGCGCAAGGTAGCGTACCGTTGTGCAGAGACCGTCGTGCTCGATCGAGTAGCCGTCTGTGCAATCGGTACAACTTGAGTACGAGTGACCTCATAGAAGGGCCTCGATGCCTCACCTTGCCGGACTTCGTGGCTACGGATGACGCCAGTAATGCCGTTGGCCTCACACCATCGCTTCGTAACATCAGGGCCAAACGCAATGCCGACGCCCTGCGGATAGGGATGAGCATCGAACTGAATCCGGCTATGCAATGCGGCGGACTAACACGTTTGCTAGGTCCACGGCCGGGGAGTTCCTGGGGGTCTGTCCATAGAAGCTGGCACCGGCGAGCTTAGCGGGTAAAAATTATAGCCGTGTCTGCCATAACTCACCTCGCCTGCGCATAGTATTATTAGCACACATTCAACCGTCGGAAACAGGGGATAGAGCGACTTACACATGATACCTTCCTGTCCTGGTTGCCGACCTATCCGGTCAATCTTGCGGATGTCGTCGAGCGTGACGCCGTCCTTGCTGAACAGTCCGCCGTGCACGACGAAATACCGCTTGCGACCCTCGGGCGACAAGATGGCTTTCTTTGCGGACGCTACTGGCGGCTGGGTTGCGGAAACGAGGGTGGACAAGGGCACTACAAGACGAGCTCAGTACCCATTCATTCCGCGCGAGACTAGCGCAAGCTGCTTACTGGCTGTGAATACGTGCGCGAAGAGCTGTTGGGCGTGTCAGCGAAATTCCTATCTGTCGAGAAGATGGTGCACTGACCTTGTATGATTGCTCGCCAAACTTGTGTTTCGCCTCGCCCTCAAAGCCGTACGTGCGGTTCATTTCCTTCGCTTCGTGGTTTCCGCGATTAATGTACATACGCGTCGGGTAGAGCCCTGAGTAGCGGGCTCAGTAAGTCGCATAGGGATACACGGAGGTAGAGCGTACACTTGAACGCGAGAGCCGTGATGATGACTTCGATCGACCAAGAGCCGCGGTCAACCAGGTCACCGTTCATGAGCAGCGCATGCTTATCGCTCGGGAGCCCAGTGAGGGACAGGAGGTGTAGGTAGTCGTAGAATTGGCCTTCGCAAAAGTCAGTCACTATCTGGCGCTACATTTCTTGTTCGTCATGACCGCCTACCGTGAACGTCGCCGATGACATCTATTGTCATGCCCTCCTCGATGTCGACTTGCACCAAACTCTCTTCTTGCGCGAAGTACGAGTGCGCGCCGAGGACGATCTCCCACACGTACCTTTTGCAACATGAGCCGCGGCCCACGGGTGCTATGTGGACGCCTTCGCCTACCTTCTCGGGATTGTCTTACCGTCCTTGAACCACTCGATCATGTTCTTCACGAAATCTAGGTCGATCTTGTACTTGCCGTCGTCATCTTGCGATAGCACAGGTCCAGCGTAACCTTTGTCGACGTCGCAACCACCTTCACGCCACATCCGGCGCGTCAGTCACGTCCGTCCCGCATATGCACTGACCTTCTTCCAAACGCACCTTCAGCGATGATCTCCACGCAACGCTCCACCGCGCTCTTCTCTTCCTCCATCTCGATTGCCTATACAGGCAGCGCGTCGCGTCAGCGGGGCAGGCACACCCACCGACAATTCAGCCACACTCGCCTTCTCGAATTCGACCTTCCGGAGAATCTTCTGCGTGCTGTCCATCTGCATGCGCACGAGCTGGTTCCCCGGCTCCAGCGCGAGCAGCTTCTTGAAGTCCGCGATTGCCTGCTTGTACCGCAGCGTCTGCAGGTAGCATGTCGCGCGCCTTCACGTCCAGAAGAAGTCAGCGATGCGGCGGGGGACGGCGTACGAGCTTATGCGGACATACCGGTAGTACGCCTTTGCATACTTGGGATCGAGCTCGATGGCAGTCGCTGGGGGGCACCGCGTAGGTCAGCAACGGCACGGGAGGGAGGACAGGCGAGGGAGTACGCACCGGCGTCGGTGAGACCGTATCCGTGCTCCTCGAGCTTTATGCGCGTGTACGCGCGGTTGCACCACAGCGTCGCGTCCAGCGGGTTCTTGTCGATCGCCTTCGTGTACAACTCTGCGGCCTTGTTGAAGTCGTGCGCTGCACGCAAGGTACGCTCAGCACGATCTGCCGCAGCCACTGCGGGGAGGAGCACGCACAAACGAACGCCTTGTTCGCCTCGGCCTTGAACTTAGCGGCCTCTGCTCGCGCCCCGTCGGTAACATCCTGCAGGGTCAGCTTTGAGAGTGTCGGGGAGGGCGGGGGTGAGGAGGCGGGGGTGGACGCGGTGGGTGTCGATGGCTGCGAGCCTGAAGAGGCGTCGCTAGTGCTTGCAAGAGCCATGGCGATCGGATCTATGTGGCCGCGAACGTCGCGTCAAAGATGATGTCTATGTGTTGGCCGCGCGCAGTGTTATGTTAGAGCAAGCTAGAGTGGTCGACGGCGCTCTGGAGGGCGGCAAGCAAGAGAGGATGCGGGGAAGAGCTTGATGAACAGGCGATCGCGGTGTACGTACTCCTTAGCCGCCCAAGTACCTCAGCGAAGGTTCTGCAGTAACCAGGTCGCACGACCACAGGCGTCCATACCACATCGTCGAACAATTCACGCGGGGAGCCGTGGCGATATTATTACTAATTGTATTCAGTAACCAGTAAGCGGTCATTCGCGCGACCGACCATCAATAACGTCAAGGGGTATAATGCCGACTACAAAGAGGACCAACAGACATAACGGCGTAACGACCCGATTAATCGCACTTATCGAGGTTGTGATACTTCCCGCTGCGGGGGCTGGCCGAGTAGGGGTTCTTGTTCAGGACCCAGTAGTTGAACAGTTGCTGCAGGCTGTGACATGCTGTTAGCTACACACTCTGCATGGGGCTAAGACATCGAGCACTTACTAGTCGAGGTTGTTCTGGCAGCGGCAGCAAGCCGTGTTTCCAGCAGCAGTGGCGGATCCCTAGGAGCAATAAATGAGTGAGATACCCTACCACAAAACCTGACATATCCACGTACGACAGTCAAGCCGGGTTGCCAGCCGTTATACATGCCAACCGTAAGAAGGATGTTGCCGTTGTTGTTCTTAAGCGTATCGGCCAAGAACCCCGCACCCGCCATGATGTTGAAGTGCTAGAACGAAAATCAGTTCATGTCCGGCGAAGTTGGGCCGAGGATGAACTCACGGGGTCCCTGCAGTTACCGCCGGGAGCACCACCGCACTTGTCCTTGGTGATCTGCATCAGGCCCTGCTCACCTGCACCGCCAATGGTCTCGGGGTTGCAGGAGCTCTCCTGCATCGCGATGGACGCGATCAGGATAGGGGGGACTGCCGAGGGCGGTAAATAGCAGCGCAAGTGAACAGTTTAGCAAGGACTTACTGCCGTACGCGCCAGACGCCTCGTAGAAGAAGCCCACGTACGCCGAGCACGCCTTGAAGGGACTGTTCGGGTCGTTGAGAGCCTGACCCAGGTCCGTGGTCACGATGTCGGTGACCTGCACATACGGGGGCTTCCAGCCGCCCTGGTCGACACCACAGTTCAGCCAGTCGATGCTGCCGTTCGGGCCGTCGGTGGGAGAGACGTTGCCTTCAAGAATCCTTTAGACGACGAACCATACGATAAAAATGAGAAGTATGTTGTACGCACTGACGGCACCCGGCCACCCGCAGGACGAGTCGGTGATCTTGATCAAGCCGCTGACAGCACCCGAAGAGTTGTTGCTGCCCGAGTCGGCAGCCTTGGTAGCAGCCGCCTTCTTAGTAGAGGTAGCCTTCTTGGTGGTCGTAGCAGCCTCCTTGTTGTTCAGCGCAGCAGGCGCGGCATGCGTCGTCGTCTCAGCAGCTTGGGTAGTAGAGGATGTGGAAACGAGCTAAACGCCACATTGGAATTCGACTCTACGCTCAGATATTACCCATAGCAACGTAAACAAAAAGACGCACTGTGCTCGTCGGGCGGGGCTTGCAGCGGCCGCTGTTAGCGCGGCGGGCGAGGGGGTCAACTGCCTTGTGGGCAGCACGGTCGTGATGCCGAGAGAGGCGCGGCTGGTGGTTGTGCAGCGAGGCCTCCGCAACCCCGAAAGCGGCGAGAAGGAGAACGAAAGGAGCGGACAGCTGCATTAGAGCGGGCTTGGGTAAGACGTGGCGGGGCGGGAGGCGTGAGGGCGACGAGACGAGGGAGGGGCGGGATGGAGGCAGAAAGCAGAAGGTGTGGCTTGTGGATATCAACCCCGGCGCGAATAAGAGGATGCGGTCGCGCTAAGGCCCATAAGCGGCAGCCCTCATCCCGAGGCGATCGCTCCGCCTCGTCCACGCGCGCGGCCCAAGCCCGGCTACCGTCCTCGCCCAATCGCGTCGCGTCTGGCATACGCCCTGCTGATCGACCCGGACGGCTTCCAAGCCCTCGCGCAGAGCAAGGCAGAGCACCGGCCGCGAGAACTCGCAGAACGGCCTCTCTCGCCGCGACGTAACGCGGGGACGGGGACGGCTGATTGATCTCGGCGTACGGTGTATTGATTCCATCGCGAAGGCATTCAAGAATCAACATATACTACTATCCTGTGCGTATCGACATGTCAGTGTTGCTGTTGCGCCCAAGCCAGCCACAAGACTCGAGCAGAGTGCATCAGACGATGCGATCTTGAACTTTAGGGGCTGTGGGTGGCGGCGGAGCGCCCGGATCCGACATCCGGTTGCCATCGGCCAAGGAGGCACCTGCAGGCTGGAGGCACAGGGCGGAACATACGAGAGGAACCGTCGGGGAGGCACAGGACGATGAACGATGAACGAGAGCACAGCTGCATACACCAGGAACCAACGCTATATATCGTACACTTCTTTTTGGAGCGCCTGCTGCGCACTCAATTCCGCAGTCAAACTACCGGCGTCAAATCAAACACATTCTCGCCATCCTTCTTGACCGCGACGCCCTTTTCGGTGACGATGGCGGTAATGAGGCTCGCAGGGGTCACGTCAAAGCTCGGGTTGTAGACGCCCTCCAGCCCCTCAGGGGTCACCATCACCGTCGCCTGCTGCTTCACCCCGTCCCCATCCAGGGCGAACGGGTACAGCGCGCCCCGGACGAGGCACGCCTCGATCGGCGGACGCTGTTCGATGGGGATGCTGATATGCGACTCGGTGAGTTGACCGTTTCAGCGCCCCCAACATGTTTACTCACCCCCTGCCATCCGCAACTTCCAGGTCAACCGTGCTCACCGGTGCGACGACGATGAACGGGATGTTGTGGCGCGCGGCCAGCACGGCGGCGTTGTACGTTCCAATCTATCCATGCTCGTCAGTACTGCATCTCTCGTGACGAAAATGACGGGTGACGACCAAAACAGTGAGAGTGACTCTAATTAACACAAACGACTCCCATTCAAAACGATGCTCCCAGTCATCACCCAGTCGCGCAAGGGCCGAAAAGTACCCGCCGCTCGAGCCCTGGCTGTCACTTACGACTCAGATACGCCCACGGCTGCGATTCAGTCCGCCCGCCCGACACCAGCATGGCTATTCGCGCATGATGATGTCGTCGGGGTACGTCCGCCAGAACCGCGCGAACGTCTCCTTGAACGATGTGGTGGCGTCCGGGGCGACCGGGCGCGCGATGTCCCTCAACCGATTCGCGACCTCAGACCGTGTAGCGGGGAAACCAATGTGATCAGCGCGCGTAACGTAGTCCGCCGCACGGAGCCCGAAGTGCGTGCACAGGCGAGCGTGTAGCTGTGGTGCTCTACGAAGAGCCTGAGCACCCACTTTTCGTACTTGGAGAGCGCAACATAGCGCCTCGCGGCGAAACAAGGCGACGCGCGAGCTGATCACATACATGGATCTTCGGTGCAGTGACTCTCACTGTAGCCCATTGGCCTCAGTGAGGGTCACTCTCACTGTGTTGGTAACTACTCGAACATGACACGGGTCGATCAGTGCACAGCTCACCTTGTTTGCAGTGTCTCCATTCCGAGCGATCCGGTCCGCACCCACGGCTGTGTTAAAATAGGAATCGGTCACTCCCGGGTATGTCCATCACGGCCGCACTACTCACCTATGGCATGGATGTTGTGGTGCTGGAACAGTGAGCCCACCATGCTGTCACACAGCATCGTCGACGGAATGTTCAGCGATTGCAGCTCATACGCGGTCAGCCTGCGACAGGTGGGCACCATGAGCTTCTCTACCAAAGCTAGTCTTATGCAACTGCGACTGACCGCGAGCCCTGATGGTACGGCGTGGATTGCGTGAAGAACGCACGCTGGAGCTTCCCGGTCTCATGGAGGTACGTGATCAATCCCAGCGCAGTTCCGTAGCCCTGTCAGCGAACGAACGCGCCATCAGCACTTCTCGCGCGGACGCACGGGCCCTGCTACCCACCGACGTGGCGAGCGAGCCGGTATTGCAGACGGTCATCACGTTCAGCTCTGCGCCGCTGCCGCCGTCGCCCTTGACGCGCTCGACGAGCCACTCCCCGCCCCATTTTGACATTTGCCTATTGCGCCCGACGTCTTCTGCATCAATTTCGCGGGCTTCTGTAATGAGATCCTGCGCGACCTCGAGGGGGTTCCTACCCGCGTCGATGGCGGCTTGGAGCGTCTTGGTGAGCCGCCGTGTGGCCGCGCCAAGGTTGACGGCGGTCGGGCGTGCGGTGTACAGATGGGCGAGGACGCCCTCGACGTGCTCCTTCAGTGCGGCGACATTCCCGAGCCACTCGGGCGAAGGGCGGCTTTCGAGGGCCCTCGTCAGATGATCCGCGACGGCAAGCGCAGCGAGCGATGCGATCGCAGGCGCACCGCGGATCTGTAGCGGGCGAGTGAGCGGCGCATTCTGAGAAGCCGAAGCGGACGAGATGGTGAGACGCACCTTCATCGACTTGATGGCGTCGAACGCATCGTCGATGTTCCTGATCTCTATAAACTCGGTGGAGTGCGGGAGGAGGAGCTGGTCGACGATCTCGAGCTTGCCCGCGCTGGTCCTGATGGAAGTGAGAGCCGGCATGGTGGTATTGGATCCTTTGCGTCTGCGATTGGCTTCGTTAGCTTCGTACCGCCACGATCTGTCAGTGAGTACCACCCACCGAGGCTGGGATCAGGCTCTAAATTGCGCGCGAGAGACTGCCGCCGCCTCTTGGCCTGCGCAGCGCGGGCAATTTGCAAGCACACTGCCGCATTTGGCCAATCACCCAACCTGCTCATCGGAGATCTTACTTCGTAGCCACGTGTACACACCTTCCGCCGCGCGGAGTGCCGCCCGCGCTGCTTCGCGCATTTTATTGAACTAAATGGCCTTCGCGTCCCCACCGCACTCGTACGCCGTGCTGCCATTCTCTCACCGACACGCCTACAACGCCCGCGTGCAGTGTTTGCACGAGCTTTCGGAGAGGATTCGCCGACTGCGCACACCACCTGCGGGAGGGGGTGGCCCCCAGAGACTGCCGGGAAATATGGCGGCGCCTGCGGCCCACCGATCTCGTCGAAGCCGCCTTGATTTTGGCCGGCGACACTGCGCACCAGGGTGCATCTGTCGATCACCGCACCGCAATGGGGCCCAATGAAAGCTGTGCCGCTCGAATATTTTGCGCGTCGGGGGGCGCTGCTGCACTACATTCGTCTCCGGCACGAGGGCCGGTTATACCAGTCTGCCTCATCAGCTCGTAAGGGCGCGACTGGAACACCGCGCGCTGCGGTGTTACAGCAGGCAGCGCGCGCCCGGGCACGGCGAGTACACGTATAAGCGTCCTGGCTTTCCTATTCCCGGACAGCTGACGAAGGGGCCGGGTGCGGGTAAGGGCCGCTGGTGATACGCAGCGGGGCTCGAGTGATTCTAGCACTAAACCCACACGACTACTAGCCGACGAGTCTTCAGCTCGGCACTTGCACTCTGTAGTAACCTGCCGCCCCGTCCAGATCAACGACCTCGCAGTCGAGCTTGTCACCGTTGCCAATCTGGGTCTCCACACACGTGAAGTCCATCGTCTGCGCGTGCGGGCAAAGATGCGTGCTGTCAGACGGACCGTGCAAAACACCAGCGGATGGTGGCGCCTCACCTTGTGCAGGACCGCCATCGGGTGATCTAATCAAGCATCCGGTTAGCACCCCTCGCACTGTGCAGCGACCGCGGCCCGAGCTGCGATTACTCACGCCAGATGCCAGTGTCATACACGATTCCTTGGCCCGCCGAGGCAACGAACGCCCGCATGGTGCTCAGCTCGGGCTTGTCGTCCGCGCCGTTTTGTGCTACGATGACCAGGTACGTCGAGCCCGGTTCCTCCAGCGCGTCGCCGAGGCCGAGCCCGCCGCCCATGGGAATGAACGCCTGGTTAGTGCACGGGTGCCGCTCGAGCACCTTCACCTCCCACTCTCCGCCTGGCTGCACGTCGACGGGCTTGCACCGGTACACAGACAGGCCCGCGGTCGCGCCGGACCCTTCCGGGTATGACGAGACGAGCGGCGCGAGCTTATGGAACTTTGTCGCCGTGCCCTGGTTCGCGCCTGTGACGCGCGTGTTGCGCGGGTCTGGAACAGCGTTGACGTCCGCATACGCCTGCACGACCTGCCCGAACGGGGCAAATGCCTCGGGCGTCAGTGGCAGAGCTGGGATCAAGGGCCCAGAGGAAGTTTGCGCGGCGGCGGGGCGCACAGAGGTAGCACCGCTCCCGCCATCATCTGCGATCGCGTCCGCGGGGTGCGCAGCCTGTGCGTCGCCCGCTGCGTTGATGGGGCTGACGCGCCGTCCGAGGACGCGCACGCGCTTGATGCCACCATCAGGGTATATTGTGATCTTGACGTGCGTGTACGCCCTGCCGGACGCGTCCTCGAGCTGCAGGAAGTGGCGGCGGTGCGGGCCAAGCTTCGTGCGCGGGAGAATTAGGCTCCAGGAGTCCTCGGGGTCATTGCTGGGGACGAGGTCGTCGCTGTGCAGCGCGTGCAGCTCGCACGACTCTGGGAAGTTGCCCTTGAAGTGCGCAGTGTCGATCTCGACTTGCGACAGGAACCCGGCGTCTCCGCTGTAGCGCGCAGTGGCATGAGTAAGAAGCGCGTCGGCGGAGCTGTGTTGCTAGCCGGTCGACTTACAGCTTGATGATCGCCCAGTCCTTGTGACCTTTTGCACGGCTACGCTTGGTTTCCCAGCCATCACCCATGTCCTTACCTGATGCCGAGATTAGGGATGGGTGACGCAATTGCGAGAACCACGGAATCTTTGACGTACCTCGACCGGGCAGGATGAGGTTCGAGCCCACCCCAAAGTGCTGATCGGAAGTGTAAACGACGCGGCCCCCGGAGAAGACATGTGCCAGGTCAAAAACCGCCGAGGTGTCAGAGGGAAAGATAGGCGCGACTAATCCATATACTCGAAATCTCGCCTTGTTATACGGGATCAGTACGGATACAGAATTTGCAGGATAGCTTATTCACTCACTATTCCTCCATCAGGATACATGTTGAGCTTGACATAGTTGACACCCTCGGAAGGAGGCACGGTAAACAGGTGACGAGAACTAGGCCCCAGGTTAACCTTTGGCAGGAGCTCTTTCCACTGGCAAATCTCGTGAGTGGCTGTTCGGGCACTGCATTATTGAACCACACACCCTAGGATCGACCACATTAGGCGCGGGCGCATCAGCCGCGGAATACAAGACGTCAATAGACACTTGCGGCGCTTCGTTCCCTATTGGCAGCGACATGAGGAATGTCCCGCCTACGTCGCATTAACCTGACATACCGTTGAAGTGGCTGGTATCCACGTCAAAGCCGTTGATCGACCCTGTTGTGCCGAGCTTGATGATACACCTGCAGGACGGATGAGTTTACGTTCCGACCTGAGCATGAGGAAAAATGTCATGCTCGCACCAGTCGTATGTTGGGTTGTGCCTGCGTGATTCCCATCCACTAAAGAGAGCGCCCTTAGGCCCGAACTGGCCCTTCAGACTAGGTGCGGGCTTGGACATCATCAGCCGATACCCGTTAGGGGTAAATGACACAGGGGAATCCCTACCTCGACCTGAAGGAGATGAAACGCCTCCGCGAAAAACTCATCGGAGACGGACACGATCTCGCCACCAAGCGCGACGCTCGACAGCTCTGTAACGCAGGGGGCCGGTTTGGCGTGAGTGCTTGTTTCCTAGTCGTGCGAGTAGCGGTAAGATCGGCAGATCGAACGCACCTATCGCTGTCGAGAAGGTCTCTTGGAACTTCTCCAGTGGGATCTGTGTGTAGCTCATGGTATTTTGGTCGTCGTGTGTGCTCTGCGTGCTTAAAATCCACGGGCAAGCGGCAGGAAGACTTCAGCGATCGTGCCAGACGCTGCATATCGCGTGCCCACGAGTCATCGTCGAGGCGGCGTTTATTCGATAGGGGCCAGTTCCCGGCGGGACTTCCTGATCCTAAGCGAGGCTGCGGCTCAGAGAAAGATAAGCGGGAGATCGGGCTGAGATGATTACGCACAGCGTCTGACCCGATTGGCTGGGTCCCCGCATTATACATTGCCATTGCGGGGAGCGCCCTCTTCCTCTTCTGTGCCGCCAACCACTGCGCTACAGCCTCCGGGGGTCCGCTCGAGTCGTGCAATTGCGATCCTAGTGCGCCTCGGGTTCGATGCCTTGACGGCGTCTGTGTGCGAGAGGTAGACGCTGTGGGTCCCGCCGCATCGGGCATGACGCGTGACGCGTGGCTGGATTGGGCGACCACTGCGCGTTCTGTCCCCTACAATCACATGTCGGTGCACTGTCTCGAGCACAAGCACATTTGTGCCCTCGCCCGAGCACTGCTCTCCGACTATCATCCCAACCACCACCCATGATTGACCATCTGCTCGGACGGCCCAACGTCAGCTGGAAGAGGACCCAGGTACGCCGTGCGTTCGGGCATCGTTCGCGTCAGTGACGCTGAATTTGAGTTCTTGACGCGCGCAGGTTGTTCTGGTCATCATCTTCTGGTTCTGGCGCATCCTTCATGGCGACCCCGGCGGGCCAAGGTTTCTATATATCAGACGGGCAAACAGAGCGCTACGTATGACTGCCAGCTGGGTACGCTTGGCGTAGCGCTCACCAACGTGCATGTATTTCAGGACGGTTTACGCCGTGGCAGCTCATCGTGAGCACTCTGACAGGCGTTTATGCCGTCCGTAATCTGGACAAGATCCTCGGCTTGGCCGGTAGGTGCACTGCTCTTGTGTTCGCTGTCCTGCACGCTGACATCCGAATATCAGCGCCCGAACCGCTCGCACACCTTGTGCGTCTAATCATTCTCACAGTCCCTGGTTGTAACTGACTGTGGCTATGCAGTATTCGCCATCCTACTATCGCGCGACTTGGATGGCTACGGGATTGGATGCTGGCTTCGCCACAGCAATGACCATCCGACCACGATGGTTGAGAGATATCTGTTCCGTGCTCTTTTCTGTGTACTATATCATATATGCCAGTGAGGCTGATGAGAAGGTCTGTTGACAAACCTAATCCTCAACATGCCACAGAACCCCCGCTCACCTGCACCGCCCACAGATCCGGAAATACCGAGCGGTGCCCACCGTCGAGATGCTGCGCGCCACCTGGGAGAAGAGCACAAATCCCTATGTGAGCCACCTCGGCCCCCTCCCCGAGGTCTGTCGTGATTCGCTGACGCGCCGTCAGCTACGAATGTTCTCCCATCTCCCCCACATCTCAATGCGCCGCAAGATACTGCTCGCGCGCCCTAAAGATTCGACCTATCGCCGCCCAATTACGGCGTGGCTATACTTCGCGCCCCCGGCGGAGCAGCTTGCGCGCGCGACAGACCTTATTCTCGACTTCCCCGGTGGCGGGTTCGTGTCGATGACGCCTGAGCACCACGAGGACCGTTTGCGAGCGTGGGCCATACGTACGGGCAGGCCCGTGCTTTCCGTCGACTACGGCAAGGCTCCGGAATGTGAGTGCCTTGGCACTAGTGTGTCCGCCGCGTTCTTGCCCGAGTCTGACCGGTCACCCTCGTTCCTGGCGGCACAGATCCGTACCCGTTCTCAATTGACGAATGCTTTGATCTCTACCGAGTCCTGGTCGAGACTACCGGGATTGTGGTAGGGATGTCCGGGCGCAAACTCAACATCATTTGCACAGGCGACTCCGCGTAAGTGCTACTACCGGAAAGTCGACAAATACGCTGCCGAACTAACCATCCGTGCAGGGGTGCGCACATCGCGGTGTGCGTCATGTTCAAGATATTGGAAACACAGATGGAGCTACCGCATCCGCTCGCATTGGTCTTGAACTATGCGGCACTGGATTTCAACTTCACGTCCTGGATGACGCCCAAGAATTTGCGCGTGCTGCAATCGGAGCAGTCGGCAGTCCATCTGTCGATGCTTGCCGAGCAGAAGGACCATTTGCGTCACATAAGCCCGCTATCTATGGTCGGCGACCGTAAGCTGCCTCGGCGCCGACGCAGCCTCCGAGACACCTTTCGGACCCTGACGTCGTCGACGGCAACGCCTCAGGTGCCTGCGCTTCGCTCGCGCCACACGACCACGAGCATTAGGCACGTCGGCAGCCTCGACGAGGACAGCGGTGACGACGAAGGCGGTGCCATGGGAGACGTCGAAGACGAGGTATTCAGTCGTGTGAACGAGGAAGACAAACCGCTGCGCGCTAGAATCCGCTTCAACCCGCAGGTGAGCCGCGTCGATTTCGAGCGCGCCCCCGCCACGCCCGAGCTTCCTGGCCTGTTCGACCCCCCGACGCCGAGGGAGGGGGCCCCGCTAGGCACGCGGCTCACGATGACGAGCCGCACCGGGTACTTCCAGGATCGAATCATCTCCCCGAGCATGGTGCGTTCCTTTTCTCCACCTCGATCGGACCCGGGCATGGCCGCATGGGGGGGATACAGCGGTGCAGACATACCCGGCACCGCCTCCTCCCCCCTCGCTCGCCTACAGCCCCACTGAATGGCAAGTGCTGATGCGCATCACCCCGCCCGCTGCAGATGCGCGCCATGGCCATCCTCTACATCGGGCCACACCGCAACCCCGATTTCCAGGCAGACTACCAGCTCTCGCCGATCCTCGCGCCCGACCACCTCCTCGCGCGCTTCCCGCCGCTGCTCATGTCCTGCGGCGAGAAGGACCCGTTCGTGGACGACACGCTCATCTTCGCCGGGCGCGTGCGCGAGGCCAAGCGCGCCCGCCGCGCCGAACTCGCGCGCGTCCTCTCGGGGTCCGGCGCACACGACGACGCGCTGGACGGGTCCCTGCACGCCCTGCGCCGCGAGCGCGCGCGCCTCGCGGGCCAGAGCGACGACGACTGGGTGCAGATGCACATCTTCTCAGAGTGGAGCCACGGGTACCTGCAGATGCCGTCGCTTATGCCTGAGGCGCGCGGCGTCATCGACGACCTCGCGGACTGGATGCTCGGCGCATTCGGTCGTGATGCGCCACCCTCCCCTGCGTCTGCGTCCGCCACGGGTAGCGTTCCGTCCCCCGCTGGTCCAGGGGAACACCGCGGCGCCTCGAGTTCGCCGCTGAAGACGCGGCGGATGTCGACGGCGCGCCAGCGGCCGCAGGCGGACGGGCTCACGTCTGCGACTGAAACGTCCGAGCTCGACACGGACGACGTGCTGTCGTTCGCGCCCAAGCGGCGCAGCCCGCCGAACTCCTTTGCCTCGAACGGGTCTGCCAGCACTACACGACGATTATCGCAGAGCGGGCCCGGACCGCAGGCCGCTGCTGCTCCGGCTGCGACACCGCAGGGCGGGCGGCTCGGGGTGGAGGTTGCGAACGGAGACCTGCAGCGCTCCGACATCCTGCATGACGCCGCGCCACAGGTGGACAGCTACCGCGTCGGCTCGCCGCCCAAGCGCCCCAGCTCCGTCACGACCACGGGCAGCGCGCCATCTGGCTCGGGCACGCCTGCGAGTAGGGGTCAGACGATCACCGAGTCCGAGCTGATGCGCCGAAGGCGGCTGCTCGACTCGCACCTCATCTCTTCGGATCCTGCCATCCGGTGAGCTCGCGGCAGCCGCAACTTGCGCCAGGTTGGACGTAAACACGGGCTGGGGGTGGGTCGTCGCACTTTGGACGTCGAACGCCTCTCGCGGCAGCGGCGGGCAGGCACGCGGGGCATGGGCGGGTACAGCTCGGATTCGAAGACACTGCATGGGGATCGGCGTGGGAGCTAGGGCAGGCGGCGGTGTCGCGATGGGACATTGTTCCCGGCGGGATCAATGCAATGGAGGTAGTCCCCTTGATTCGGAGGGCGGGATGCAGAGACGCTAGCCGTGCAGACACCATCAAGCGGGCGCTGGGGGCGGGTGCATTGTGCATCGCGTCCGGCCGTACATTGGGTACGCCGTGCGCGGAGCTTTGTCAGGCCGTCTCGACGCCGTATTCACATACTACAAACTACTGGACATCCTGGATGGCGAGAGTCGCATCGGATTGTTTCCAAGCGGGTGGGATCTGCGTGCTCGCGGCGTCAGCTGTGATGCCGGGATTGGTGAGTGGGTACCGCGCTCCTCGGAATGTCTGAGCGTTTTCTGCGCCTTCGTGTCTCAAGCGGGAGGTTGTGTCAGACGCACTACGGTGCGCGGTGGATGTGCGATGGGTATTTCGATATGCATTTTGAAGCGGCCGGAGAACGACGGTAGCTATTTCTAATGGAGTCTCGGAGAGCGGCGGATGAGGTGATGATGTGAGACAAAGCGGCGCGTCGAACAATTGCTTTTGGGAGCCAAGAGTCTGCGGCGGCTGAGGACGGTCGGACTTGGACGGAAGGGGAGCTGAGAAGGACGGGTGTGTTTTGGGACGCTCTCTTGAGGAAGTCGCGGACACCGCAGTGCGGGCCCTGGGACATGTGTGGATGCCGCACCGCTGCAAAGCGCATCATGGGCGCCAGCGGGTGTGTTAGCGGGCGGGGGCGGCCAGGGACGCGGGCGCCAGAAACGCAATAATTTAGGCAGAAATGGGGGGACGGACCCCCGGACAGTCCCGATCAGGCGCCTGGGAGAGAATTAGAGGTCGGGTGGCGGTACGGAGGGGATCTGAGATCCGAGTGAGAAAGAGGCGGCGGGCGCCTACGGGAGTGCGTCCTGCGCTGTCGGATATATTGTATAAAGCCCTCCTTTTTTCCCTTTTTCCCCGAGCCCGAGCCCTGCTCTCTTCTCTTGCGCGTTCTCCTCCGCAGCCTGCCCGTCGCGCCCTCTGCTCTCGCCCTCGACCCCCCGACGTGCCCCGCCGCCCTCTCCTCCTGCTCTGCTCTCTTGCTGCTCCTCCTCGCTCCGTCTCAAGCCCGCACCCTCCATATCAGCCTCGGACATCAGGCACCGTGATTACCAGCGCTACATATCTCGACATGGAAGTAGATGCCTCTTTCCGTCTTCCAACTATGCCCCCACCAGGTGCCCCCTTCCGCGCCCTGCACCCCTACCAGTTCGCCCCGGCAGAGTACAACCCCCTCATGCCATCGCCAGACCACCCCCCAAACGCGCCACACCTCATGTCGCGAGCCGACCACAGCGGCGCGACCGACCTCCGCGATCGGAATCACTCGCCATACTACTCGCACCCTCCTCCACACCATCTGCACGCATCCTCCAGCCGTGCTCAATACCAGTCGCCCCCAAGTCCCCAGTTCCGCACCCATGCCGTCAACTGGGCTGCTCACCCCCCTTCCAGCAGCCAGCAACAACAGCAGCAGCTCCTACCGCCGCCGTCTGCTCTCGCAGGGCCCTCTATGCCGAATTCGTTTTCGCAAGGAAACAACACCCCTCGAGGCCGTTCTGCGGATGATTCGCAGCGCGCGCCACAAGCGGCCATGCTCTATGCGCAATCGCAACAGCTTCCGCCCATCCAATCGAACAACATCGCGCTGCCCACCACGCGCGGCCGCTCGTCCTCTCTCATCGCCGCGTCTGCATACCCGCAGGGCGGAAATGTGCCGCGCCTGCCACCCATCATGCAGGTCGAGAAGCAGCAGGTCACGACGAGCGCGACCCAGGCGGCAAGCGCGAGCCGCCGACGAAACGAGGCCAACTTCGTCTGCCCCGTTCCCGGCTGCGGCAGCACGTTCACCCGTCGTTTCAACCTGAGAGGTACGTCGATCGCGGCATGGCGCGTTCCGTATCACCCCCTGACGCCTCATGTGCGCCGATGACAGGCCATTTGCGATCGCACACCGCTGAGCGGCCATTCCTGTGCGAGTGGCCAGGGTGCAATAAAGGATTCGCGCGTCAGCACGATTGCAAGTGAGTGGCCGCTCGCGCTGGGAATTTACATGTTCGCGTAGACGCTGATCACTGCGCCCGCCGCCACTTTATCGCAGACGTCACCAAGCCCTCCATACGTCGCGTTCACAATCGAACGTCTGCCAGGGATGTGGGAAGACTTTCAGTCGGCTAGACGCGCTGAACGTGAGTGCTATCGTCCCCTTCGAGATGTGGGCGCATGACTAACGTTGCCTGCTCTCACAGCGGCATCGTACGTTCGCACCGAACTTGGGAATCGCGCTTTCCGGCTAACCGTTTGTTTGCAGTGCGTTCAGACGGAGGCGCCGACTGCCGCCAGGCCACGGAGGCCGCAAACATCGCGCAGCGGCTTAGCCCGCAAGAGGACGACTGGGAGAATGGCAGCAATTCCACCGAGCGCTCGACCGAACGGGGCTCGCGCCGGTCCCCGCCCCGCAGTTCATAACGCGGGCTGCCGCCTGCCCCATCCACATCCCCATCCGTCCATTCGCGTCCATCAGACGAAAGCGAGCCCGCACGCCTCATCGCAGAATCAGCGCGCGCGGGTCCTTCCCCGCCCTTCCGTACCACCTCCACCACCACCCCGCCCGTGTCTCTCGATTCCAGGAAGCAGTGAGTGGGATGATGTTGATGCACATACAGCGTCCCCAGTGTCAGCCCCGCGGTCTCTTCGCAGCAGCAGCCATGCATGATATCCACCCGCATCTTGGGTCCCCCGCGCGCGCCGCCGCGCACTCGCCGTGTACATGTAGTATTGCCGGGCTCTGTTCCTAAATTAATGTCCTAATGCACGTCGTTGTTGTCTCCACACGCCCCGAGTGTATGCCCCCGATCCATCTGTCTGCCCCCGTCTGTTAGCCCTGTCTTCGCTGTCAGCGCGTGTGTGCGCGCGCACCCCTTCCCTGATCTGCCGTGTCGCTGCAGCAGCCTCGTGCCCGCCCTGGGCCGCCTACGGTCTGCCAGCCAGAGAGCTACTCGCGTTCGAATTCACGCGGCGGGACCTCGGTGGGGCAGACGTCGCGCTGCCCGTCAGCCTTCTCGCCAGCGTCGCGGGTGGCCAGGTGGGACCGCGGAGCGCCAGCATCAGCCCCCGGGACCCGCCGTCGCGTCAAAGTTCCCCTGCGTCGCGCCGTGCGGTGACAGATTTCGCTGCGGGCTGCCGTACGTATGCCCGGATGCATCAGACCAGGGATGGGGTGCTGTCTGCGGCAGATTCGGAGTCCAGCTGCGTGGATGCTCGTATTGCGCGTATCGGAGTACGCGTATACATCACAGCTTGCCCCTGGGTGTATGTTTCGCCCCCGAGTGTCAGGAGGGCTCCTAGTGGCACTCGCAAGCCTGAGGGCCGAGGGCCACGGCGTGCGCAGCGCCCGGCGGGGAAGAGGCCTGCGAGCCGCGATACGGGAAGAGATGGGTGAATCGGGGGCCCGGGCGCCCGGAGAGGGGGCGGCAGATCTGTGCACAGCACGCCGCCCTTGCGGTGTCGCGCGTGCCAAGCGCACGCTGCTGCGCGCCCGACGCCAAAGAGCTGTGCTCCCTCCCCGCGTCCCCTTCCAGCACCGCGTCCGCCCCCGCCCGCCGTCATCCCGCCCCGGCCCGACGCCCACGCGCGGGTGCTTATGATTGCGCCGGCGGAGACGCGAGCGCTGATGGCGTCCCGGGCCTCGGGACCCAGCTGGACGCGCGCGAAGCTCGCCCCCGCGGGCCCCCGATGCGCACAATGCAATGCACACACCCAGATACAGCTGTGCTTGCGATATGAATGGCCCACCCGTCCCGCTAGCGCAGCGAAGCCGCCCGGTGGGAATCCGAGAGCCGGGTCGGCGGCCCTCGGCCACCCGTCGTGGCACTCAGTCTCGGACGGGATGAGTCATGTGCTGCGCGTGGCCATGGACGTTGGGCGGAAATACCGCGAGGCGATTATTCAACCCGGCCGCGAAGGCTAGCGGTTAGAGGCTTCGGATGGGGTAATCGAGTGATGCGGGTGTTTTGGGTAACGTTAGCACACCGAACATGGGCATACGCTGGCGCCCGCGGCGACAAAGCCGCTGCTCATAGCGACGTGCGGAGTTTGGACGGCGAGCGAGACCTCAGCTGCATGTTGTGATGGTTCTTGGCCCCATGGGGATGCATGTCTTGAACGTAGCTGACACTCCTGACGGATTGTCAACGCGGGCGCGGGCCGCCCGAGGAAGTGCGAAGAAGTGGTGTGCGCCCGCCCGATCTCAGTCTTGAACGAGCGTGACATAGGGTGGGACCTCGGGCAGGGTGTGTGAGCGCCCACCTGCAGGAAAATCATCAGCAGGTCCAGGAACTCGTCCGCGGGCTAGTCGGCGGCGACGTCACCGCGCGATACCGCCACCCAGACAAATGAGCTTCTGCAATTCCAATGATAGCAGCGACGGGGGCTATGTGCTGGGGGCAGGTGGCTATCAGATCACCGATGCAACCCACCCCGCGAGCGGCCGTCAGCGCGGGTACGATTTCCTGTGCTGCCTTTCCAGGGTGAATGGGCGCAAGCAAGCCGCCTCGTCCCGGTGCGTGTGTCTCGGACCTTCCACATAATGATGCTGCTCCTCCCGCTGACCCGGTGGGTATGTCTTGCGGACCCCGTGCATCGCCGGATATGGCGCTTCTTAAGTGTCTGGGTGTGCATTTCAAGTTCCAACCTCCACCGTGGCCGGAGCGGCGTGTTGTAACTTGCAAATACCGCTGAGCGGACGCTTTGTAATATTGCCTCCGCACGGCGTTCTTACGGCAAGCGCGGCGTTGGAAATGAATGGAGGACATACAGGACTCTAAGCATATGTCAGGCCATCATAGCTTGGCAGGCGCGGAATGCGAACGAGAAACGGACCACATTGCTTTGCGGGGATGGTTCTGTCCAAATGGTCGACAAATGTCGTCGATAGCATTTCATTCAAGTTGCTGGGAACAAGTAGGGCTGCTCAATTCTGGCCGGACGTGGTCGCTGGTCACTCCAGAGGATGTGTCTTGGCTTTGATGGACATAAGCGAGAATAGCCGAAAAGTCCTGCGACCGGTGTAACCCTACCTAACCCTAGTGGGAGAGTCGTAGGGTGGTTTTCCTGTCGCCAGTGCATTGGGGTGTATAGGCCTCTGGACTGCATGGAAGATAGGCGTGAAACTACATGTGCATGGCCATATCCGTCTGCTTTTTTTCCGTCCTGAACTGGCTCCCCTATCACCGACAACGCCTCCATGAGCTAGAGAGGTTTGGGGAGGAGTTCGAATAATTACTGCATTTGGGACGTGCCTAACTCAACCGACCGGCGGCGACCGCGACAATTCGACGTTCTGCACCTCCTCGCTTACTGTCGCTTATGTCCATCAAAGCCAAGACACATCCTCTGGAGTGACCAGCGACCACGTCCGGCCAGAATTGAGCAGCCCTAGTGCTGTACTGGAAGCCGGAGGCATACCGCCGGGCAGCTGGCATGATCTATTGCGCGCAGATCAGTTGTCTGATAAGCTGGACGAGAAGATGCTGCGCACAGACCCACGTTGAGACAATCCTCCCGCGAGGGGTAGGATCGCTACTTACCTCATGTCTCTATGCGCGACGCATGTCTCTGTGGGCCCGAGAACGTGGCATACGCAGCATTGAGCGAGCGTCGCAATGGCATCCAGGGGGACCCTCGATACCGCCCCCCGGCTCTGGGTCTGGCTAAGACTCGGACCCAGTACGTTGTGGTCCCTGTCCGGTGAGTGTACTATTTCTGTTTGCGTTTCCCTTCATGTCCGCCAGAATCTACGCGTGCAAACGTTCAGGCTTCAAGTTCCGCCGGCATCGGGGCGTGGGCGGCGGAGAGAAGCGCTGTCCATTTAGAAACCTGCACGGCATCATCAGCGTGCAGTGGGGTCCAGTCTTCTGACAATCAAGCCGCCTCGGGGTCGTGTGGATGTCTTCCATCACACACGATTCGGTGCCTAGCATTGCGGCGAACAGGTTTGGAGGACATCGAGAATGAGGTACCACGCCGGAGTCGCGCGGTGTTGTCGCAACAATGGGTGCAAGTGCGGCGGTTCGGGCCGATGTAAAGCTGGTCAGTTGTAGACATCTGCCCTCCGTATCATCGAGAGCGTGCAAGAGTGTGCAAGTGGTTCTCATGTCGAATGCAAGAAGATGGACGGCAGTGGGTATGTCGCGGTGCGGTGTCAAGCGGACATGTCTGCGAGCACCGCAAGCTAGCGTGTATGATGTGAAGAGTGACGTGAAAAAGCTAATTTGGCAGCTGTGCCGTCCCAGTTTGGCAGTCGTTGTAGTTGACCGTCCCGGCCGACGGCGAGCGAGTAAGCGATATTGCCATAAGATACATGAGTTATTGTAAGAGAACGACATTCCCATGCTTTTTTGGTAAATGATACAATGATAGAATACAACCAAGAATACCGTACACAAGCCCGATTATACGTCGGATCTTTACGTTAAACACCTGTAGGTCGGCGGCCACCGTGACACGTTGAGGCGACAAGGAGAATGGAGACGAACTCCGACGCATTACGAGAATATGTAACAGCCCTCGAAATCCTACATATGCGAAGTCATCGTTAGAAGAGCGACAGTTTCCGAGGTCTCGACAATAACTCACGTCCGCAGGGTCGTTGAACCGCAACCCGATGTTGAGTCCTGTAATGATCTCCATCTCCTGCTGGGTAAGGTCGAAGCTCGCGCTCTCGAGGTTCTCCTGCATCTGCTGCTCGGTATTACTCTTCGGTATTACCGCCAGCCCGCGCTGCGTCGCCCACCGTAGCACCACCTGCGCCGGCGTGCGCGCATGCGCGAGGGCGATGGAGGTGACCGTCGGGTGTGCGAACAGCGCCTGCGTGCGCACCGCCTTCGGGCTATCCAACTCCCTGAACCCGAGCGGGCCGAAGGACGAGTATGCGGTGACTGCGAGGCCTTGTGAGTGCGCGTACTGTACGGCACGCTCTTGCGCGTTGTAGGGGTGGATCTCTACAAATGGAAATCTGTGTCAGGAGACGGGCAAAGGCGGTCTCACGCGGGCAGCAGAACGCACCGATTTGTAGTACGGACGGCCTGTGGCGTGCGTAGCTGAGGAGGTCCATGAGGAGGGCACTGGCCATATTGGACACGCCTAGGTGTTTGATATAGCCCTCGTCGACGAGCTGCTCGAGTGCCTCCCACGTATCTCGGAGCGGGACCGGATCGTGTTTGACCTGGCTCTTGCCGTCGAAGAACCAGCCCGGCGGATAGCGAACATCAGGGGCAACGTATGCCAGCGAGATAGCTAAAGTTAAGATTGCTGCGTGAGCATGCAAGCGAAAATCGAGTAGAACGCGGGAGCTACTTACGGAAGTGGACGTAGTACACATCGAAGTAGGAGACGCCCCAGTCAGAGAGGGAGCGCAAGACCGCTTCCCGAACGTGCTCCTTGCGATGGAACGTGTTCCACAGCTTGGACACGACGAACACCTCGTCCCGAGTCACGATGCCGTCCGCGATCGCACGACGCAGGCCCTCGCCGCACTCCTTCTCATTCCCATAATCTGCCAGGAAGGTAGCGCTGCGGTCAGTAGACGGACCCGTGAAACCCGGCTGCTCAGCGACAGAAGCGACTCACCGGCAGCGCCGTCGAACAGTCTATAGCCGGCCTTCGCTCCGGCATAGACGGCCTCGGAAGCTTTCTCACCGTAGTGCTTCCACGTTCCGAACCCTATCTGGGGCAGCTTTGCCCCGGTGGGCTTGAGCGTGATGGTTGGAGATGCTGACATCTCAGTCGAGCGCAGTGTGTGTATAGCTCGTAGAGGTGAGTGGATGTGCTGTGAGAAGATGCCGGTCCTCGCTGCGCTCGCCTATGCTATATAGGAGACCTGCTAGAGGACTAGACTGTGCTTTCTGTCAGAGAGGGCCCTTCCAGCCGAGGAACAGTCTGTATCATCGAGCAGTCATGAGAACTGATACCGGCGGACTCGATGTGGTCCGCGAAGTATCCCCGCGCAGATGGCTCCGGGCTCTGCGACTCGAGCGGTCGTCTCTCCGGCTAGGCGGGAAATGCTCCCGCACACCTGCCGGCCCCAGCCCGTGCAGTCCCGCATAATTACCCCAGGAACCTATGCTGTCAGAGCTCGGACGCCCAGACCGCGCACGCCGCAAGCCCAGAGCGGTTCCCCACACCCACCGGGCCGCAGCGGCACCGCTTGCACATGTCCGCAGCAAGTGGGAGGCTGGAACGGAGAAGCGCCGGGGGCTGTGTCGGAGCGTGGTATGGGATGACACGGCTCGGGGAGCTCAGGCACGCGAAACCTACGCCGAAAACGTTGGACACCTATTCCATGAAGAACTCCGGGTAAATATTAACTGCGATATGACAGCACCTATTGCATGCTGAAGTTCAGACGGAACGCTGAGAACCGGTAACGCGCCCACCGGGTCCCAATTGCAAGTCAGCGCAGATCTTTCATACACCGTTACGAGAGGGGGGGAAGAGCGCACCATCCAAATCCCTGCGATCGCACAGGGTCGCGAGGTCAAGCCGCTGCATGTGTAGGCAGCATGTCTTGAGGCTGTCCCACAGCGCTGATGAGGTAACACCCCTCTTGTCCTCGTTTCCATCCGGGTCGTGTACACTGTCCCCGTCTTGCAGGACCAACGCGTCAAGGATGTGTTGCGCAGCCTCGTCAAAGCGCTGACGAACAAGACGGTCAGCGACCTCGCCGGAATGCCATTGGTCCATAAACTTACCCTCAAGTTGATACATGAGATTCCAAGGTTGAACCTGACCACCAAAATATCATATCAGTAAACGAAGCCGAAGGCGCTGGTGTGCGAGAAAGAACGTGCCTTGCTCTGATGTACGACGGGTTCAGTTCCAGCGCGCTGTAATAATACTGAAGCGCCGCGTCGGGGTGGCCACTGTTCGCAAGGGTCGCGCCCACCCGATTGTACAGAAGCCAGTCCTGTGTCACCCGACCGCCATTAGCCGCTGTTATCCCCAGTTGAAAGCCGCAAGGAACCCACATCTGGTCGCACCGCTAGCGCAGTCGTGAAACAATCGCGCGCCTTTCCGTACTCCTAAAGGGGCACGGCAGACGCATCAGCCAATCCCGCCCGGTGCAACCGGGGTCCACCGCTCCCGACGCACCTCGTTCGTGTTGAGCAGCACAGCAAGCGCGATCTGGATGTCGGCATCGATCTCGCCGCCCGCGTTCTCGCGCACGATGCTCATCAAGCAGTGCATCAGGTCCGTCAGCTTCTCGCTCTGCGTGGCGCCCGAACCCTCTGGATTGAGTGCACGGAACTGTGCGACCGCCGCGGCGTAGCGCGCATTGCGCCCAACCCATTCCCGGATCGCGTTGTATGCACCGGCACGGTCGCCCTCGTTTGTGTGCGAAACGGCCAGCGCGAGCCAGGACGGCAGGTGTGTGGGATCCAGTTCGAGGGCGCGGCGCAGAGCGCGCACTGCCTTCTGCTCGCGTTCGTTCTCCTGCTGCTTAACGCCGAGCTCGTACCATCGGGTGGCGTTGGAGGGATCACGTTGGACAGCGGCTTCCAACTCAAGAACACTCTGTCAAGATCGAAGGCGGATTAGACGCCTCTAGAAAGATATAGTGCCCGGGACGCGGGAAACACATACCTCATAGAGGGTAGCTGGGATGCCACCGTGAATGACATGGTTTCTGGTGCGCGATGCCTCCCCGTGAAGATAGGGGTTGTTGGATTGGAACTGATAACTCGTCAGTGGCTTGATGCCAGTCGCCGTAGCCTCGAAATCCTCCCAATCCTGCTGCAGCTTATCCCACTCCGCAGATTGAGCGTTCGGTTTGACTTCCGCGCGCTGCGAATTTGACATGGCCTCCGCTTGCATCGCGATGTACGCTTCATTCTCTTCCCGGAAGTAAGCGTCGTTCGGGTCCTCGCTTACCCAAGTACTCTCCGCACCGGTCTGATCAGAGTTCGCCATGCTCTGGTTCGAAACGCCGACAAAAGGTCTCTGCATCGTGGGAAGCTGCATCGAATTTCCGGTCGGTACTGGGGCGTCCGCGGCGCGCCCCTTGCCTTTCGCATCAGTGGAGACTTGAGCGCGGGCGGCCTCATCCCGCTGGACGAACTCGTTCCCGTCGACGACGACCTCGCCATCACGTAACTGGCGCATCAACCCCATGAATGCGCTGTTCTTGAACTTCGGGTTGATCTCGCCCTGCACCGTGTCCAAGAGGACGCCGGCGGTGCGCGCGAGTTCGTCCGCCTCGTGCGAGCGCGAAGCCGCCTCGGCGCGCTCGGTGGCCACGGGTGCCGCCGCCGCTGAGTTGGCGGAGTGCAGGGACAGCTCCTGTGACCGGAAGACTTGGTCCCATTTGGCAGCTATCGTGCGGGAGCAAGGGTCATTACGGCATCGCGGGCGACATATGGTCGAGAAACTGACCATCTATCTGGGAAGCCTGTATTTGGGAGAAGCCTTGTTGGACCCCGGACATCGGGGCATATGGCGCTGTGGCGAATCCCATAGGACTATTCCAGGACATATCTAATACAACGTCTCAGTGATGCAATTGTATGTAGTCATGGGCGGACCCACTAGGCATGGCGACACCAGGGACGTGCTGCGACACAGGAGACATATTCTGCTCCAATTGCATCGGTGTAGCTTGGCGCTCGACCCCTTTGCCGGCAAGCATGTGGGACGCCGAGTGCCCTGGCTGCTGTTGCAGGAAGTCTGCAGCCCACGCCGCAGGCCCGGCTTGCAAACCGGGTGACTGGACGGGCGACTGCATATGCACAGGTGATTGAATGTGGGATGCAGGAAGGTTCCGGTGCAGCGCCGCCATATCGAAGGAATTTGACGCAGGAATCATGGGAGCTGGCGCAGGACTGGCAGAGAAGAACCTGGCCGCATCTTGGTTCACGCCGGGCGCAGGAGAGTATTGACTCCGGAACGTCTGTGAATGCTTAGCTGCATTGTCCCCGTACCAATAAGCAACGTTTCTCACCTCTTTAGATGACCCCGCACGACTCGCTCCGAACTGGTCCTGATGAGCTAGTCAATACTTCAGGTCCGATGGCACGCGAGTGGTCTCCTGCTCACCTGCTGAATCCCTCTGTCCTGGTCGAAACGCTTGGACAAGCCCTGTAGCGGATTTGATGGACCACAGTCCGCGCCATTCACTAGCATAGGCAGAGACATAATGGTGTGAGGCAGCAGGCAGCAGGTGAGGGTGAGAGGACAAGCTGCAATGAGGACTCGCTGACTGCCCAAGTCGGAAATGACAATATCACCGGGCCGGCCTCTCGGACGATCGACTGACAGCACATAGGCGCCCGTGCTGCCCCCGACGGTTCGCACGTGAATTTCTTGTTTCAGGCTCTGTGCCAAACTCTGTTCAGTGTTCGACGTCTCATAGATCTCACTCTGCGACTCGGAGGAGCTGGTATCAAGCAGCCAAAGCACTTGGATGGAGCAGATCAGCGAAAATTTGGCGAGAATAGACAACATAACGTCTGGCATTGATTGGATCACAGGAAGTGGGCAAACAGTTGTAATACACGCCGTTCAAACACCGAAAGCCTCAGCAAACAGTCATAAAGCGGCGTTGTGCTTACGGCGCGCTGCTTCGATACTGGCACAAAGGCGTCCGAAGTAACAGGGCAGTGATCCAAATCTTCTTAAGGACTGCGGGCTACTTCACCTAGCATAGGGTGAAGAAAGACCTATGAAGACCATACAACGGCTTATTGCAGCACCAGCTGTTGGTCGCTGGGAGTGGTTTCGATGTCCCTCGTTATGGGTGTGGACGACCTTTGGCCTTACCAAAGCCGCATACCCCATGTAATCATGCATTGCATCTACGGACTTCAAGTTGAACCGGCCGCGGTATGGTATGCCTAGCCCTGACCTCCAGTGAAGGTGTTCTTGGTACGCTGATCTGCCCAAAGAACGTGCCATTTCCTGCAGCATATATACATCCAATTCTGGAAAGCCCGCATCCCATGTCAAGACTGAACTACACACTGTCCATTTGCACACACCGCAGGATCCCCTTCGCCGCCATTGCCACCATCTGCGTGCGCACATACGGCTCCACATGGATCTTCAGGTCAGCGTCGACTTGCGTCACGCGCACCACGACGCTTCTCAACGACGCAAAGCGCGTTAGGGAAAGCACCCGGTCGACTCCGCCCCAGTCCAACTTTGCGAGATCGCCCGGGGTGGCGCGGTTGGCGCGCACAGCGAGCTGGACGAGCCGGACGTTGTCTGAGCGGATGCTCGCGAAGAAGTCGACGACCCAGTTTAGGTGGCCACTGTGCGTCGGGGGGCCCGGGTGGCGTAGCCACACATTGAGCTTGAGGGAGGAAAGACGACGGCATGCCGAGAGAGAAAGAGGGGAGCCGGATCCATCTATAAGTTGCTGTCAGGCAAACGTTCGACTCCATGGTGGCGCATACGCGAAGACACGCACCTGGTAAAGTTTCCGACTCGTCGGGTTGGACTGTCAGGACTAGCTCCCGTAGGTTCGCTGCGACTAATACGAGCAGATCATTGAACGTGGCGAGCTCATGGGTGCGCAGCTTGATCGTTAGCACGGACATGCTTTTCAATCCCCCGGAAGCAGAGGTGAAAGCGCACAGGAGCCTCAAAGGCACCCCTCTACTGCAGTCTCCCAACAAACACAACGACTGCAACGCAGGGAACGCCTCGATGGGGTACTTTTCCGGGGTATCGTCGTGGGCCGTTATAATAAGGTGTGTCCCCGCGAAATGCTTGAGCCGCGGCAGGAGCTGAAGGAAGCGTACGAGCTGGTCCGTGTCCGCAATCGCGCATGTCCTCATGCTGAGCTCCGTGAGCGAATGTGTCGCACATTGCATGACTCTTGGTAGCCAAGGGCTGTGGAGGTCCATGATGGACAGCCGAAGCGTGCGGAGGTTGGCCGTCCCCAAGTATGGCGACGCTCCCTTGGGGTTGTCCCACATGGCTTCGAGGGTAAGCTCGTGCATGGCGTATGCTGCATCTGGATCGCGCTCGACCGCAGCAAAGAACCGAACAGCGTTGGTTAAGCATATCTTGACAATGTAGAAGAGGTTGTAGCGTGCCCTGGCGGACCAAGCACGGCATACTAGACGGCAGGTGGCGAGTGTCTTCCGGTCACCACGCAAGTAGTCCAGGGCGTGTTCTATCACCTCGATGGGGAGCACAGGCAGAGTGGCGGGGAGCGACATGATAGGTGTAGGGTGTAGAGGAGGAAGGTGTGGACGAGGAGGTAGAGCGCTGGGGCGACGTTGATTTATGCAATGCTGTGCGAGGTACACGCTTTTAGACACAAAGGCGGCAGGGCAGTAGTCACCTTTTGCGGAATCATTAGCCACTTCACCTCGCTAAAGGACGACAAAGCGGCGTACACTTACACAGAATCACAGCGCAGCATCTCACAAACAATCAGTGTTCATGGAGGGCGGCTTATTTGATATGCTGATACCGTGCATTCTGGCAGTTCAAATCTTGCCCGGGACTAATGAGCATAAGCTGGGTCAATCCTTCGCATGATTTTCTCGTGGTTCGGGATCAACCGGATCCGATGCAGCATGTTCGCAAGTGTCCATGATTCGTGAGCAATATACTGACTGACTAGTGGACACGAAGCGGGCCTGTGCGCGCAAGCCCGATGCACGTCCCAAGTCGAACCAAACAACACTGCTGAACATCCACGAGACTCAAGAGCTATTGCTGGGGCCTGCTGGCATCCTACATACGGTAGCGTAATTGATGCCTCTTGGGTGTCGAGTCTCTGTCCTGACTTTGTCTATAACAACGTGACATAGATTGATAGAACTCACCTATTGGCCACACGGGGAAGGTTTGCGGGAGATGCCTCTAGATCCAAAAGCGGTTTTGGAAGACCTACACCAACGGCCCGAAGAAACTGCAGGAACATTTTGTCGAGATGCCCAGATGTTCTCGCAGTTCCAAGGGTTGGGTCGCAAGAGCTCACTGCGCCACAGCATGACGGCGCAGCTCATCTACACGTCCAGGGAAAAGCTTGATACACACGATAAACTTGGGCTAATTGTACAAAACGATACAGTATCACATCCACCACTGGCCTGACGTTGAGTAGCCGTGTGGGTGGATTGTAGAATGGGACTCACCGACTATCGCAATCCAAGCCGCTCGTTTCGCGTCATACCGTCCCTCTTCTTCTTCAGCTCATCTGGGTGGTGGTATGGCTGGGGGAGTGGAGTAGGGGCGGTCGCCTGCGCAGGAGTGGCAGATTGGCCCTGCTGAACGGCGGCTTCCGCCTTCTGGCGCGCGATCGCGTCCCGGACTTGCTGGACGTCCATGTCCGTCATCGGAATCTGCGTCGGAGGGCGACGAATCATGTCTGCGGGCGATACAGCAGTGATGCGCTGAGATGGGCGGGCGTAGAGGCTGCGGGACAAAAGGGGAGAGAGGGCGTCGTGGAACAATGTGGGAGGAGGACAAAGGCAGCGCGGGACTGCGGGCGCAGGCGCTCGACACGCAACGTATGTAAAACACACCGCTCTCTCCGATCCGCCACCTGCACCATACCTGCACATATCCTCGCGTCCTCTGCGCCCGCCCGCTCGCTCACTCACTCGCCCGCCAAATACCTGCGCACCCCCCTCGACACCTGCCACCATGGAGGCCCTCATGCGCGCGACGGAGACCATCAAAGCCTTCCGGGTCCGTTCCAAGCTGCCCTCAATCACGCTCTTCCGTGCACGCCGTACTCATCCTACTTTCCTCCCCTCGCTGGTTTCGAATATCCAGGAAACTCGCCTTAGCAATATCCGGGGCCCCGCTGAGTTCTTCGACTACAACCGCGTATCTCGCCCCGCCGACCTCAACCAGACAACACATGTGCGTACCCTCTTCTCGCAACCTCACTGTCTTCCGCTATAGCTCACACGCGAATCAACCCTACGTTCGCGTCCGCCTTTGCAGCGCATATCCTACAACACTCGCTACTTCTCAGGTACGTGGCATACTCGTACCTCCACGCGCGGCGGGGGCTCAACTGTCTTGATGCACAGGAAACTACGGACTTGTCGTCGCCCTCCTCGCTGTATATGCCATGTATGCCCGCTTCTCATTCAGACAGCACGGCCCCTCTTGACACATTGCGCGCAGTGTAACGAACACCCTCCTCATCTTCGCCGTCCTCTTCCTCGTCGGCGGCTTCGCCGCTATCAACCGCTTCGGTCCGTCTTACATCCCTCTCCCTCTCTTGCTATCCGCGTCCTAACCGCACCCCCTTCTTTCCCTTCGTTCCCTCCCATTCCACTGCATTCCGCGCGGTCTCGCTCACCCGGCACCCTCCCCGCCCTATCGCGCCCCCAATATTGCGCTCGGCCTCAGCCCCGGACCCGATTACGGTCGGGGAGCACGTCATCACGCAAAAGTCGCTCTACTCTGGCCTCTTCATCATCGGCATCCCCCTCCTCTGGTTCTCGTCCCCCTTCAGCACCGTCTTCTGGCTCGTCGGCGCCTCCGCCGTCCTCATCCTCGGCCACGCCTCCATCATGGAGCCCGGCATCGAGAGCGAGTACGCAACCGTCCAGGACGCCGTCTAAGCGGCGGGTAGTTTGGGAGGAAGGGGACGGGGTCGCGAGGAAGAGCGCCATTTGGCCTCTGGGGATAGCGCGGGTGGATAGACTTCGTTCAGACCATGGAGCTCTCGTTTCTTACATAGTCGATCTTTCGCTCGGACGCGTCTCTTCCGGCTCTATAATACATGTAGCACACGACCAGACGGGACGCGAGCGTGCGCCGCGCGGGACGCAGCACCCTCAATCCTCAACCTGGCACCGGCCCACTCAACATTCAGCGCTCAGCATCCGACAAGTACTCAGCGTTAGTAAGTTCAGCGTCCGGAACTCGTTTCGATATTCAACCGTAAGACCCGATAAGCGAGAGCGAAAGCAAGCGGCGCGCCCGCGGGCGCGCCGCGGTACAGCGAGGAATAATAAGGCGTAGCGATAAATGTACAAGAGTGTCCGCAGGGGTAGGCGTGTGCTGGCGGGGTGCAGCGCGAAGTGCGGGAGAGTGTACAGTGGATAACTGGCGGAAACTTCTGCGTTGGCGGCGACGGGGAGGGTGGAGATGACTGGGTAGGTGTGCGGGGACTGGGGAGGGCGGATTGGGTGTGCGCCGCGTGTTATAATAACGGCAACCATTGTCCTGTTTGTGCCGCCGTATATCAGCACCCCGTCAAAGAAAAAAGAAGGTAGGGAGACGCACCGATAACGAGACTAGGGAGGTCCATGATATCACGGCGGATGGAGAAGCAGAATGTGCAAGGGACTGGTGCACCGCTCGGCTTGAGGAGCACGCAATGCGAGTACACGGACTGCGTCGTGTTCTCGAACGCGTGGTTCGCGAAGTTCTCCCAGTACTCCACCACCGACTGGTTTTCGAACAGCTATGGCAGCCCCCACGCGTTAGCCCCATGCCTATACCGGGCCAGAGCAAGTTGGTACGTACCTCGTAGATGTACTTGCGCCTTCCGACGAGCTCCTCGCGCTCCCAGCCGGTGAGCATGCAGAACTCGGGGCCGACGAGGCAGATTTCGCCCGTACGACGCCACGCAACAGTCGGCGTGCCCGAGAACGAGACGAGCTTGTCGAGCTCAATGAGCGAGCGCTGGAAGCACTTCTCCACGAAGACCTCGTCCTCTTCTGACATCGGCATTTGTAGAGCGATGAACGACGGTCGTACGATCGCCAGCGCGCGTACTATGCGCAGGATATCGTTCTTGTCGAACCTAGAGGAGGAAGGGACGCGCGGTGGAGGTGCACGGATGAAGGCGACGGAGGGTAGCGGAGCGGAGATAGCGTACAAGCCAGGGTAGGAACGGAACGGGAGCACGAACGGACATACATACGCACCCACAACCGAAGAAGGTTCGCAAACGGAAAGGAAAACACAGCCGCAGACCATCAGCATTTCGCCCGCACAAGCCCGAATCGGGAACACGCACCTCCGGCTCAGGTGCTTCATCAGGAAATGGTATCCCTGCGTATAGTCGTAACCCTTCGTCACGCTCTTGTACACGCTCTGCACCGCGCCCGCGCCCTCGCCCGCCGTGATGGCCTGCGCCGATATCGGCGACCCCGCCCAGTTCGGCACCATCCGCGCCGCGGTCGGCGAACTCGGGTTATTCCGCCGCGGCCGCGAGAGGAACGACGACGGTGGGGACTGCGTCACCGCCGAGGACGACGGGTACGCGCCCGCACTCGAGCCCTGCGCTTGGGCTTGCGACTGGTCAGCGGCATAATCGGCGTACTGGGCAGACGCCCCCGGGCCCGCTTGCGGCGGATACATCGCAGAGTAGCCCGTCGTGGCGGCGGGCGTGATGTACTCTGGGGGCACGCCGCCTGCGGACGGCGCGGGGTACGTCGTGTCGGACGGCGGAAGGGCAAGGGGCGGCTGCTGCTCACCATACCCTGGGCCTCCGGCGCCCGTGTATCCCTGCGCGCCGCCCGCCTGGTTCTGTGCGTACTGGCCCGCGGGTTCGGCGGGCCAGGCAGCAGCTGCGAGCCCCGATGACTGTGCGGGGGCATATGATGTGCTCGCGACTGGAGGCGCATGAGTAGTCGCGGGGGAGCCCCCTGATCCCGAATCGGGCGACGCCCCGAGGATCGCAGAGAGGATGGAATATTCGAGGTTTGCGGCCTCGGCTGGGATCCCATACGATCCGGGTGCTTGGTACGCGGGGTACATTGCCTCGGAGGTGATGTAATGCGAGGCTGGTACGGCCTGTTCTGGTATTGGTGGTGGTTGTCGGGCTAGTGCACGACAAGTATGAGAGGGGAAGGTCGTGGTAGGAGAGAGAAACGCAGGGCATTACGTTGTGTGGAGGTCTCCGCGGTCTTCGAGGAACCCTCGCCAGACTTACCCCGTTTCAATGCTTCTAAATTGGATGGAATTAGCGCGAAGCGCGAAAGGAGAAGCAGTGCTGATCATGTGCAGCTTGCCTAGTTCCTCTTCATCCAGCAGGTACTTCGCCTTCTTACGGTGGCCCTCTGTGCAGTTGTCTGCCATACCGCGCTTGATGCACCTTTGACATGGTCGTGCTACAAAAATGATGATCAGGATTCGCGCGTGATACGATGATCGCGTGAGAGCTCGCGCGCGACGCCCTGGACAGTATGAACGGAGGCGGACGGGCGTGTGTGCGGACATGTGTCCACTGGCGCCGCGCGGGCAAGACGGACTCGTGAAGCGAAGCCTCGCGCAGGCCGAATTGACATCGGCGGAGGAGATAGAGCGCCCGCGTGGCCCATTAGGAGTCGCGTCATTTTGCAATGGTGCGCATGCTCGCCCCTGACGCTGGGTTGATAGTCTGGGGTGGCTGAGGTGGCAAGGACGCCAAGGCGCAGCCGGTGGTACGTCTACACTCCAGGCCTAGGAGGGCAGGCTCTGAGCGGACTGGTCACGGTGGGTAGGAAGCAGGATTGTACGCGGGCTGCTTGTAGCGCTGCGTGCACTGTTGTAGGGTCGCATGGATTGAACCGGTGCGCAAAACTCGCTTCATGCAGTATGAATTCAAGTAGGCGAGGGAGATGGAGCGCCCGCGTGGGTAGGACGTTGTGCGGGCTGCTTGTAGCGCGGCGCACACCGTGGCAAGGGTGCAAAAAATGAACTAGTGCTCACAATCGTCGCATGTGAGATGCGCCTTCTGGCAATGAAAGCAGGCGCGGTTAGCCTTTTTCTTTTTTGGCCCATCGCGGGTCCTAGGAGTTGAGCTGCCGTCCGCGCTGTCGCTAGCAGGGTCCCCGCCACCGGTCCGTTTCCTCTTCACGGTTGGCTTTTTACTTGAATGCGGAGCTGAACCAGAGGGAATGGGTGTGCTGTTCTCGGAGGGGGTGGAGGAGGACGGCAGGGAGGGATGCTGTGTGCTCGGGGGAAGAGCGACACTCATAGCGGGCGCGATAGGCTGGAGGTCCTGGGACGCAGAGGGAGCCATGTGGGAGATATTATGGGTCGCTCGCGGGGCAGGGCATGGGCGGGAAGAAGGAGAAAGAGAGAGAACGTCGCGCGCGGAGACCGACTTCCGAGACGCTCACCGTGCGCTCGCACAGGCAGCGGCCGGCGCTACTCCGGCCGCTTGACGCTTCTCGCCTATTTTGGGTACGCGCCGGCGCCCCCTTCCCAGAAAACACGTAATCATCCCCCCTCATTTGACGTTACGTCACGCGTTTTGGCGGGCGTTTCTGTCACGACACCCCAGTATCGCCGCCGCCGTCGGACCGGCCCCTCGGCCGCAGTGGCCGGTCCGCGACCGACGTCTGCGCTCGTCGCGGCCTGCAGGCTCTTCCTGGACGGCGTCATCGTCGACGTACTCTGCAGCCTGGTCCTGGTCGCGCAGGTCCTCATGGCAATCTAACCGCAACAATCTCAACCTCACCGCGCCCTCGGTTTTACCGTCAAGTTGCGTCAACCATCACAGCTCGACGTGATGCAATCCCGCGCTGCCTCCTCCCTCCTCGCCCAGCTCTCGCGTGCAATAGGCCACGAGTCTGCTCAGAACGAGCTTAGGTGGATGCAGCAGGCCTTCGAGAAAGCTCCAGCTGGCATACACCCCACTGCACGCACTGTGAAGGACATGGTTTCTCGGAGAATACGCGGCGAACCTCTCCAGTACATCTTAGGTGAGTACCTCCATAGTTTGGGTGATTGATCGAAAAGTATGTCGCACCCGGTACGATGAGCAAAAGTTCGTACTATCTTACGACAGCAAATGCGACGCCACCATACACCGTACAAATTTCACCCGCTAGTATCTCCTGAAACACCAGACACAGACAGGCAGCTCTGCATCGCTCGCAGTCGTACGTCGTTGCAGCTTGCCGATTCATTCGGAAGTAATATGGAGCAGGAACACTTCGACGCCCCCGTGAACATCCCGTAGAGTCGCGCAGCTGACAGACTCCAATAGGATCTCAGCCATTTGGCCCACTCATGCTCGCCGTCCGTCCCCCGGTCCTCATCCCGCGACCCGAGACCGAAGACTGGGCACTCCGCCTCGCCGACATAGCAAGCGAAACCATCCGCTCGTTGGTGCCAAGTCGTCCGCTGAGCATTCTCGACCTCTGCACAGGCACGGGGTGCATACCTCTGCTTCTCTGTCATACTTTGCCGCCCGGTTCTGCACAGGCTACAGGGATTGACATCTCCGAGGACGCGATCAAACTCGCACGAGAGAACGCGATTCTCTGCGGGATTTCTGTCTCTGCAGGCGACCAGCCACGCCCCAACGAGTGGCCAACACCCCTGAAGGAGAACACCTTCAAGCCCGTGCTCGCCGACCTATTGCACCCAGACTTTGTCAGACTAGCACGGCTCACGCCGCCGTACCACGTTATCACCTCAAACCCGCCATACATCCCGAAGATCGAATACGACCGTCTCCCAACCTCCGTCAAGGATTACGAGGACGTCCGTGCGCTCGTCGGCGACCCTGACGGCGTCGCGCTTTCCACGCTGCCCGAAGCTGATCGCAACAAAGGCCTGACGTTCTATCACCGGATCGCGGACCTCGTACGCGACCACGGCCTCCTGGCGGCCGGGGGTACGCTGGCGCTCGAGGTCGGCGACGGGCAGGCGCAGGACGTCGCGGCTATTCTGGAACGCACGACTGCGATGCGACGTATCGACGTGTGGAAAGACCCATGGGAGAAGGAGCGCGTTGTCGTTGCGCGTCGGTAGCGCTCGTCTATCTATACGCATTCGTACATGCAGGCCCGCAAAACAGCCCTGTATGCTCGACACGGTCTTGTCGGCGCGACGCTACGTCCGAGGTGCTTCGTGGCTCGCAATTTGGGGCTCGTGCCACAGGAACGTCACAAACACCTTCTGTGGTCTCACCGTCGCCGGGCTCGTGCGCGTTTGCGGTCCCACTCGTATCGGAGACGCATTCACGTAGCCCATTCCTCAGGCGCGCAGGACATACCCCGGAACCTATGTGCGGATATGCTTTTGGAGCAATGTGCATCGTTACCGAGCATCAAGCAATACAAGCTCGCTATGTCTGTTTCTAGGGTTGTGTCTCTTGCGGGCCGTTTCTCTTGGATGTATGCCGTATCCCCGCTTGCCGTCCTCGGACTCCGAGCGCGTTCGCAGGCCTGTCTCCTGAGCTGGGACGCCGCTGTGTCGACTGGCCGAAGCCAAAGGCTGCGTCGACCGCTGTGGACATGTGCGCTCGCGCGCTGGAGCCCAGGCTTCGCCCCTCACAATGTAGTCTATGGGTCTGAAGAACACGCCTTCGCCTTCATCACAGCCGGCCTTCACCTCTATTCATCGTGCATTCGTCGCGACAGCATACAGTCGTAAAAGTCGTAAACGAACCCCCATTCAGATAGGCTCCATGCCACACTCAACCAGACTTCTCCGACCCCGCCGACTCTTCGTTGGACGGCCTAGCCTGTTCCTGCCTGACGTCCTCGGACCAACACAGCTTGCGGTGCAAGAACAGCGCGACCCACGTCAGCGCGAGTAGCACCGGTACCTCGACGAGCGGGCCTATCGTCGCCGCGAGGGCCTGGTCGGAGCCGACGCCATACACCGCAATCGTGACCGCAATTGCTAGCTCCTGCATCACTGGGTCAGCGGACTCCATATCATAGGTGGCTCGCTCAGCTTACGAAGTTGTTGCTCGCCGCGGTGAAGCTCTGCACCACCGCCATCTCGTACGACCACAATGAAGCCCTGCCACTCTGTCCCCGTGCCCCTGCTCCAGTCCTTGCATCCACCCCCTCAGCGCCCTCTTTCATCGCCGCACGCCGCTCGCGCCGTGCGAAGCGCCACACCAGCGCAAAGGTGGCGGACCACATGAGCACGAAGTACACGATGAGCGGGACGAAGACGCGGAAGACGGGCCCGAGGTTGTGCACGATGTGCCGACCCTGGTATGCGAACATGACGACGATCGTGTAGAGCAGGCCGAGCAGCGCGAGCGGGCCGAAGTACGGCAGGAAGCGCGTCTCGAAGAACGCGCGCGAGGTCAGGCGCAGCATGGTGAAGCGGGTTACGACGCCCGCCGCGAGCGGGATGCCGAGGTACTGCGTGCCAGGTGGTCAGCCCGAAGTGGAGAGGAGACGGAGAGGGGACATACGATGAGGACCGAGATGGCGACGCTGCCGTACGAGACGTGGATCGTCTGGTGCACCCCGCCCCCGCCCCCCAGGATGTTCACGAAAAGGAGCGCAAAGGGCGCATACAGCGCAATCTGCAGCACGCTGTTCAGCACGACGAGCACCGCGCAGTACTCGGCGTCGCCCCGCGCGAGCTGGCTCCAGACCATGACCATCGCGATGCAGCGCGCGAGGCCGACCATGATCACCCCAGTGCGGTACGTGGGGAGGTCCGGGAGCGCGGCCCACGCGAGCGCGAGCATGAGCAGCGGCGCGACGATCCAGTTGAGCAGGAGCGAGAGGAGGACGTGCGCGAGCATGCGCCGCGTGGGGAGCAGTGCGGGGAGGGCCTCGTACCGCACTTTGGTGAGGATGGGCCACATCATGACGATGAGCCCCGCGGCGATCGCTAGGTGGGAGAGAGGGGCTTGAGCACGGAGATGGGTGGGGTGTGGGAGATACGTACGGGCAGAGACGCTTTGGAAGCGTGCGGTGTCGAAGGCCTCTTGGACGCCGGGGACGTAGTTGCCTATGAGCACGCCGGCGATCATGCAGAGCAGGATGGCGGGTGTGAGCAGACGGTCTAGGATCCCCAGCTTTTTCATGAGAGCTGTAAAAGTGTTCAGCTCAATGCACAACGATGGTCAGGCGACTGCTTTCCTACCTGCAGGGGCCTCGTAGACCGCGAGGTCCGACGTGTTGTCGCGATCCGCACTCTCGTTAGCCTCGACATGGTCATGATCTTGTACTGGTGCCGCAGAAATGGTAAGTGCAGTTGACTTTTCTTGCTCCATCTTGAATGTCTTTAAATCGTGTGCTTGCTCTGGGCGTTGTAGACAGGGGGAAGAGACGAGCGAGGACCAGGATGGCCAGCTCGTTTCTTTCTCATGGTAAGCGCTGATTTTGAATATGGCAGTCAAATTCGGGTGTAGTGCAACGCCTGCCTCTTTGGGATGTGCAGCCACGGCCAACAAGACGCCGGTGAGTGACGTCATTGCTTATTGAATATGAGCTGGGTGCAGGCTAGCAGCGTTCGCAGCAGGTTCCGGTGGAAATAACGCAACTATCATGGCTGTTGCGTTCATGATCGTGACACTCCCATCGAGATCCAGTTGTAGGTCCACATACCCGGCGTCGAAGTCCATGGCGTACCTGCTTTCGCCATGCTCCTGGAGCTAGGCTGTCGACCAGGATGCATATGCATGTTCCAGGACACTTTGGGATGGTGGTACCACCAAAAATAGGATTCGGTATGTCAAACAAAGCCGATCGCTGGAGCCCATGCGGTCATCCATATCGACATAGAACACGTCCGACTCGGGACGATCGTGGAGGTGTGCCTTGCCTCCCGGAGCCGCCGCTGACGTCTGCGCATCATTCCCGGTCAGGATGCACTGGCTCCTTGCGGGGAGATGTCCTCGAACACACCACTCTGCGGCTCTCCTCAACCATCTCCTCTCTCTCGCACACTGAGGACAACAGCCTCTGCATAGCATTATGAATACGCTACTGGGACTCACCGGATGTCGGCATAGCGAAGAGTATTCCGACGAAGACGTGCCCAACCTGCACGGAAAGGTGAGCTCCCTCAGGTATCTCATGTTATGATCGTAGCAATTGCTCATGTTTCTGCAGGTCGCCCTTCTCACCGGAGCAACCGCAGGAGTGTCTCTCCATGTTGCGAAGGTTCTCGCTTCCAAGGGCGCACGGGTGCTCCTGCTGGCCCGGCGAGAAGACAACCCGGACGCAGCACTCGCAGATATTCGCCAACACTGTGCCGAACACGATAGCCATATTCCGGACCCGGACCTGGCGTTCGTCGAATGCGACCTTGCAAACTTACGAAATGTGAAGCGTGTCGGAGACGACCTGTGCGAGCGGGAGGCCCGGTTAGACATAGTAAGCCCGACTAATATATACTGCCATCGCAATGCTCACCGAGATGAACGATGCAGGTGGTCTGCGATGCCGGGCTGGGCGTGCAGCCATTCGACGTGTCAGAAGACGGCATCGACCACCACTTCGCCGTTGGCCACCTCGGACACTTTCTCCTCATCAACCGCCTCCTCTCGCTCCTCCGCCGGACAGCCGCATGCATACCCTCACCAACCCCCTCGTCCACGTCCACATCTCACCCACACCGGGCCGCTCCACGCATCATCTGTGTATCCTCCGCCCTACACGCCATCGCCCCCTCGAACGCAAGCTTTCTCTCGCACGCCGAGCTCACTGCGGAATCGGACTCAGCCTCCTCCCCGCTCGCGCTATATGCGCGCGCCAAACTCGCCGCCGTGCTCTTCGTAAAATTCGGGCTCGCGCCTCGATTACACGCGCCGGCACCTCCTCCTCGCCCCGATGATGGCGCAGGCGACAGCCGGCAAATCCATCCTGACCGTCCACGCGGGATCCTTGCATTAGCCACAGACCCCGGGCCCATCCACCCAGGACAGCCCGCCCAGCTCGCGCAGGCATACGGCCCGCTGCTCGGGTCCGCAGCTATGCTGGCCACGGCGCCTCTCGAGAGTACGCCTGCTGACGCTGCGCGCGGCACACTCTGGGCTGCGACGGCTCCAGAGCTGGAGCAGGAATGGGAGCGGTGGCAAGGCGCGTTCGTGAGTGCACCTGTACAAGAGGATGCGGAATGTGCCTTGGCGCGGGACGAGGCGCGCGGTGCTCGACTGTGGGCGATGAGCGAGGACCTGGTGAGGAAGCGGTTAGGAAAGGACGCGTTGCAGCCGTGGACGTGGCGCAGGGATGAAGGCGAGGGGCAAGGAATGGATGGGCGGCGTTGACAACCAAACTACAACCTGACATACCTCAAGCTTGTTCTCGCAAAGGATTAGGCCTGAGAGCTTGGAGTTCCGTCGTCGCGCGCGTACGGGAGTAGGAAAGCTCTATACAACAGCTACAACGCGTACACACAGCTCTGCAGTCACTCCTCGATCTCGAAGATGTCGTCGGCAGCGTGTGCAAAGCAAAGCTTAGATTTTGAGCTACATGCAGTAAAGCGCGAAGAAAACACACATCCCGACGAGCGTACACATAAACCCGCCTCTCGCGACCCGCTACCTAGTACAGTGCGCCATGCACTTTTCTGTGTGCAACGAGGTGTGGCATGGAGGAAAAAGAACCTGTCATACGGTTTATGACACGACGGTCCAGACACGGACGAGGTCGTCCGTGAAGCCACCGAAGAGGGTCTGGCCGTCGGCGGACCACGCGATGGAGACACACTCCGGCTCGCGCGCCTTCGAGCTTTGCGCGAAGTCGGGCTTGAGCTCATCGACGATCGACCTAAATTGAAAGTTGTGGTCAGATGGCGAAACATGGAGTAGGCATAGACTACGCACTTGCTCTCAAGATCGAAGATCTTGATGCAGGACGCGGTCGCCGCGCACAACCAGTAACGGTTGGGCGAGAACACGAGAGCGTTGACAATGTCGCCGGCCTCGAGCGAGTAGAGGTGCTTGCCCTCGTTCAGGTCCCAGAGCATGGTGATGCCATCCTTTCCGCCGGAAGCCGCGAGCGAACCATCGGGGGAGACGGAGATGGTGTTGATGTAGCCGGTGTGACCGTAGTGGTTGGTCTTCAGCTTGAACTTCGAGAGCTCCCAAACCTAAAGAGTATTTAGTTAAAATTGCTCGTAACACGTTACGCAAAATTATGAAGGGTCAGAGATCTTGGTGATTTTGGTTAGTCTCATCGGGTGTAACCCTCTGAAGTAGCAAATATATGTTGTAACATCATACCGGAGAAGGAAAGCAAAAGCGGGCAGGAGAGCGGACGAAATGACATACCTTGACGACCTTGTCCCAACCGCAGGAGACAATGACGGGGTTCAAGACGTTGGGGCTGAAGCGGACGCACGACACCCTGCACAGAGCTCGCTCAGGATCTTGCAAGCCAGACATGCAAATGATGATACATACCACTCAGTGTGGCCATCATCCTTGATGTCGTACTTGCACTCGCCAAGAGTGTTCCAGAGCTTGATCGTCCGGTCGCGAGAGCCGGAAACGATTTGCCTGTTGTCTGCAGAGAAGCTGACGGAGAGGACGTCCGACGTGTGGCCAACGAAGCGGCGGGTGGTCAGGCCGGTGTTAAGATCCCACAGGCGCAGCGTGTGGTCCCAAGAGGAGGAGAGCGCGAACTGGCCGTCGGAGGAGATGACGACGTCCGAAACGAAGTGGTTGTGGCCGTGGAGAATGCGCTTGGGGTACCCGTACTGGTCCTCGTCACGGGTGAGCTGCCAGACGATGATGGTCTTGTCTGAACAGGTTGCGCGACACGTTAAACAAGACTGTTTATGTCCATGCGAGGGAAGCACATACCCCGGGACGCCGTGAGGATCATGTCGGGGTTTTCGGAGGACGTGGCAATGGCGGTGACCCAGCCCTTGTGGCCGGCCATCGAGCCAAGGTAGCGGAGGGATTCCATGGTGTCGGGCGGGTGGTGCTCACGTCGTCGGCGTCGGTGTCGAGCTCGCTGTGTTTTGCGGTTCTTGCCTTTGCAGCGGACACGCGCCCGGACCCCGTGACAGCCACTGTGACTGGTACTGTATAGCTCGGCTATTTCCGGGTATAAGGGCGCTTCTACTTCGCTGTCACCGTGCGCGTCTCCGCTCTCTGGCTTGGTGGCTCTGGTTGCTTGTTCCTCGTTGTCTCTCTGTGCGGGCGAGCTGTTATTGAGGCGTGGTGTTCGCTCTGACCACGAAACGACCGCTGTGGTTCCTTGGAAGACATGGTCAGTCGGAGTCTGGAGGAATATGCGCAAGACTTGTGATGTCATCACACCGAGAGGCCACGGAAGTTCGTTAATAATGTGAGCATCCGCCCATCTATCTGTCCACAGCGTTGCACTTTGTTTCGTTTCGTGTGATGACCAACCATATATTTGCTACTTCAGAGGGTAACACCCGATGAGACTAACCAAAATCACCAAGATCTCTGACTCTTGTCTTGACACTCGTTCCTATCGTTGGACATGTGCTGACATACATCTTATAGTTCTTCGACCTCTATGATCAACTTTCAACACGGATGGTGGCTTGACGGAAGCTTAGTGAACGGTGCGAGGCATCACTCTAGTATCCTACTCGTACGTAGCAAGCAATACATTCGGCCCGCATGCCTATCTACGTCCATGCTTTACCGTCTGCAAATCGCCATTTCCTCAGTCTGCTCAACGTAACTTGCGGGATTGACCACGTGTGTTGTCGGTATCGTGATAAGGGACGCCACTTCTCATGGACCGTGCTCCTCATAGAGGACTCAGACACGACTCTAGACGAGATCCGTCGCAATATTCTCGTGTCTTGTGCTCTGTAGGTCTGTCTAAGTTTGTAATCATGTCTACGAACGGTCGGATTCCTGTCATCAGTAAGTGTTACACATTAGCTTCAGTTCTCGTTCATCCATTCTAAAAATCTGTTCATCTGACCTCTCGTATAGTTGATACGGATCCTGGTGTTGATGATACACTGGCCATGTAAGTATAATACATCCGCTGCGACAGTTTCTTAACTTACATCTGACAGATTGCTCGCGCTTGCTTCGCCCGAGCTGGAGGTTCTTGCGATCGTCGTCTCCTTCGGTAAGTCGTCCTATCTCTGTTTGACGGTCTGTGGACTCATACGTGTTTCAGGAAACACCGATCGCGCGTCTTCCCAGTGAGCCTAGGTCACTGTAAATCCATACGGGTGCCCCTCATGGCTATAACTGTACCGTTAGCATTAACATACTCAAGATATACCAAGCGATTGCGCGGCACATAGCGGCATTTCCTCAAGATGCATCTCGCTTTCCTGGTATGGCACCAAGTAGGAAAACCATTCTTGCACTGGGCGAGGACATGCCTTTACAAGGGGAGCTGCACAGCGCACAGTACTTCCACGGAAGGTACGAGCACACGTGCGAAATACGATGCAAAGGATGTTGATGACAGCATACAGAGACGGCTTAGGAGACATCACGCAGCGGCATCCAGATTTGAACATTGACGATGACATGCCTACCGACCATCCACAACTGTCTATCACGAAGAGACCTGGCGTCGAGGTCGCACTAGAGCTGATCAAGTCGGAGCCGGCACGGACCGTCTCCTATCTCGCGCTAGGCCCGTTGACGAACCTTGCGAAGTTGCTGCGCCTCGATCGGGACACGGTGTGCAGCCGCATTGGGCGTGTGGTATGCATGGGCGGCGGGCTCGACGTGCCGGGCAACACGTCTCCTGTGGCAGAATGTCAGTATAACGCGTCTCAGATGCACAATTTACGCCGCTAACCCCCTCGCCACAATTTCCAGTCAATTTCTTTGCGGACCCATACGCCGTCAAGGAACTGCTCGTCCCCTCTGACCCCGGACACGGCTTTCCCCTGGACCGCTTCGTGCTCCTGCCGCTCGACATCACCACGCCGCACGAACTGTCTTTCCCATACTACGCAGCCGTCATCGACCCCGCGTTCGTGTCCACCGCCTCGCCGTCACGGGCGGCAGGGAAGCCGCCCCTCGTGCACTTCACAAGCTCTTTCCTCGAGCGCACGCGCGAAGTCATGGTCGAGTTCGGCAAAGATGCGATGGAGCTGCACGACATCGTCGCGGTCTGGTGCGCGATCTCGAACCCACCCGTCGCGGACGAAGTCCCCGGCGCATCGCCCGCGCTGCAGCGCGGATGGAAGGCCGTGCAGCGCAAGTTCGATATAGAACGGCGAGTACCCTGCTCTGTTGCTGTCGCTCGCGGCCTCGCGGCCTGAGACCGTGCAGCGCGAACGAAGCAACTGTGCTGACTTGATCTTCTTTTAACCGGCGATAGTACTGGGGAGCTCACACGCGGGATGCTGGTTGTGGACCGGCGAGACGACCAGGGTGCATACGCCCCGGGCGCGAACCGCGCAGAGGTCCAGGCGGAGCTCGAGCGGCACCACTTCCAGCACGCGGGCGCGTACGAGTCGACCGCGCTCCCGGCCCCCGTCGAGGTCGAGAGCCGCCCCGCCGCCGCCGCCGACGCCAAGGACCAGGGCGGCGCCGCGCAGAGGGGCGGCGTTGCGTGTATTACGGAAACGCCGGGCTCTGCGGCACTTGTGCAGCTGCTCCTCGAGCGCGTTTGGGGTGTCAAGAAGGCGTAGCGGGGGTGGGGCCGACGAGATCGGAGGCGGTCGGCGAGAAGACGTGTCGTGGGTCCGGCGTGGTGGATGTGAATTACAACGATCCCCCGGTGTTATTGATGTTGCGGCCCCGAAGCCATGTAGGCCGTGTCGATGGTTGGATGGGACAGGTACATTGGAATACGGTGCGTGAGAGATGATTCGTACATGCGTAATAATACAGACGTGAGTGACGTGCCCGTCTATCCAGGATGCTAGCGTAAGGACCCGTAGACTACAAGACACTACTATAGCGTGCCAACACAGCGAAGGTGACCGCGGTGATGCATATATCACCCGGCGGTCCGCTCTGCGAGCTCAGACCGACACTGACTCGACATATTCCGCGCTGGCCTTCTTGTCGAGGTCCGTGTCCGAGCCTGCGATCTTCTCCTTCTCGATCTGCGCGCGCTTCTGCTCGATCTCGTCGACCGTGCGCAGCCGGAACCCGCCTTTGCGGCTCTGGTCTATCACGATACCACTAGAGCGCAGGTGAGTGGTGCGGTTCTGACAGATACACGAGGTGGGGGTGGTGACGTACACAGCGTAGATGCCCATCGCGACGTAGCCTGCGAAGGGCACCATATACGAGTGTGCGGTCGTGTCCCTGTCTGCGATAGAGCCAGCCGCCGGGGGGAACCAGGCACCGCCTCCGACACCCTACAATATTGCGAAGACGTCAGAACGTGTCCCGCGGCGTCCGGTACCACCGGTGCCAACATACCATGACGATCAGGCCGGAGCCCCTCTTCGTGTGCCTTCCCAGGCTCTTCGTGGCTATCGTGAAGATGACCTGGAAGTGCGGGGCGACGTGAGACTAAGTTCTGACGTGCGGGGGCGTGGTGGATGTGGATGACACGTACGGGGTAGCAGATGGACTCGAAGAAGAACAGGGCAAACAGGCAGCCGACCCCAGCCTTCCCGGGCGCGTAGGAGACCCCAAGCGAGAAGGCACAGCACCCGAGGGCATAGATGCTCAGCAGAAGCGCGGGGTCGAACCAGTTGAGCATGATGACGCCCAGGAAACTGAATGGCGGATCGTTTCAGGAATGCGCGCCTGCGGGCGAAGATGGCGGTGCACTCACCGGCCAACCGTGAAGGTAATTTGGCAGTATGAAAAGAGCTGGCTCGCGAGCGGCTTGTCGATGCCGACGCCTTGTTCGGAGAGGAAGTTGACTGCGAGGGATGCCACGGCCACCTGCGCACCGACGTAGGCCGTCTGCGCGACCCAGCCGAATATGCAGCGGTACTGCCGCCAGAACGGCTCCTTGTCGTTTGTCAGACCAACGTCGTGCATCTCTTGCGCGAGCGCGTCCTGAGTGATCTCAGGGAGCTTGCAGAAGCTGTAAGGAGAAATTTCGGTGAGTCATTGCCGCAGCGCGGAACCTTGATAAATGGACGCACTAGAACAGAACGTTCAGCACGGCGCCGAGGCCGGCGACCGCAAGATAGACCCTGAGGAACGGAAATAAAGTTAGCACAATGCGGCTACTACTCTCTCCGGCGGTGAAGCGCGCACCATTGAACCGTATCGAGCGAGGTGGCGTTCTTGCCCGTGAAGAACCACTTGGACGCAATCATAGGGCCCGCGAACGAGGCGACCCCCTGGAAGCCCTGGCTAAAGTTCAAACGTGCCGCAGCATACTTGGGGCTTCCCAGCACGGAGATGTACGAGTTCGCAGCGACCTCGAGACAGGACAGGCCGCAACCTAGTACGAAGGACTGTCAGGGCGGAGTGCCGGTATGCCGAAGACTGCAGCTCACCGATGACGAAAGTGCACCCCACGAACCCGCCATAGGAACGGAACTTCGCAGACGGCCAGAAAAAGATCGCGCCTGGGTGCATGCAGGTGAGCGACGTGCGGCCGTAGGCGGATGTAATAGACAGCTGACTTACCCAGGGAATAGAGCGTGAGACCCATATGGATGCCTTTCTGACGTTTCGGACATCGGGTAAGCACGAGGCGGTCGTTGGCAGCTGCGATCATAACGAACCTTGTACCCATATCTCTCCATCTGCAACGCGGACATGAGCGACCGTGAAACGGACAAAGGACACGACGACTTACGAATATGCTGGCAATAGGTGCGTAGACAAGGTAGGCACCCTACCATATACGAGTATGAGCATCAGGCACCAACGCTGATAGACAATGAATTGCTTACAAAGTACGCCAGCTGCAGGAGGGTACTCTGGGTCTTGCCGATGCCGAAGATCGTTTGGAAGTGGGAGTTGAGGACATCAAGCAGCTGGATGACACCGTGGGTCAGGAGAAGGCCGGGATGTGATACGCTCTGGCACGCACCCCGTATGCAAAGCCCCAAGTGAAGAAGAGGGATGTCACCAGCGAGAAGGCGAACAACCACTGCCTGCGCGAAAGGTCTGCGCCTATAGCAGTAAAACGAGTTGAGCTGCGGGGACAAGAGCGGGAGAAAGGCGCGAGGAGGACGCACCTGTTACTCCGTCAGACATTGCAGCGGTGTGGGGAGTCGACAGAGGGAGTCGTGGGCAAAGCACGATAAGGCATTGCAGCTTAAAGTTGAGCTATATAACGCGTCTGCGGAGGTGTGCGGTGGGGCCCCAGGTCCCCCGCACTGATGGGAGGAAGGGTGTGCTCCCCGCGTGATCTGGGGTAGAGCAGACGGACCGGGGGGAGATCAGCGCATGCTTGTTTTCCCCGCACGTCCCATCGCAGGAATGACATCAAAATGGACACCTCCTGCGGCGGGAGGCAGCCTCGCAACGGCGCACATGCGTCGTAAACACGCTGTGAGCGGGCGTCGGGCGAGGGCGGGATGTCGCGCGCTGTCGCGCCTGGCGCGAGAACGCAGGCCCGCCGGGGAGGAAGACGCAGAAGGCGCGGCGGGTGGCGCCGCGAAATCCATGGACTACTGCGACTGCCAAATGCGGACGCAGGTGTGGGCGCATGACCCTGAGCGTGACCCGCCGGGCGCGATCCCCGGCAAGCGCCGTAGGGGCCAAGAGCGCGGACCGGCCAGTCTAACTCTGATCGCTCCCTCGCGCGTCCACACTCGAGCTCGACTCGCTACCTTCTCCTCCTGTGCGCACTCTGCGCGGGATCTGCGACGCCGCGCTCTGCTCACGCACGATCATCGATATGAGCACGTCCACGCTCGCGCGGTTCCTGTCGGTCAGGAGACTTCTCAGTCCAGGGGAGGACGCGTCGCGCTGATCGCGACGTCCGTGCAGGAAAACTACGGCGCGATCAAGGCGCGCTATCCTGGTGCGGGCAGGCGCAGGTGGAGACTCGCCGTGGCAGAGCTCTTCTGGGCTCTGCCCGCGGAGCAAAAGGCCTTGGTGCGCCTCGCTTCGTGCGTTCATTTTGACGAAGGACACGCATCACTCACGCGTCGTCGGCCCCATCGCAGATCAGTCAAAATCCCCTCCTCGCGGACACCATCGAAGAAGCCGACTTCAACACAGATGACGATCCCGCCGACGGCATCTCCGACGACGCCCCCGGCCTCGGCGTCCTCCTCCGGGCGGACTACACGGACGAGGGTGCCTGGGCAGCGTTCTACGCCAAACTGCAGGAAGCAGAAGCAGAATTTGCAGCCGACGCGTCACAAGATGCACAGGCGGACACGCACGGCGAGGCACCATCCGCCGCTCAGGGCGCAGCATCATCTTCGACCGATGCTGGGGGCGACACCGCGATGGTCGACGAAGTCGAAGACGCAGATGCAGACGCAGACGCAGACGCAAACGATGCAGACGACGACGATGACGACGGCGGTGCGCCGATATTCGCTGTGATCAACGCGGCCACACCCGCCGAGCAAGCCCGTTTCTCCGGCCTCTCAAACATCGCCGCTCTGCGGCTGTTCAACGACGTCGACGTGCGCCGCGCGCCTGCCCCGCCGCAGGGCACACGGCGTATCAAGCCGCCCAACCGCCTCGTCGACCACGACGGCTGGCAAGAGATATACTCGGGCAAGACGGTGTGGGTCTACGACGCGCGCTCGAACCAGGACCAGTGCGTGCGGCTTGTGAGCCAGGCGAGCGCGGCTATGTATGGCACGGCAACGTCAGTCCCCCGAATTCTGTCGCCCTCGGGCTGCCGTCAGACCGTCTGCTGAACTCTACCACCCGGCCGGCCTGCCCGTGTGTCTCTGTTTCTCCACAGCGCCGACAGCTGGCGCGCGCGTGTCGGCCACATCTGCGAGCTGCAGGTGAATTTGGCGGCTGGGGCGCTGTCGATCGACTTCGGCGGGCTCGACCGGTGGGACTACGACGAGCGGGCGCGGAACCTGCGCGAGGCCCTGCAGCTGTCGCAATAATAACGGTGTCAGTTTAACACTTATGCAATGCAAATCTGTATCTGTACCTCACTCAAGGTACCCACGGGCTCAGCGCCATCCAGGACGCCCAGTGCGCAGGCCTTCTCCTTTCATTTCGACGTCGCGCGAACAGCGCCCATGTATACTCGTACGGACAATCAGTGATCGCTCATGATCAACCATCACGCGAGCATCAGTCAATTCGGCCGTCGCGCGGTTCGAAGTGCACGCGCGGCGGCGTGGCATCCGCGGCGGTCGCACCAGGAAGGCGTTCGTCGTTAGCGCTTTACATAGCACATATGCTCCGAGTCCGATGGAAGCCGGCGATACGCATTCGGAATCGGGGCTCGCGGTGGGTGGGTTACAGCGGTATGCGTATTCGTATAGTGCGTGTTGTACAGTGGCGATTAGTAGGCGATACATGGTATGCGGCAGAATATAGATAGTAGCAGTACTGGCGGCCGTGGTACGTATAGTGCACAGGTAGGTGTAGCGCCGGGGGCATGGGCAATGTCCGAGGCCGGGGATAGGGATAGGCAGTATGGCATGAGGGGATCCAGATGACAGTGACACGGACAGGCGCGGGTGGGTCATAAAGCATATCAGTCCTGCATGAGACGCCTCAGTCAGCCCGAGGGATTATGACATTGCGCGATAGCGCGCGAATGACTGACCATCACAGCTCGTGCGGGCGGGCTCGTGAAATTTGGGTGCGGATTCCTAAGGCAGGCGCGCCGCGCGGGCGAGTCAGACTCACCGCGGGCGCGCGTGGTCCTCCGGGCCCGAGGACGACCGCGACGAGCGCACGTCAGACATGCGCTGCGTGAAGCGCGAGCGCGCGCGCTCCGCCTCGTCGAGCTCCATCTCCTCGTCGCTGTCCTCGTCGTCCTCCTCCTCGACGAGGTCGCGGCAGTCGACGTACCCCCCGCAGCAGTCGGGGTCCTTCGGCCCGGGGTATCGGTGCGAGTGCGAGTGCGTGTGGTGCGGCGCCGGGCCCATGACGGAGCTCGGCAGCGAGCGGTGCGGGTACACGGAGGGCAGCGGCTCGCGATATGAGGCGCGCTCGCGGTCGGATGGCGGCCGGTCGGGGGTGGCGAGGGGCGGGAGCTCGATGCGCGGGGAGACGCTGAGCTTGTGCGAGTGTGGCGGCGCGCCGGGCGAGGGTGTGTATGTTGGGGTGGCGAGCGTTATGGGTGTGCGGTTGACGTGGTGCCCTCCGGGCGCGGTGCCCGCTGGGCCTGGGTAGAAGGCGAGCTGCTGGAAGCGGGTTATGGATGCAGATGCTACGGCGAGGTGGTGCATTAGGTCCGAGGACGCTGCGGCCTGTGGAGGATATCCTGTGAGCTTTAGACAACATGCAGGTATAATATCTGAACGCACCACTTCGGGACCGTATGGCGACTGTGCCGGTGGCGGAGCGGCGTTCTTGAGCTTCGCCTGGAGGGAGTCGACCTCCTGGCGGAGGACCATGTTCTCTTCTTCTGCCTTCTTGACGCGGTGCTCGAGGTCTGCGAGGTACTGGGCCTTGCGGGCGCGGTAGTCGCGCTGCTGGAGGAGCGCGCGGGAGGGGGGTATGGTCATGTCCTTTCTGCGGCCGCGGGTCATTGTGTGGGTGCTATGCGAGTGTGATAGGGTGTGGTGAGCAGATGCGGGCGCAGGCGGCAGGCGAGAGTGGGGGGCGGGGGAGGGGGAGGTGAGACAGGCGAGGGGCGAAGGAGGAGGGGATTTGAGGGAAGGTCGGGAGGCATGGAACTGTATTTGACTGTCGGCGCCTAATACAAAGGAGATATGTTTCGCATCGGGCGTGGCAGACGGACGTGGGCGCAGTTGTCCGTCGAGCAGCTGCCATCAGCATGGGCGGCGTGTTGTGCTCTCATGCTCGGACTTTGCAATGCGCTGATGCTGTGCTCCGCCTCTGCTTATTCCGTCGACTCATCATCCGACTATCACCACTCCCGCTGCCCCCCGTTTCTGTCTACATGAAATCCGCCGGCCAATCATCCCAGGCCGTGAATTTGACGAGCCGATCTGCACGACCCCTCTCACGTCCGCGTCCCCCGCAGCCCCCTCCGGATGTCATTCTGTCCACGTCCAGCCGGCTCGCTCGCCGACGCCGGGCATCCATCCGTCAATGCTGCGACCGCGACGGCTGACAGCCACCCAGCCCGGCGGGGCTCGTGCAGTCCTGGCCTGCTCCGACCGTGTGGCCGGCGTATTTGAATTGTGGTCAAAATTGGCGTCTGGGTGGCCGCGCGGCCGACCGGCGTGCGTGGGACGGGGCGTGTTCCCGTCCTGTGGCAGTCAGAACGGGGAAGATGGAGACGGCTGATATCGCGGTGGCCGCTGCGCTCTGGTCGCGCACTGACAGGCACTCCACCTGCCGTGCACGACAGAGTTCGGGGAGCCGCCCGGTGCAGCTCGGTCGAACCACGATCTCCAGACGGCCCGAAGGCACCCCATCAGTTTCAAGCTCGCCGCACACCAGACTCCGATCTTGCCCTCCTCATCTCCGATTCACTACAGTCTCCTGCTCCCGGTCCTCGCCCGGTCCGGCCCTTGCTCTCTCTCGTCCACGTACCCGTGACGGCCTCGGCTGCGTCCTCTGTCCGCTCTTCCTCTTCTCCTGCGCCATTTGGACACCGAACTGCGATATCCCACACGCTCGAGTCAGGATCCGTAAGCTGTCCCTCGCCTCCGAGATACCTGACTACTCATTCACCGACCCGCCGATCTCCAGCTCGACGAACTGGCCTGGATCTGTCAACGCAGTCAACCTGTAACGCAACTCTCTCACACGTCTGCGCTCTTCTCGGCGGCTGACACATCTCTCAGCAGCATTCGCAAGCCAAGAGTCTCCGCAATCGCTCACACAAGGCTGCGGCAGGCGCTGCCATGCTCGCAACCTTTTGATGTTTTACCGCGGCGCCTCGCTCAGCAGCCCGCCATACTGCTTAAGGTGTGCTGAGCGGCCGTTTTGGGCGCGCGCTCGCTGCTAGTAAGTGCGTTGGATATCCTATTTCTGATGGAAGCCACGTCCGGAGACGATCCTCTTCGCAGTCGTGTATTTGAAACAGCCACCAGTCACATTATTCAACGGGCGGCCTTCTTGCCTTCTACCTTCTACCGAACCCGGCGATGCTTTGTGGCCTCGCACCGCTCGCGTGCTGTGTTATCTGGTGAGCGCGTCGTATTTGTGGTTTGCGGTTCTGAAACCTTCGGGAAGAGAGGTTATCCCACATCCTAGGAAGCCCGCTATCCCCGCAGCCTTTACGCGAGGACGGGCGTACGCCGATGCTGTCGCAGCAAACTGTGTGCTGTGCGGCGCCGCCGTAGCATGCATAGCCTTGCACGAAAGATCGCTAGGACAAGACTTCAAGAGTCACGCCATGCGCAATGGGATTTTCAAACTCAAAACTCGGCGAATCCGTGTGTGCGGCGGCCAATTTCACCACGCCATCGTGCTGCGCGGGACGACAGCGGCGGCCTCAGAGCCTCGCTGGGAGATCAGCAGCCAGCCACTGCGAACCCTATCGCTGCGGGATGCCGGCACATACGTACGTTGGACTCGGTGCTTTATTCGCCGGACCCTTCATGCGACCTGCCACCAGCCGGCAGTGCCCATATAGCTCGCGAGTCGGCTACGAAGGCCGCTTCGCTTCGTGGGCGCACGCGTCCGGATGCACATCCTTCTTGCAACTCTGTTGATGTTGCCCGGCGCATGCACCTCAGCGGCGCGTCGCGACGCGAATTTGTGGCTTCGCATAGCCGATATACAGACGTCGAGATTGCGCGCTCGGTTGCCGTCTTCACAGGCAACGCTTCCTGCTCTTCGATTTCATGTCTTGCATCCGTGCGCCCTGTCTAGTCGCTCGCCGAGTTCACCAGTTCACCAGCTTAACAGGGTTTATTACCGCAGTGCGTGACGTCGGCCCCGCATACACGTCTGTGCACTGCGTCGCTGTCAACTAGTGCTCCGCACACCGTCCTTGGTCCGGATGTGACTCATACGCCCATACAGTCGCCTCCGGTCGGAGAAGGAGCCTCGCACGCGCCCGAGTCGCTGTGCGCCCGCGAATAACACATCGCAAGTTCGCAGCACATCCTGTCCAATTCAATTCCTGCCCAGCGCACGCGGCCCGAGCACTGCGCTGCCCCTCGGCGGCCCTCCGCGGGCTTGCGTCAGTGCTACTAGTCACCCTGCTTGTGTGCCGATTTGCGGAGGAGGATCGGGCGAGGAGCGCGATTTTGTCAGCGAAAATGACGGCGGCTGCCCTGGTCATTTTGCACGTCGTCGCCCGACTCCCGCCAAATTGTCTGTCGGCTTACTTTTTGCTCGACATCTTCCCCTTGGCGTCTCGGAGTCCGGAGAATCAGATGTCGAGTCAGATTGGGGACGTATTGACATTGCACATATGGAGCTAGGTCCGACCCGAGGACGCTCGCGGTATTCGGGTGCACTGTGCAGAGACCCTTTCAGCATGCGGACCTGGGCCGCCCTAGCGGCGAGTAGCCTCAGAGCTTCCCGTGCGCATGTCTCACTTCATGACAGCGCGTTTGGCGAATTTGGCGACGACGGCCGCGGATATGTCCGGCGGTGCCTCGTCCCGCACCCGGGGCGAGTACGAATGCGCATTACGCGGCGGCAACCTACACACGCGTACGGCAAAATTGCAGAACTGTAAAATACTTGTACAGTGTCAGGGTGCAGAGCTTCCCTGCGGCGGGCCTCGCGGCTATGCATATAAACTCGAAGCGTCCTGGAGCGGTTTCCTCAGGGCTCGCAGCTGCGCTACGCACATCCGCCCTCCGCCGATGCTGTCATGCAAATACGGCCGTGCCACAATATCCACACGCACCTTCTCAGCTCCAGTGGCGATCGCCAGGACGCGTCGAATCACGTCGCGGAGTTCGCGGGCGCGCTCGCGTATCAGGCCTATGCAGGCCCCGTTCGCACGGAGGCTAAACGTGAGTACGCGCGTAGTCATCAACGCAATCCCCACGGGTGCATAACGATGATGATGATATCCATGTAATAATGGGCGGGAATGTATTATGTGGGTACGTACTACGTAGCCGATATCGCGCCGGCGGCACTGACACTCAGCGACAGGCGATCTCTGGGACCTGCCAGGACCCAGGGAGCTGCGCGTGATGCGCCCGAGGCGCAGTGCCAGAGCGGTGCTGGATCTTGCAGCATCCCTCATCAGCAGCGCATGCGGTCAATGTCGCACTCTCGCACGCTCAAAGTCGCCCGGCCGCGCAATGACGACCGTCTGGCCGGCGCTGGCGCGGCGCAGCGATGCAAACACCATCGCATGCTGCTGCTGCTGCTGCAACGCTCAAGTTGGGTCTTGGGCAGATTCGGTCTGCAGTGGCCGTGATCGCAGTCAAGCCGGTGAGTGCTCGGTATTGCGACCTCGGAGTCGGGACATTGGCTTAAAGTTACTGTGTTGCTGTATTACAGTGCGCAGTGGGATGCGACGACATGTCGGGTACGTCGCGGTACGAACGCTGCAAGTGGGCGCGCCCGCATCCTCGGGCACGCGTGCAATATCATCGTCCCGCGCGTATGTGGCGGGATGGTTCGGGAAGGTGCGTCGTGGCCGCACACCGGAGTTCACGGGTAGGAGATGGATGTGGGCGTGATGGAACTTGGAAGTGGAAATGGGGGAAATTTCCGGACAGGCGGCGACGGATAGGAATGCAATTTGAGGTGGTGGGCGGGTGGTTACCGGCGGCAGTTTTGAGGGTCCCCGGTCGGTGTCGTTCTTGGGATCCTGGTACCACGGGGCCTGGGGGCTGTGCGGGTGTTTGGGACATTGCTTCCGCGTCCGATCCTAGTAGGGGCTGGCGCGGCGGCGGCGCCTGGGGGAAGTGTCGGCGCGCTCAGGTGAGATGTACGTCGCCGTCTTCCTTACGGGGGTGGCTGGCGGTTTGGGTGTGGTTAACTGACGGGAGCTGCGTAGGGCGATTCTATCCAGGAACAGACGCGGTGCGTGATGTTTCTTCACCTCATGGCGCTGCATCGTGTCCTGGTTCCAGTTCAACATATCACGAAATCCCACTGAACATGATCATCGGGACTTCTGTACGTCCGCTGTTGTAGTTGTCGCTGAATATGTGCACCCTTGCTTTCTCAGCTTGCGGAGGCTAACATGATTACCAGCAGGCATGTGGACAATACCCGGGACCATGCACAGCGCGACCCCGGGACACGGACCCCATCCGAATATGGCCGGCCACTCGAGAAGTTCGTATGTGACGGGACGGTGAAGACTCGGTCGCTGTCCCGAGCAGTGGCGCCTGAACCAGTCCTGCCGGGCCCGACGAGGCAGGCGGCGGGCTCGGCTCGTGTCCCGCCGTAGCTGACACGTCCCGATTGAGCGCGACGTTGAAGTTGAACGGTGCGCCGCCGTCAGCCCCAGAAGAATAAAAGGCGCCGCGTGCCGTCGAGGTTGCCCATCGGTTCTTCCTCTCGACCGCCATCTTCTCTCTCACAGCCTATAGCTCCTCGCTCCCGACGCTCTTTACGCTTCTCTCACATCACTATGATTCGCTCTCTGTTCCTCGTGCTCCCCCTTCTCTCCCTCACCCCTTCCGAGGGTGCCCCCATCCCCCAGACTGGCGCCATCGCGCAGGTAAATTGGTCCGCTCTTGTTCACCGATGCCCGCTCATCACATCACCACTCTGCTAGCCTGTCAACGCGGAGACGTGCGCTTTGTTGGGGCTCGCCTTCATCCCCAACCTTCCCGCCGCCAATGCGCCTGACTCCGGCCTCTCCCTCCAGGAGCTTGAAGACTTGTTCCCGTCTTGCGGCGGAGTACCCGACACCAATAGTAACATCAACAGCAACGCCCCTTCTCCTGGTCGTACAGGTGGCGGTGGCGGAGCGGCTTCTGTCGGCCGCGGTGACGGCGCGGGAGGCCAAGCCGATCCTGCGGCTTACGCTGGAGCATCATACGCTGGGAACACCGACGATGGCTCAGCGTCGTCTGGCGGAGCTCCTGCGACCTCCGGGAATTCTGACACTTCTGGGAACTCTCCTCCTCCCGCCGCAGTAGCCAAACCCGTCGACCCGACTACTGCTTCTCAACCTGCACCCGCTGGCAACCAACCGATCAACCCCCCGATTCCCGGCCAGGCAACTGCACCCTCGTCGAATGGAGATGTCAATGCCCAACCCGGAGGCCCCGACGCCTCGAGCAATGTCAACGTCAACGCGAGTCCTGCTTCGGGGGCGGACTCTGGCTCTGGTTCTGGTTCTGGGTCCGGGTCTGGCTCTGCTTCTGGCAACTCCGGTGGCTCTGACTCTGGCGTGGCCGCTGGCAACGTCAACGTGCCCGCTTCGTCTGCGGACTCCAACGCTGGTGCTGGATCTAGTAGCGACAGCTCGACCGACTCCTCGGCTCCTACGGCTTCCGATGACAATGGCGCGTCTGCCTCAGCCAACGCATCCCCTGCTGCCTCTAACGGCGCTCCCGATGCCTCTAACGACTCTCCCGCTGTGTCTACCGACGGTTCCTCAGATGGAGACAACTCGCCGGGCACTTCAGCAACTCCCAACGGGAATGTCCCCGGTACCGTGTCAGCGTACCCGGCGTACTCAGGCGGTTCCACAGGTGCCACTGCATCCAACGGCTCTCCTGCCGGCTCATCTGGGGCAAGTAACGCGTCGGGCGGTGGTAACTCGTTTGGCGCCCCTTCGACCCACGCAAAGTTCGCCCACGGAAGTCCGTCCGATGAAAGCGCAAACACGGTGTCGCAGTGCGTGGGGATTCTGTGCTTGAACGCGAATTTGGTCAATGCCGCCGAGAAGGAGATGATCGGTGAGAACACTGAGGTATCGCCCACCGGCCACATCGTGCAGACTATCCCGGAGTGTACTAGGGGGGCTGATGTTGGCGCGTGTGTGGATACTGGTCCCCCGCAATTGTGATGGGAGGCGGTTGTTCGTACGTTATAAATGTGTACGAGTACTTGGAGTCATTGGAGAATACGGGGGTCAAGCCGCTATATGCGCGAATGCTTGCGTGCAATGATAACTAGACGGAAGGAGCGATGGCGTGTCCGCGACATGGGCGCTCCGTTGAAGCACAGCCGCTGTGCTCGCGCTGGACGATGATGATGGCGCGCGCCACGAGTAGCCCACGTCCACCTTACCCTCATGCCATCCTGCACGCCTCCCGACACGTCCTGAGTACCGAGTCCTGACCGCCAAACGCCACGAACAGCGCCAATGAAGAGCGACTTCGCCGACGAAACCTATTTCTCCGCCGCCTTCGCCCTCCCGTTCCGCGTGCTTTGTCTCGTCGGGCTCGGAATCCTCGGCTGGGCGACGAACCTGCACGGGCTGCACATCTGGCACATCGACGCCCCCAACACGCTCGAGCTCGCCCTGTCCGCACACGACAGCCGCCGCCTCACGTCCCCGCTCCCAACCGCGACCGGGTGGCGACACGCGCCCGCGGGCCCGCCGCCGCACCGCGCGGTGTACCGGGTGTTCGCGGTGTATGCGGGGTGGACGCTCGCGTGCTGGGTGGTGTTCCGCGTCGCGACGGCGGCGGACGCGGCGCTCGTGGACGGGTTCAAGTTCGTGCCTGCGCTGGCGGTGCTGTTTGTGCTGACGGCGCTCGTGTGCCCGTTTGACGTGTTGCACAAGCATGAGCGGGATCGGTTCCTCCAGTACGTCCTTGCCTGTTTTTTTTTGCATCTTATGCCGCGGTCTGGGAGGGAGGGTGGATGAAACATACGCAGTTTCTGTGGGAATGAAACTCAGTAGCAGGTTTCGAGGCCCACTGCAACTAGGTGGCCAGTAGAAATCGCTATAGTGGAGAAGGCATGCGGTCAGGTTGCACGACACGTTTGAACGCGTAATCCGCGTCGTGTGCCTTGACCGAAACCCCTTCCCCGTGTGTCTGACGGCTCTCCACTAGTGGAACACCCCAAAGAACGGCCCTCAGGCATCGCTGAAAATATACCGGCAGATGCATCGTTCTGAAGGAGAGTCGTCCGCTGCAGGAAAAATCGTATATATCACAGTTTAGGGTCATAATTCGACGAGAGCTTCCAGATTGCTGACGACCCGACCAACAGCGCAGTGCATAGATGTCTATTTCCGTCACCGCACAGAGTGTACTTTTCGGACGTCGTATTTGCGGATATTTTCACGTCTTTCGCAAAGGTGCTCGGAGACGTCTGGCTATCGGTGTGGATGCTTCTCCCTGCCGGGAGCTTGCTCTCGCAGCCGAGTCAAGACGGCCTGTCGCGGTGGATTTTACCGACCCTTATGAGGTGAGTGCTCTGTCGAGTTGGATTTCCGTTTCTATCATGGCCTAGCATCCCCCTCGGCGTTTATGTGACTCAGAGGGGGCTTCGCGTTTAGGCTGGTTAATTCCGGAATCAAGCTTGAAAAAGCTACCTACGTATTGGACAACAAACTGCATAAGCGAAACACCATGTCCTTCATTCACGGGGCTTTACAGCTGCCTTCAGTCCTAAATCAGCAGATCAGTTCGAGTCATGTTCCTAGCCTGGGCCACAGCCACGGCAATGTGCGTCGTGGAGGTATTCTTGGCCTCCTATCCACTGCTTTTCGCGCCGGGGCGACCCGCCATAATGGTCTTGTGCGGGTTTCGTGCGATATAAAGCCTGCTCCAGGCTCCTCGCACGCATATAGTCTATCTCATACCCGGTATCCCCCATATACACCAAGAGCACCGTCGATCCACCATTGGCTATATTCAGTCTAGACTTGCATCTTCGGTGGCAATGAGGTCACTGTCCGGAATTGAAACGCAACTCTGTGCATTCCAACGTGATCCTGGTCCTCCCGTGCGCATATATAAACGTACTCAATTCTGCCCCTGTTCTAGCATCCCTTACGCTGTCCGTCTACGCCAATGTCTGGTGGAATATAATGCCCCGGCGAACGAAAGCCGGCGGCCGCTCTTCAACGCTCTGAAGTACGCCTCTTCCTTCCCCGTAATATACCTCTCTGCAGCGCAGCGCCTTGTTGTGTCCGATGTTATCGCTTTGAAGGGTGAAGCTGCTGCTGACCAGCCATGGCACGGCGAGCATCATCTCTTCCGCTTGTGGTGAGTCGCTTTGTCTTCGTCATGTTGCCTTATGTTGACTATACATCATGCAGGCTCCTTGCTGCGGCTTTTAACTCCCTGTATACTTTTTGGTGGGACGTCACAAACGATTGGGGTCTTGACCTCCTGCGACCCAAGCACGCTGAAAGCGCATCTCCTCGAACGTCTGCGCCCCCACGCCCACTGCTCCTTCCTCGCTTGCACTCCCGTTCACCTCTCATCAAGCAGCCCGAATCACCCCTAGATGAGCCCGAAGCCCAGCAACTGACTTATACCAACACCGGGCGCGGCCCGCACCCATACGGACTCAGGCCGACGCTCCTCTTCCCCCTCCCCGTATACCCGTTTGCGATTCTCGTCGACCTCGTGCTCCGCCTAACGTGGTCTGCGAAACTGTCGAGCCACCTACACTCGTACGCCGAGGGTGACCTGATTATCTTCTGGATCGAGCTTGCCGAAGTCGTACGCCGTTGGATGTGGGTCTTCCTCCGCGTCGAGTGGGAGACGGTCAAGGAGGCGGACGTACACGCACCCCGGTCACCGCCCCCGCGTCTAGTCGTGGACCGCGGGGACTCGTATCGGGACGCGATCCCTGAAGAGTCCGATTTCGAATTGGTGCCCTCGGAGCAGCACGGGCGTGGCTCGGACGCCGGCTAGACGCGCGCTCGTGACCGCGACATACCGGCGACGGAGCAGATGCTGAGATAGCCCAAGTTGAAGACGCGCCGTACAGAAGAGACTCGGGCGATGGTGGGAAGGATTGGACAGATGTGTCTGCGCATCGCGCTTGGCATGCCGGTGAGTGCTGGCGGAGCTCGTGGTCGAGACTGCGCTCACGTTATCGCGTACCCACACAGGGCTTCTCTCTACTGTACTAATGTACTAGTGGGTCTCACAATTATAACAGCGCGTCGATTGTGCCCTCTGCGCACGTCCCGATGGTCAAGGACCAAGGCGAAGGAAGATTGACATGTTATGCAGATGGCATGCTAGGACGCGTCTCGTGGTCGTTCATGTGAGTGTCGGCTGATCGAGCTTGTTTCTGCGGAGACAGTGCGCTTGATGATGCGGGGCATGGGGACGCGACAATCCGGGGAGACCGCGCGAAGGTTAGGACGAGTGAGGAACCAAGGAGTTCGGCGCGGATGCCACCAGGCTAGAACCGGGATGCACAGTCAACAGGTGCGTCATGCGACGTGTGAAAGAGGGGTACGGTGGCGGGGTTGCACCCTGTTGCACCCGGGCTCGGTCTGGGATCCGTTGCTGCAGGTTTCAGCTGATCGTCCAGATGTTGCTTTTGGCGGCGGCGGCCTGCAAGTTCACGGGTGCAGACTTGATGAGTAGGCGCCAACGGGAGGAGACAGACTCTGACAGAGAAGGTGAGTGCAAGGGGCGATCGGAGGATGTCGCGTCAATATGGGTGGGAAAGTCCATTCAGAGCTCACACCGTCAGCTATTCTTGCCCCGGCCGGGACGGTTCGCGGACGGACGCTGGGAGAACCGCGTCGCCAGGTCGATGCTCGCCCGGCGCAGGAGGTGCGTCCAGCTCGACGTCAGCTGACAAACACAGGGGATAATGGGTGTGCCGGCACGCCCGGGTCGCGATACCGCGGCGGGAGGGCCTGTTGGAATGCTCGTAGGCATTCGGAAGCTGGCATTCAAACCCGGCGCTGCTTCTGGTGCGCACGGTACATAACGCGCAACACATCCGCCCTCCGCGGACGCCCGCCGCGGTACCATACGCAGCCTAGCAGCCAAGTCAGCAGGAACAACTCGGCGCCCCTCTTCCCACGTGGACCCATAACTGTCTTGCCCCGGTACGCATATTCCTCAGCCCGCGCATCTCTTGCCCCGCCCAGCTGAACAGCCTGAACCTTCGCCCTCCTATCGATCCCACAGCATATACATCTCAGCCACCCGTGACCATGCTCGCCGGCATCTCGTCCAACTACTTAAGGCGCGGCGCCCTCGCCGCTGCTAGATCCCCACGCCTTCTCAGCTCGACCCGCCTCGCACCCTCCTACAACACCACCTACTCCGCCGGAATGAAGGTGCGCCCGTCGGCCGCCGCCACCAGCCCGGCCTGGGTCGCTGACAATGAATGACGTCACGTCCTCTGCCAGATTGTCGCTGTTCTCTACAAGGGTGGTAACGCTGCCACCGAGGAACCTCGTCTCCTCGGCACCATCGAGAACCAGGTCGGTTCCGCCGTGAACAGGCGTAGGCGCTCATTTCGGCTAACGGCTTCCGCAGCTCGGTATCCGTTCGTGGCTCGAGGAGCAGGGCCATGAGTTCATTGTAAGTTGTCGAGTCGGCCTCGATCGATCGCCGTTCCTGAATATGCCTTTAGGTCACCGACGACAAGGAGGGCCCCGACTCCGTCTTCCAGAAGAACATCGTCGATGTGCGTACACGTCGCCTTCTACGATCGTAAACCATCGCTCATGCTCTATGCTAGGCCGAGGTCCTCATTACGACCCCCTTCCACCCCGCATATGTCACCAAGGACATCATCGACAAGGCCAAGAACCTGAAGATCTGCATCACCGCCGGTGTCGGCTCCGACCACGTCGACCTCAACGCCGCCGTCGAGCGCAAAATTCAGGTCCTCGAGGTCTCCGGCTCGAACGTCGTCTCGGTCGCCGAGCACGTTATCATGAGCATCCTCCTGCTCGTCCGCAACTTCGTCCCCGCACACGAGGCACGCGTCATCTCCCTCCCACGTACCTTCCAATTTGCTCACCCAACCATTTACAGATGATCGAGCGCGGTGACTGGCAGGTATCAGAGGTCGCACGCAACGCGTTCGACCTCGAGGGCAAGGTCGTCGGCACGATCGGTGCAGGCCGCATCGGCTACCGCGTCCTCCAGCGCCTCGTCCCCTTCAACACGAAGGAGCTCATCTACTACGACTACGCCGCGCTCCCCGAGGAGGCCGCGAAGTCCGTCGGCGCGCGCCGCGTCGAGGACCTCAAGGACTTCGTCTCGCAGTGCGACGTCGTGACCGTGAACTGCCCGCTGCACGAGGGCACGCGCGGGCTCGTGAATGCGGAGCTGCTCAAGAGCTTCAAGAAGGGCGCGTGGCTCGTGAACACGGCCCGCGGCGCGATCTGCGACAAGGACGCGGTCGCGGCCGCGCTCAAGAGCGGGCAGCTGAGCGGGTACGCGGGCGACGTGTGGAACGTGCAGCCCGCGCCGGTCGACCACGTGTGGCGCACGATGAAGAACCCGCTCGGGGGCGGGAACGGGATGGTGCCGCACTACTCGGGCACGACGCTCGACGCGCAGGCGCGCTATGCTGCGGGCACGAAGAGCATCCTCGAGAACTACCTCAAGAGCCAGGAGCAGGAGCCGCAGAACATCATCATCGGCCTCGGTGCGTTTTGTTGCTGCCTGCATGTATGGGCCGTTGCTGATGGGTTTCATGAAATTTACAGAGGGCTATGCGACCAAGGCGTATGGCCAGCGCAAGTGAGCGCGCTGCACGCAGGGGTCGTCGGACGGTTACTCGCATATGTATTGAAACCAACATCATTGTCTTTCTGTACCAGTAGGGCACGCAGTCGTCGATCAAGTTATCACATACCTTGTACATTCGCAGCACCCCGCGACCCCCGCATACGTATCGACTGAAAACAGCTCATGAGCTGCGGTGAGCTTACGACTCAAATGCTAAGGCACGGCTATTTCGGTCGGCTCCCACCAATGAATAGGCGTCGATCGTTTGCGACCTCAGCCGTGGATTTGGAAGGACGCCGGGGGCCGACTGACGAGTACACGTACTAAATGCGCGAACCCCCGCTTGCGCTTCTCAGAGTTCAGGTACAGCACGGTATAACCATTAGCCCAATAGGAAGCCCGAAGATAGCAGCAAGGATACAAGGAGGGAGTACAACAAGAGGAGCATGCGGTCGCCGCTGGGTATTGACAAGCCGGCTGCGGCAGAACCAGTGCTTGTGGTGTCTGGCCTGGTGGTGCAGAGAATTGGTCAGTCAGTATGCGGACACGGGTGGAGCCAAACGGAACGCACGGAATGCCGTTGTCATCTGAGAAGGACGGACAGGTGTCGTTGCTGCTACCCTATCAGTCGCGAAGCGATACGTGAGTACAGATGCAAGCCGCTTTAATAAAGAGTGATAGACGTACGGTGGGGTTTGCGGGGCAGCAGACGCTGGAGCCGTCGTCGACACTGCCGAGCGCTGCAGCACTCTTTGCGCCGGCCCAATTTGTGAGGCAGTCGACACTCGAATAGCTGACGTTCCAGACGCCGAAGTCCTGTCCAAGAATAAGTAACAACTTCTTTTATGGGGGCCATTGAGCGCGGGCGTACAGTATAACCTGTCGCAAACGTGGACGGTGAGTTTTGAGGAGAGGTTAGTAGAATCAATCCCCACTCACCATATAGCGCCGCGTCCGATGGAAAGAAGTCGTCCGGTATTGAGGAGGAGGGCCATGCAAGGTCAAAATTGATGTACTGGCCGCCCCTTGGTTTTCGTTGCTTCATTCGCCACCCATTCGCAATCCGTCCAAAAGATAGCACTTACTTGTTTGGCTTCCCTGGAGTGGCTGAGCACCAGTCCCCGCCGTCTGGACATAAGTCTGTGACCTTGATGACCACGCTCTTCGTGACATTTGGTATGAACGGCGGTGTAGATGTGTAGGTATTGAGCAGGGTGATCTTGAAGCAGCGCCCGCATCCGGGGCCGTAAGCGGTACTGCTCCCGTACGCGAACTGGCTCATGGCGGCGGTGGGGTATTGGGTACTCGCGCCGGTGCAGCCGCATGATGCGATATAGCCATCAGGAAGGGTATAGTGGGTGAGTGTCGCTGTTCCATCCGCAGGGTATTCGATCCATTCCGTTGCGGAAGACAACCCAGAGAAGAGGAAAAAAACAAGCAAGAGCAGCAGCCCGGGCCGCAAGCAAAGCAGTAGAGACAGCATGTGCAGGTTAGATACACTACAAGAACGTCAGGATGGACAGTTCAGAGGGCGGGGCTAGCTGCGCTGGCCATGGTCGGGGGCAGAAGCAAGGTTTCGCACACGCCCATGCAGCGAGCGCAACGAGAGATCTCATCAGCCTCGGGCGGTTCCATGCCAGATTCTAGCGGATATTGCCTTTAGGCCGTACAAAAGTGTTTCCAAGCCAGATTTTGGAGGAGGGCTGGAGACAGGTCCCAGGAGAGAGTTTTCGACTCAGAGCCTGTGTTCGTCGACGAGCAGAGTGCAGAGAGGCGGGAGGAGAGCTGCGTTCCGCGGCAGCTCAATCAACGTTTGAGTTACCGAGATCATGGGCGCCTGCATTTAGCATTGCGGGCCGGGAGATGCCGCCGTACGTCAAGGACAGGCCTGCGACCGTTCCCGAGTCGACCAATCCTTTTGTCTTCCGCTCTTCCACCATCTCACCTTGCCCACCCCGCCGCTGTAGACATTCAGTACGCAGGCACGGCGTTTCGAAGAGTTAGAATACCGTGAGTCAGCGTATAGCAGGTACGCTTGCATGCTGTGCTTCTCGTAATGTGTGCAGCCACTTACCAGTTTCGTTACAAAATATGCAGCACAGTGGTCGACCAATGGCTCCTCCTCTGCCAACTGTGCGTCCCCGCACTCTTCCCCTCGAACTCATCCACTACATCATACAAGACGCGTGGCTCTCCTTGGTGGACTACGAGTGGGGTGACCGTTGGGAGCTGTACCGAGACGTCTCTCTCGTTTCCCGCACCTGGCGCGACACCATCGCCTCCATTGCCCTGCGGAGCGTGATGATCCAGACCCCTCTAGATCTGTCTATCTACCGCTTACTCGTGAAACGGCGCTGGGGCTTCGACCCGGAATCAAAGGACGTCGAACGGGCCATGCCTGCCGCGCGCGAGTATTTCCAGCGATCCGAGCTTCTCATCGTCCTCGCAGACTGGACATGCCCCAGTTCAACAGGTTTCTACTTCTCTACCGACTACGCGCGCATCCCGTGCTACATTCCGGCGTGCAAACACGTCTCGGTGATCATCAAGGAGCTCCCGTCCAACGACCGCTTCGTCCTCCCCTACCGCCCGCTCTTCGAGTTCCTCACCCAATACACCACCACGCGCGACCTCTATCTCCTCTGGACGTACACGCACATCAACAGGTATATCCTGCCGACCGACCCGATGCGTGGCGTGACGTACCTGCGCATCCACGAGTACCCGCGCTGCGTTTGCCACAACTACCACTATGCATCTGGGCACACCCACGACGTGGAGTGCTTCTCGTATCACCTCCCCTCGCTCTTCCCGGACCTCACGCACATCCATCTCGATACCCCATACATCCTCAAGTGCCTCTCCACGCCGCCGAGCGTCACGCGCCTCACGCTCGAGGCGCCCCCGATCCACTATCTCGCCACCATAGGGCATTTCAGCTCGCTCATGGGCTGGAACATCGTCTCCGCGCTCGCGCTAGGCCTCTTCCGCCGCGAGGACCGGGACGCGCCGCGGAAGAAGATCGTCGTCAACGCGGGCATGAAGGAGCCCACCGGCTGGACCCAGGCTCTTGCGGCCTGCGAGGCGCACGACGTCGAGCTTGAGCTCCGTCACGTATACCTCACCCCTGACACTATCTCGCCGCTTCCTACCCAACCCGTATTGTCGGATTCAGAACGCCCACGCGTTCCTCTTTTACATTCGGGTGCGGCCTGAAGGATCTCTTAGGGGTGCAAAGGGCTTCAATGTTCAAAGATCGTTTGTAGAGCGCGCTCGTTTAACGGCCGTCTGCGACTTGTACTATCACCAACTGTATCCATACTCTCCGGTCCCGGTGACTGCTCTGTTTGTTGTTAAGGATGTAATAGCATTCACTCGTCCATGTTGTGCGTCGTCGAAACCAGTTATGAATGAAGACGGATCATCCTACTGTAGTAGTATCCCTTCCCCGAATCCTGAATCCTGTTAAATACATTAGCCACACGGCTAGACCAGTAATATATACGCGTGCAGTAACTATGATAAAGTCCAAACATCAAGCAAGCAACACAAACTCCAGAGCAGGTCAGACGGGCAGACTCAGGGCAAGGCCAAGAACCGCGCCAGCATGCGCGGGAAGTTGGGCGTCCCGAGGCCAGTGACCGGGTCCCAGCCAGGCGCGGTCGGGAACCCGTCGGTGCCGCACGCGGGGTTCGACCCATCGGTGATGTCGTTCCACACGCTCGCGAACCAGTGCGAGTATATCTAGTGCAGCGTCAGCATGTGCGGTATGGAGGAATGAGGGGGGCGGGGACGTACGGCGGGGTTGATCCACCCGACGGGGCTCTTCCCAACGGCGATGCGCGCGTCGTTCACCGCGGTGAGCATCGCGGCGAAGATGGGTGCGGAGGCGGACGTGCCGCCGTTCGTCGAGAACACCCCGTCTCCGACGACCGTGATGTTCCAGCTACGGTTTATGACAGTGTGTTCAATGTCTGTCGTTCCCCTCGGTTCGCGATACACTTACCCGTTGGCGGCAACGTCGGGGTATGCGCGCCCGGTGCGGTTGAAGACATTGGGTCCGTAGGGCAGGTCTGCCTTCTTGAGGTACCGTGCCACGTGGCGCTCCTGGAATTTCGGTCGCTTGAACACGTTGGAGAAGCCTCCGCCTGAGGCGAATCCTGCCGTCGCGCTCTCCGGGTCGTAGGGCTACGATAATGTCAATGTCGTCCCTACAATACACTCAAAAAGCAATGTGGAGTGACTTACGGAGCTCCCCGGGTTGACTTGCGTTGCACCGACAGCCGTAAGATATTGGCAGACACCGGGGAAGTCAGGGAGGAAGTTGCCCTCGCCGTCGACTTCATTGCCGTCGTCATCCAGGCATGTGCCGCCGAAGGAGGGCCCGTCGTCGCCGGACGCGTACACAAAGGTGACACCCGTGAGCGCGACCTTGCCCATTTCATTACACTGGCGTATCATCTCGTTGTGCGGGCCGGTCTCTGAGGTTCCGTAGGAGATGGAGACGACGTTCGTGTGCGGCTTGTCCTTGCAGTTCTTGGCTAAAGTTGCACGCACAAATGTGAATAAAGGCTTTCGGGAATGATAGAAGAATGTGCTCACTGCCGATGTCAATGCAGTACTGGGTGTCAAATGCGGAGAGCAAATCGTCGACGAAGCCATCTGCGACGTTGTCAGCACTACCTCGGCAAAGGACCTGGCCGCGTGAGGCACTCACCCCGGCCAATCTGGTACAGCAAGACAGGCTGCGCAACGTCCAAGAGGCCCATCACGAGCTCGAAATCGAGGTTAGCCTCGCCAATGAGCCCGTCGTCTGTCTGAGTGACATTCTCTTTGCCTGCGCGTCCGTCGCCCCATGTCAATTTCTACAGAAATTAGCTAGCTCATGGAAGACTCACCGCCGTCGATGCTGATCAGCTTAGGCCGGTCGTTGAGGCGACCCATGTTGAATTTCCGGAAGAAGAGATCAAGATCATGGCCGTTGTAGTTCTGAGCACCCAATTCAACTAATCGTAATTTGTGAGCAGAGAGCTGAAGTGTGCGATTACACGTCGCCAGGATGAAATCTGCACTCACCTACGCCAATCGAGTTCTGTTCCGGGACTTGGAGATCGTAGTAGAAGTCATACAGCGCGCGAAGGCAATCCAGAGTGACCTGTTCGTCGCAATGGTCCAGCGGGTCTCCCGAGATGGTCTGTACAAGCTACATGAGTAACACATCTGGGCCGGTGTGGTGTTAGATAGGTACCTTGGCAGGGTACGACGCGACACCAGAAGGCTTGTGGGCACCTGAGCGGCGCGAGAGAGAGCGTCCCGAAACAGAGCGCTTAATGGAGGTGACCGGGCCCGAGGACCCCGCCGAGGTGAATTGGATGGTCGGCTTGACGAGCTCGACGTGTCTTGATACATGTTCGGGGAGGTGGTACCCGCGCTGACACGCGAGGTGCTCCGAACCGTCTTCGTGCTGGTAGACGTAGTACTCGGTCGCGAGGAGGCGCTCCGCCTCGGACACGCTAACATTCACGCGCAGGTGCATGCCATCTGGGCTGAACTGGACGCGCTCGGGGTGCACGCCATCGGACGCGAGCCACGTGTGTACAACATCAACGGACTCCTGTGAAGGCCGGAAGGTGTCGCGGACCTGAGCAGGTGTCCAGTGCATGCCATAGTTAGGCGAGTCGGGGTCTGCAATGTCGAGCAAGTATTCCTCGAGGTTGTCGATGTTTGACTGGACGAGCGCGATGCTAAGCGGGAGAGTAATCTCTGGGTCAGCACGGCGGTGAAGAGACCATCCTGAGGGCAATGAGCGGCGGTGTTCGTGGAGGACGCGAGGGGAGAGCTGAGGCTCGGAGCCAAGAACGGAAATAACGGCGCCGGCAAGGCAGAAGAAGGAAGGAAGAAACACCATGCCACCGAACAGCGAGAGCGGGCGAAAAGGAGACCTACAGCAGGGCATCAACACACTATCATTTTATAGCGGACACCTCATCGATACGATGCGAGCGTCGAGCGTTTACGCTGTGTACACGTTCCTGGGCGGCGGTCGCGGTAATGAGCACTGTACCCGATCATCTGTACTGCCACGGCGAGACGGTTCTGTTCCCCATATGGATTGGCTGTTGCTGCATCGCGACGCGGCCACCCGGTAGATCAATGCGCGCACTGCGAAGCTGACGTGCACACGACAGCCAGCGGAATCTGCGAGTCCTCAGGTAGGACTCTGTACTATTCATGAGCACGCTGAAAATGCAGATGAGCGATTACATCTCTCGTTGCATATGCCCTTCGACCGACATGCACGTACGAAAGTGTGTCATTCGAATCGATGCTTCTCTATATCCCGATTTCTCCGAGTCGGACTGCGGCACCCCACGATGTGGCATGCGCATCACGCCGGGAGTGCGCAAGCGATGGGCGCGGTTTCAGAATTTCCAACGTAAAAGGATAATAAGCGTACAGAGCCTCGCTTTCCTGTGCATCCTGTGTCTGATGGACGATGTACGGTGGACGGGGAGACAAATGCGAAGGGAGGAGTAGAGGAGGAACCTGGCAGTCCGGGAGGAACAGACACGAAACTAAAAGCGGTGGTACAGGCGGTTCTTCAAATTCTCTTGGCACTGTGGCGCGGTGGCGGTGCTCTCGCCCCTTTACCCCCCGTCGCATAGGCGCCTTGAACGCTCCCCGGACTTTCGAGTGAACGACTCGGGTTCGACGGCGACGCTGACCATCTGGATACACTCTACCTCGCCATATTTTAGTGTTGCGCAATCATAACTGACACGGTTAGCGCCGCAACATTACATCTTACCGGTTCCTCCGCTGGTACGTTCACTGGCAGGCATGTACTTATCTGCTCATCGGGTCAATTGGAGTCCTTAACAATGCCGACTATGGCGACCCAACTGCCTCCAAGTATGCAGAACACTTTTAGTCGAGGGTATATCAAAGCGGGCCCGGGTCAAAGCGACTGCCACTCAATTTTTTATATATACTCGTGGAAGTGCCTCATCGCCATCTCACTGACCACTTGGCTCTTACTACGCTCTGGCCACATCTACCCTTCTCTAATCATGCCTCGCAAAAAGATGGGAGCACATAGAGCGTGGGTTCCTGACAAAAGCTTTCATGAGTGTTTTGATTTGACCCACCCAATCCAGAGTTCCAAAAATCGCGCTTTCCGACATAGCCTCAACGACCTTCAAATTCCCTATCATCTATACCCCTAATAAGCTGGCTGCTCTCTACGTTGACGGGGAGAGAGTGGTACAGACACCGGAACCCAACAATCCAGTCCCACTCTGGCCGACCGTCAAGTCGTTTTGTATTTTCCCGAAAGATACAGCCATACACGTCGCCCTCGATCGGCAGCTCACACACGAAATCATGCCCCACCTCACGCACCTCCGGATCGAGTCCGACCAATACTTCTCAAGCACTGGCGAACGTACCCGCTCCCCCGAGCCGTACACGTACACTCTTCGTGCTGCCACACTCCCAGTGCTGCACACCTTGATGTTGCGGAACACCCTCGTCACCTTGGACACGCCGCTGTGTCGCCACCTGCGCTTCCTCCACCTCGGACACCAGGAGAAATATCCGTCTTGCCTACCCCTGGGTCGATTCCTCAATATGCTGGACGCCGCCGAGGCACTGGAGGAGCTCTATGTAGAGAACTACATCGAAGTCTCCGCCCCAGCAGGTCCCCACCCTCTGCCGGTAGTGTCCTTGGAGGGCCGCCCGCGGCTCAAGCGCATTCGGTTGGGCGACTCGCCACGCATCGTGTCGAAGATCCTTTCCCACCTAATCATTCCCCGGCACACCAGCATCGCGGCTGTTGGGTACGTCGATGAACACCCAGAGTTCGGTGCCTTCCGCTCCATTCTCCGCAACAAGACGGACAACCTTCAAATTTTGCGCACCACCGCAGAAATCAGGATTCGCGACGCCGACACGGACACTGACGAGCGCAGCCGTGTCATCTCTGCAATCACTCAATATGGAGACCAGGGCGCCGCCTTCGACGTGGAGGTGCAGCGCATTCCTTCCAGACGCTCCGACCCCACCTGGGAGCGCGACGGAAGGCTGCTTCATTCCATGGTCGAGGCCCTCAGCCTCTACCAGGGCTTCCCAGTGTATACCCTCAAGGTCACCGGTAATCTGGGGCGTGTGACGGAGAAGATGTGGGCCGCCGCGTTCGACCACTTCCCCGACTTGGAGACTATCGAAGTCGAAGACATTCAGACGGAGCGCACGGATTCTATATACGCCATCATCGCGGCGCTCGGATCCCGGTCGTCCACACGCACCGGAGTGGTCTGCCCCCGGCTCAAGAGCCTCAGCTTCAAAGGCCCAATGTACGGCATCCAACTAACGGCGGTGGTCTTTGGCTGTGTCACGCAGCGCACAAAGCATGGAGCGCTGCGGATTAGCAAGCTGAAGATTGATGTTACGGCTGATATAGCTTGGAATTCAGCTACGGAGTCGCTTTGTCGCCAGGTGCTGGGCGATTTTGCTGCCGTCGTCAACTTCACTGTGGCGCACGCACACAACTAGCGGCTCGAACTATCCGTGGCTCAATCTTTATTATAGAATGCTGAATGCTTTGTGTCAATGGGAGGTAGTTCGTCGCAATATGTGTCAGTGTTGTGTTGGTACTTACTATGATGTCATAGTATACTTCTTGAAGTCCTCTGGATTCCGATATGTTGTTGTTCTTGATCATCAGTCTGCATGAAGAGGAAACACAGGTACCCTATCTTCATGCAGGGGCATACGCCTTGGCCATTTTGGCCGGTGAGCGGCTGAACCCGTCCGAGTCTGAGGGTATTGTTCGTTGAGACCGAGTCGGGACCGTTCGGTGGCTGTGCACCCCTTAGAAATAGACGCCTGACACACACGGTCCGGTGTGCAGCGCGCCGCGACCTCCTCATCCTCCTCCATGTCCCATTACTCGCCGACCTCTTAAACTCACACATCTGGTCCAAAGCTGACAGAATATGAAAGTACTATACCCCACCTCGCATCATATACCCAGTCTTCCGGACGTGCATCTGTCTCTCAAAATCGCCCGTCATTCTCGCTGCTCTTCTTGCTCGACATGTCCTGGTCTACACCCTCCCCCTGGCTGGCGCGTGTTCTCGGACATCCCAGACGGGAACGAGTCGGACGACGACGACGAACCGCCACCGACGAGGTACCTGGACCGCTGTGCATGTGGACACGGAGCAAACGCGCACGGCGCGGACGCCTCAAACCTGGGTCATGAGGAATTCTCGCGGAGAGCAAGGGTCGCTGTCCGGTTGGACGAGCTATTAGAGGTACGTAGCCACATCAATGCTATTGACGCGTGGTAATAACGCAACGTCCTTTCTCTGTGACTATGTGCCAAAGGTACGTTCCAGCGTTCATCGTGAGAGTGTGCCGCTTCATACCGCCTCTCCAGGACTCCGGGAGACTCCTCGATTTCGAGTACTCGGATGAGGACATCGACTCTCTACGGAAGCAGCTCGTCCCCTTTGAGCCACAATCACCCGCTAGTTCACTCTCTGACGAGCTGGACGCGCTCGGTATGTCCCGCCTCTCCTTGAAGCCATATAGCCACCTTATGCCGGTCGCAGTTCCGTCATCGCCAGAGAAGCACCCCAAATCCCCTGCCTCCTCATTTTTGAGCGAGACGGTCGAACGTCCGACGAAGAAACGCCGCATCTCAGTCGATTACTCCTCCTTGAGCGAGCAAGAGGACGACGATGACGAAGAGGAGGAGCGACCGCTCGCCGCAGGCGTGCCAAAGCCATCCGAGCCAAAGGGACGCGGAAAGGGAGGCCGCGCGACCGGCGCAAGAAGCGGGAAACAGGTATCGAGCATGAAGGCGAAGGCGCAGACCGCCCCTGTGAACATACCGCCACCAAACGAAGAAGAGCGTTCACATATGCAAAGAGGGTCTAAAGGCGTGAACGGCCGTGGATCGCAAGTCAAAGTCGAGGACAAGATGGACGAGGGCCAGTTATCTCGTTTAGCCACTGGTGTCACGGTCGATGCATCAGGGCCAGCTTCTGCTACGGTGCGTGCGGGATCATAGAATAGCGAGAGGGTACCTCACCCGTGATCTGAACAGCCTGCCGGAAAACAGGAGAAGCAGGAGAAGGCTGCATATGTGGAATTACGGAAAGGAATTATACGAGTAGTCGCGGTCGAGAACGATCGACAATCACGCTCCTCTGTCATCCTGACCGGCCTGAAGACGCTTTTTCAGAAGCAGCTACCGAAGATGCCGCGGGAGTACATCGCGCGGCTAGTGTTCGATACGAACTCGAAGTGCCTCGGGATTATCAAGCGCGGGTATAAAGTCGTGGGTGGTATATGTTACCGCCCCTTTCCACATCGCGGGTTCGCAGAAATCGTGTTTTTCGCGACCGCGTCCATCGATCAAGTCAAGGTATGTACTGGCATTGTCTATTCTTCGAGTGCAGCGCCTGACGATACACACACAGGGCTACGGCGGGATGCTCATGGACCACTTCAAGGCGCACATCCGGCAGACGTACCCGGACATGATGTACTTCCTCACGTACGCGGACAACTACGCCGTCGGCTACTTCCGCAAGCAGGGCTTTTCGAAGGAGATCACGCTCCCGCGCGCGCGCTGGGCGGGGTACATTAAGGACTACGAGGGCGGCACGATCATGGAGTGCAAGCTGCTCCCGCAGGTCGACTACCTCCGCTGGCGCGAGATCACCGCCCAGCAGCGCGAGGCCGTGCTCACGAAGATCAGGGAGAAGAGCAGGTCGCACATTGTGTACGACGGCCTGTCGCAGTTCCAGGACGGGAAAGGCGACGGGGTCAGGGTCGATCCGAAGGATATCCCTGGGTTGAGTGAGTCGTGCTGCAGGAACACGGGGGGAGACAACGGACGCTAATGGCTGCTCGCAGGGGAGAGCGGGTGGACGCCGGACATGCAGACGACGTACGCAAGATTCGACAATAGACGCCACTGGATAGGTCGCTGACGTGTTTCCCCCCTGTAGTCCGGTGCGCCCGACGGGGCGCAACGCAGAGCGCGCCGCCATGGAGAAGCTGCTCAGCGACCTGCAGGGCCACTCCACGGCATGGCCGTTCCTCCAGCCCGTGAACGCGAAGGAGGTCGCAGACTACTACGAGGTCATCCTGCATCCCATGGGTACGTCTCTACCGCTCTTGAGAGGTGTGACAATCTGAATGCCGACTATTGCAGATCTGAATACGATGGAGCACAAGCTGTACACGAACCAATATACGGACGTGGACGCGTTCATCGACGACGCGCAGCTTATCTTCGACAACTGTCGCTCGTACAATCCCGAGGACACCGTCTATCACCGGAGTGCGACAAAGCTCGAGAAGTACATGCGCGACCGGATGAAGGAGTATGGATTGGAACGGAGTTCGAAGATTAAGAGGGAGGACTAGGGAAATCCGTCCATGGTAGACTCGAGAAGTTGTCTTGCTGATGCACTTTGTATTGCTGTCACAGTTGTTGTATCCTTATTTGCCTTTCCAGGTTTTGATTTTGTAGTACCTTTCTGCACGATGATATGTGCCGCCGTGGCGGGCTGTGGGCATAATAACTCGACGAATAGCCACGATTATTGCTCCATGGTGTCTAGTCTCTTGCCCCCCTGTGATATGTCGATGCGCCATAGATTTGGAGAGCGCACAATCTACACAAGAAAGGATTGATCCCGGGCGAAGTCACGGTACAAGTTGAGGCAGGACACTTAAGGTCCAACGGCCATCCTAGAAACATCACTAGTGGTATAACGCACAATCTATGGGAAGGGGTATAATCTTCGAGAAACAGAGGTCACGACGCATGCTGGTCTGGTCACCCTCATTCTGAGTGCAAAATGTCAAGGACTCATGGAGCCATCAAACAGGATAGGAGCTGCTCCGCCGCCCCTCCCTGGGCTGAGCCCGCTGCCAGCGCGGGGCATCGTGCTCCGGGTTGCGGTGCAAGAAGACGGCGGTCATGAACACGGACTGTGGAAATGAACGATGGTCAGCAACACATCGGCGACAAAGACAATCGCAGGAGACGTACGCAGAAGGTCAGGATGGCGAGACACGGCAAAAGACCCATGAAGTCGATCACAGCACCTGGCAGGGCAAAGGATTAGCGTGCGTTGAGGAAAAGAAGCATACGGGGATGTCCCACGCACCGAAGCCTACAGGTGCTCCGGGAAGGGTCGAGCGGAGTTGCGTGAACGCGAAGAGCGTTCCCATGGGCAGGACGAGGACCCCCGAGGACATACCCTTCCCGAAGAACACGCTTATGACACAGATGGCCATGAACATCAACGTTACGAGCCCTGTTTCGTACAAACCGTTAGTACGGTGCACCCTCTTCTCCGGTTTAAAAGTCTCACAAATGACGAGGACGATGAAGATAGCATAAAGCCTGACTACGGCGCCGCGGGTGACCTCAATGTTTTTGATGACCGTGCCGAAGCTGTCCATGTCATTGGTTGTGTTATGAAGCTGAACGCTGAAGCCACTACCCACCGGCGCGTAAGCACATGCGGTCGATGGAGAGCTACGAAAATAGCGCTTACACTGCAATGCCGGTCGTCTTCACGATAGCGATGCTGACAGAGTTATTTGTGATCGCCTCCTCCGCGAACAACACGAGTTCAGTATCATATCTAGGTAGTTTATCAGCATCTTTGCTCTGGACTGGAGAGATAGTTATGGCTCACTTGTCGAAAGGGTAAGACTGGAGCGTACGGTGCGTGTTGGCGTTCGAGATCGCAACGTTGGTCCGGAATGTGAGTGAACTCGATCGTCTGTCTGTGTTGTTCCTCTTCGCGAGTACGTTGCCGCCGTCGATGGTGAATATAGGGTCCGGTTTGACGTTGCTTTGCACTCGCGAGTCGGTAGGGTCTGTGATCAGTGTGTTCCTATATAATATCGATAAGCGACACCAAAGCTTTGGGCTACGGCTGTGAGGACGTACGAGTCAAAGTAGACGTTCACGTCAGGGCACCCGATTGACTCGCACTCGTAATTGATGATCCAATCCACAGTCATTTGCTGCCCTATCGGGTCCACGTTGATCATGTTCGCGGAGAGCTGGACCTGCGCAAGATCATCGACGCGTTAGCTCCATACTGCGCGACATTGAATGCATCCATACGATAGAGTCAGTGCTGCCCGGGTCGGCGATATTGAAAGTCCTCAAGCGGAATGCCCAGCCGATGGCCAGACTGCCGCTCACGATGATAGCGAGTAGGACGGCGCAGAAGATGATCCAGTGCTGCTTCATGCAGTGGTACGCGACGTCGTAGTAGTACGCGATCTTGAGCCCGGTCCCCTCGATGGCCACCGGGGCCTTTCTCGCGGCCGTGTCGGACTTGCCACCCGCTTGTGGCATCCGCGGACTCTTGAATGTGCCTTTCTCGTCGTGGACATCGTTGCGCATGTGAGTGCCGGCGTAGGGCAGCGACGAGACCACCGTGGTATAATACTCTTCCCGGAACGAGTCCGGGGTATGTACTTCTCGAGGGAAGGTGAAGCCGGAGCGGATGCGGTGGTGCATAGGAGACAAAGGTGCGCGCGCGCTGGACTCTGGGTGAAAGGGAAAAAAGTTAGATTCGTGCTCGGCGAGGTGTGGCGGGAAACGCACCGGTATGCGACATTGCGGCGGACGGGAACTTGTCCAGGCTGGTCGGTGCTGGAGATTAGAGGGTCTTGGATATCGTGTATGGGTACATACCCGTCACACACCGACACATCCTAATATATAAGGATGCCACCGTATTGATAGGGTTCAGACAGCACAGGTGTTACGCACGTCGCGATGTGGTTTTTGTCGAAGACCGCGACGCCGCAGAGCGGCACCCGCGCCCGAACCCATTGCACGTCGTGGGTTACAGGTGCTGGCATATCGGTAAGGCGCTCGTGAAAGACCTTGGAAGGAGGATGGAGAGAGGCGAATGTCGTCTCAACATTGATCAAGTCATGCCCAGACACTCCGCGGCGGCAAGGTGCCAAAGCGCTGATCTGTAACGTCCTTGGAAGGGCCTATGGACATGCAACTACCTGTAATGACACCGCGCCAGCCTCCAGGACCAAAGGAAAGATGAGCGTAGTCCCGCCACAGCGACACGTTGAACCACATGGGCTGCGCAATGCCCGGACAGCGTCAGGTCAACTGGGAGGGTTTCGACCTCCTGCGGCGTCCGGTACTGACAATCAGCGTCGATGACTTCTTAGGGACATCCGCACGTACCGGTGATATCGCGACCGGGCGCAAGTCAGACGAGCCGCCCCGGGATGCGCCAAATGTGGGCGTACGTGTGAAGAAGCGGTTCTTCCAAGCGCAGTGAGTGATCTTCAAGGATCTCTGCTGGAGCGGGCCTCAGAGAGCCCGTTGACTTGACGTTGCGCAGCGATGCGAACGTGCCGCACGAGAGGCAGTAACCAGCCTGCTTGATGAGCGTGCAGTAGCATCAGACGTTCCAGCTTGAATGGACCAGAAGGTACTGTGAGACAGCACCGTCGCCAATATGTTTTAGGCCAACGAATGCGGATGCCTATATTACTGCTGCAGAGGCAGAGTGAGCTAAGTATACGACGATGTGAAATGTAATATGCGAGAGTCCGCGAGCTCTGTACGAGGAACCACACACTGCAATCTTCCAATCTGCTGCCGCTGCTGCATCTCGCGCACCTGTGCTCATCGCAGGACCTTCGCATTCTTCGCGCGCCAGAACTCCAATGCCTTGTCCACCGCATCCACTACGGGCTTCATCGCCTGCAGAAGCGAGTCAGCACTGACCAAACGAAAACACGGAAAATGAAGCGCGCACAATTTTGACCCGCGCAGGGTCGACGCCCTCCTGGTGCGCCGCCCTGACTAACGCCTCGACCTTTTCGTGCGTCTTGGCGAGATATCCAACCATCTTCGCCGCCTTGGCGGCTTTCTGGGCGGGTGTGGCGGGGGCGAGCGTCTGCGATTCCGACGGGGGCGGGTATATCGCTAGCCAAAACTGCCGCAGAAACTCATTTGCGGCTGTCTGACACGTCGTCATCTGCCTGAAGAGGCCATCCGGGATGTCATCTGCGTAAATGCAGTTAAGCACGAGCGGTTGAGACAAGTGTGAATTGGGCACGCACGTTTCCGCATCTTCACGTCTAATCGCGAGGCGACGTTTTGTGTCATACTGACCAGCGCCGAGTCTGCAGCCTTCTTGTCCAGTTTGAGCTAAGAGCAGACCCCACTAAGCATCCCCGCGTAATGAATCTAGCTGTACAGCTTACCTGCGCTAGATTAGAAGACCATCCCGCCATGCTGGCTTTGGTCTGCTGCAACGCCTCTCTGAACGCCACTTGCTAGACTCCTAGTTAGCCCCGGAGTCCGATTAACAAAGAGAGCGCTTACCGGGCCCGCTGCCGCCCCATCTGTCGTAGAATTTGCCCGACCATCAAAGTAGCGCTGTCTGTCTTGCATATCTAGTAGAATGCCAGCAGACGCCTCGTTGTCGTGTAAATCTTCTAGGTCTAGTTGTGCGATGCGCTGAGGGTGGTTGAGTTGAGGATCTCGGGGTTCAGTCACGAAATGTGTGGACGCACCTCTTCACCGTTATCGGTCCTTCTGCGTTTCGATGCCGGACCGCCCCTGACACATAGGGTAAACAAGTGCGTGCAATGGCGATTAGAACAAGCTCACAATGCAGTATCCAGCAACCGAGTCGAGTGCTCGTTGAACTTGCGAATAAGGGGTAAGACAGCTCTTTGCTTCCCTGCTTGCATCGTCACGTCTTTTTCATTTCCGGTCTAAACGGCCTAGGTAAGCATGCACATATATGTTGTGATTAGAACCCGCATACCTCGTCGTGATCAACCGACGTGGCGCCAAGATCGATGAAGGTGTCAACTCGCTCCTCTCGCAGTCGCCGAGGCTCCAAGTCTATGTCTCGTTACAACCTGGCCACGGATGTAGAATACACGCACTTACCATCGTCGTCCTTTTCGAGGTATTTGTCGAAGATAGGATCGTCTTTGACTACATGTTGCGCGGCTGATGAACGGATCGACGCGCGGTGGGCATTGAACAGTCTTGACTGAAAATATCGACTCCAGAACTCGGCTTCCGACAGCTTCGTGACGGTTAATATACGTTATGTGATTATATGCGGCCAATATGTTATACCTTCTCAGGCACGTTGTCGCTATATGCTCTCGCCACAACGGGGAACTCTTCGAAGATGTCATGAACTAGTTGTGGCGTGATGACAATCTTCACCTCTCCGTCTACTGACTGAGGCCGTGGATCAACGAGCTGACCGGGCTTGCCCTTCTTCTGGCCTTCTGCGGCGGCTTGAGCTAATAGCAGATGCTTTCATCACATGTTAGAACGGAAAAGTGAGGTATAGACAAAGAACAAGGTTTCACTTCTCGCCCTTCCCAAAACTCGTTTTCGCTAATCTGCCCACCCATGACCAGCTCTCGGTGGAGTTGCGCAAGGTCGGGCGTGCTCAAGAGCACTTTCTTCCGAAGTCTGAAGTCATGCGTCGGGTCGCTCACTGGTGTCCCACGAGAATCACTCGCGACGGACGGCGCTCGCGAGGTGGAGGCCCGAGATAGTTGCGGAGTCGGTCGAGCCGGAGTTCCAACAGGTCGAGGCCTCGCAGACGTGGGCGTACCAGGAACGGGGGTAACTGCAGCCAGAGTCGGTCCTGGCGGGGGTGGGGCCGTACTTGTACGGTTATGTGCGATGATGTTCGTGAGTTCGGCCTCAAACTTCTCGCGTTCCGCGAGGGCCACTGCCTGAGGAGACGTGAAGGTGAAGTTGTGACCCGCTTCATCGCTCACAAGGCCAACTTTGAGGCGGACTTGTGCGGCGCCGACCTTGCTGCGAGAAAGGGCTTCGGAAGGCGGGGGCCAGCGGGGTCAGCGTCGCGTCGCGGGACGTGTTCCGCCACTTACACGCAGCCTCGCTGTGCGGGACCTTGACGGACGGTGCTTTGTCTCCAGCCTTGGTCCATTGGAGATGAGAAGGAGTGAGCTCGAGGAGGCCGGGGAGTTTTTTGTAGGACGCCTGAGCGGAGCAGACGGTGGAAGGCATGGCCGTATGGCCTAGCAACAAATGTGCGCTATCATAACAAAAAAGGTGGCGTTAGTCTCTCGATCCAGTGGCAGAGGTGGGAGCGTGGACGGAGCAAAGTCTCGCATCAGCAAAGTGTGCGAAACTGTGCATAGCAAGTCAGTGCTCGGCGAGGATTGCATTCCTAAACCGGCCGGTTAAACGCTGGCATTCGACCACCACACGCGGCCTACCATTGACGCGCTCGGCGAAGGAAGGCATACTCGCGGCCGCGCTCGGTGAAGGATGGCCATAAGATTGCCATGCAGGGGGAGTATATGCAAGAAATCGCCGCGCTCGGGGATGGAATGCCATCCTCCGCCGCGCATGGCAACGTATGGCAAAGGTATGCCATCACTGTAGCCGCCCGCGGAGCCGTACTTACTCGATATCGTAGTGTGAGCGAATATTAGCAGCGGCCCCGGGCGCGCATTAATCGGGAGTCAGAGTAAATTATTTGGGGTAGTTTGTACGAGTCTAGTGGTATCCTTAGGACTGATGAAATAAATGCGATGAGCTCGGAATGAAGACGTGACTGTTACCAAATCGAGGCATGTCGGCGGCGGGCGCATATATGGTCGGTCGATCCTCCCCCTCTCATGTCTTCACGCCGACTTCGACTTATCTTCACGCACCCTCGAAGCATCGCTGTTCGGCTCCCTTGCCCCAAACCCTGCGCCCTACGCCTGTCCTATAAAGTTCTCGGCGCTCTCGGTGTCCCTCCCATCGTCTCTTGTCTACACACCCCCATACCCGCTCTTTCTCCCTGCTTGAAGTCTCGCCGGACCTCCGTGCTGCAGTCACAGCTCTTGATACACTCTATCTGGAGTCCCGCATCATAGCTAGTGTCTCTTTCGAAGGTGAGTTGACCGGACAGGTGTGCAGCGCGGCGGTGAGTCCCTTCCAAGCACAGGCCTTGGTGAAACTGTAAGTCTTGTTTATTTATGCATATATGCGCGCGATATTGTGTGCTAACCGATGGTCTTGCGCCGCCCTGCTCGTAAGGTACGTGATCTTGCAGGCATCCGAACGAATCCTATCGTAGGTACAGCACCAACGTGCTTCAGTCCCGCGGGGTCTGGGCTCATCACAAACGACTGCCCCACACTGCTAGCAGCTGAGTATTTCCCTCGGTCCGCCTTCGCAGCTCCTACTTTATCAGCATTTGTATGCTTCGCTCGCGCTGTATGATTGAGTTGTTTTTCAATAAATCGTCATGTGTTATCTATTTCTATATGATTATAGCCCCGTGTGCCGGGGTCAAGTATAGTACTGTAGCATTATAGTAGGCATGCATTGGTGACCAGTTTACCTGCCATCACATTCCCGTGGCATTCTATCGCCATGAATGGCCTGACGTCGCCTTCCGTGACATTTCCTGCCTTACATGGCCGGGATGGCATATACATACCCGGCAGGGCAAAGGATGTCAGCGCTGGGCAGAGGGATGGCAATGCTCGGCAGGTAAATGCCATATCATCGTGTACCCCCTGCATAGTTCGGCGGAAATTTGGCTAGCAAGGTAGACATTGCATTGACAATTGGTTATGCATGTCCATGCCAAACTATACATACAGGTATGCAATGTTTCGCACTTTTTGCTGATGCGGACGGAGCGCGGCGCACTCGTGCCACGCTGGACAAGGCGCAAATAGGCGCCTGCGTGGCTTACCTAACCTCTTAGCGGTTGTGGGAGTGGCGCCCGGGCTTGATGCCAACGTCACCAATCCTATAGACTCACCCCACTAGCTTGGTCTGTAACTCAAACAATAAACCCCAATGACGACCCTGCTATGGGCCAATGCGTTCAAGTCGGCAGAAGCCTTTCAGGCGCAACACAATCGGCCGCTATCCAAGCGTGGCGGCACTGCTTCTGGACTCTGCGTATAGATATATATTTGCGGAAGTGCCCCGTCGATGCCCGTATCTACGACACAGCTGCCACTTGCTCGTTCACTCTTCCTCGCTCGACATGCAGGCAAATAAGAGCTCTCGTGCGTAATTCTATTTATTTCGTAAGACTGAAGGCTCTGACCCGTATTTTCTGCCGTAGCGTCAGCCAAGTACAATTTTCCTAAAGCTTGCGGCTCAAATTCTGTGGCCTACCAGCTTGTCGACGGGAAAACAGGCACCATAACACCGGCAACCAAGACTCAGCTGATCATACGAGATACACACGACGCCAAGGCGTTATGCATGAACGTTATGCACGCGGACACATGCACCGTCGGCCGCATCCTCCAGCGAGAAATGCCATACCTCGAGCACCTTCAAATCGAGACCGTGCTATGCTATCCCAACACCAACAACCGCATCCGCTGCCCCGATCCGATTCCATACCTCCTGTTTGCTGTCAGGTTCCCGGCGCTGCAATCCTTGATGGTACGCGACACCTGCATCACTATGGACACGCCACTGTGCCGCAACCTGCGCTTCCTCTACCTCGAGCACCAGGACAAGGTGGCGAACAGCCTTCATCTCGCAGACTTCCTTAACATGCTCCACAACTGCGTGGCACTCAAGGGGCTGTGGCTGGACAGATACATCGACGTCTCTCAGCCAATTGGGACCCGGCCTCCGCTGTCTCTAGAGCATCACAAGCAGCTCACGCACGTCCGGTTCAACGACGAGCCACACGTCGTGTCGGCGATCCTTTCTCAGCTGGTCATCCCCCCGCATGTCGCCATCGCGACCGTCGCGTACACTGCCAGCGAACCTCCGCCTTTTGCCTTCCACGCGATGCTCCCCGACGACACGGACAAGTTGCAGATCTTGCGTCATGCCACAGACATCAGGGTATGCGACACAGAGCGCCACGGCCGCGGCACCGCTGCACATATCCGCGGGCCCGACACCGATATCCCCTTCAGCAGGGAGATCCTCCCTAACCACGGCCACAAAGTGGCACGGGATCATGACGGCGCGCTGCTCCAATGCATGATCGCACATCTCGACGTCTACAAGGCCTGCCCTCTGCGGACGCTCAAGGTCGTCGGCAACCTTCAATACATGAACAAGACGATCTGGGCCACCGCCTTGCACCGCTTCCCCAACCTCGAAGTCCTCGATGTCGAGGACACCCAGCCTATGCCTTCGTCCTCATTGGACGTACTCCTCATGGCGCTGCAAGCTCGGTCGCCGGGCGCGGAGCAGCTATTTGTCATCTGCCCCCGACTCCAGCGCTTCCGCTTCGTAGGCAGGATCTACAGCGGCCGCCCATTGGATGCAGTTCATAGCTGTTTCTCAGAGCGTGGAGGTGACAAGTCTGGCACGCAACCGCTGCGCGAGCTGGTGCTTGATGTTGATCTGGACCCGGACACAGAATGGAGGCCGGCTTTGATTGCCATTCACGAACAAAAGCTGAAGTCTATCGTGGGATCTGGTGTTAGCTTGCGTATCGTCGCGCCGCGCTAAGAGTGGAAGAGTGGATCCTGGACGCTGAATTTGGGGACTTGTTCCGTGTTATCGTATACTAGAAACCATTGCACTCGGAGGGAGGCTCGCGAATATGTGTGATATGCTTGGTAAATTACTACTTGACCTCATGAGTCCTTATGCTGGTGAATATCATGGGTTTCCACATCGGATCGACAAAATCGCAGTTCTTGATCGCGTAGGCGCATCTCCAGACGGACACTACCGCTGCCTTATCGGGGCTCCCATATGTAGCATGAAGCCCGATGGCTAGAAGTGCTAAAAATAGTTGCTACGATATAGTTAGAGGATAGATGTGAAGACAGTGAGGGTAAAGTCCACTATCTCAGCACTTGTGCAAACTCTCAACCCAGAGCTTGAATCAACGTGTTATGCAAGACGACATCCATCCCCCCACCGCGTAGCTCAGCTACCAGCACAGCTTGCTGAATTTCAACCCTGCGTATAGCCTACTCCTCAGCCTGCGCCTCGGTCATCTTCACCCATAGTCCTCCCTACGAGAAAGCCGTATGAGTCCCCTGCAGTTGATCATGCACATTAAATCGCTTACCTTCGCGTACATGGTGAGGTGGCTCGACATCCACACCCTGTCCGTGCCGTCCGAGCCGGGCGAGTCCGTGTACCCCGGAGGCGGGATTGACGCCGGCGCGACCTCCGGACAGAACTCGATCGCGGACACCTGTTGCAGCAGGCGCACGAGCATGAACGACATCTCGTTGTATGCGAACTGCGTCCGGATACAGTTAGCATTGGAATCCGCACGCGATGGGGAGCGGAGGGGCGTACCTGTTGGCCGAGACAGATGCGCGGGCCGGCGTTGAAGGGGAGAAAGATGAACGGGTTGGGCGTGAGGTACTTCTGCACGCGCTCGTCGAGGAACCGGTCGGGGTCGAACTTCAAGGCTGAGGAAGATGCGGCGTCAAGCCCGTACTCCTGAACACAGAGACGTGCGCTTACCATCAGGACCCCACAAGTCCTTCCTGCGGTGCATGACGAAGACGGAGTAGATGCATCTCGAGGGGCATCAGTTTTTGACCATCTATATGTACAAGACGAGCGCGCTCACCTCATACCGGCAGGAACGAAAAGCGGCTTCTCTCCGGGAGTCTTGGACGTCAGGACAGTGTCTTTGATGGCGCACCGGACGTTCACGGGGCTTGTTTGAGGGGGTCAGCATGGCGAAACCACATAGTCTAGCTTCACTAGCACTCACACAGGAGGGTAGAGCCGCAGAGTTTCGTTGATAACAGCGCGCAAGAACTTCATGTTACGGACGTCATCGTACGAGGGCCTGCGGGTCGGGCCAACAACGTCCAGGATCTCCTCGCGGAGGCGTTTCAGGATGTCGGGGTGCTCTGCCAGGCGGTAAATCGCAAAGGTCAAGGTGCACGCCGTGGTGTCGCGGCCGGCCAGGAGAATGTTGAGAGTCTCGTCGTGGATGATGTTGTAGTCTAGCAGGCCTCGTATCAGCAACCGCTGGCACCCGGCGGAGTGCAACGTACCATCAGTGACCTTCAGCAGCTGGCTCAACAGCGTGTCCTCCTCCGACACCTTCCCATCGTCGTGGCCCTTCTCGTTCTCGTTCTTCTTCTGAATGGCATCGAGCAGGATCGGGTTGATGAACTTGTCGATCGCCGCCTTCCGCAGCTGCACCTTGTCCGTCCAGAACTCCTGCAGGGCCCACAGCCCCTGGAAACGCCCGCGCTTGGCCGACGCGGTCTGTGCCGACAAGAACGCGGACGCGAACTCATCCGCCGCCTCGGGCTTTGCCATCTGTAGGCGTGCGAGCTCCGAGTCTGGGGGGTACGGCAGTCCGGCGGAGAGGGAGCGGACGTCGCGGCCGAAGAGGAACTCCGTGGCGGAGTCCAGGGTGAACCGCGAGACGAGGTCCTGCGATCCCGGGGCGGACTTAGTTGAGAGGTGCGAATATGAGGAGACGCTGCGCGTGCATACCTGCCAGTCCACAGCGTAGCCCGACTTCATGCGGGTCCTCATCTGCCTGAGCGCATCCTGTGCGTGCCTGTGGATTTCGAGTAAGCAAGGGGGTGAGGTTGTCTCAGAGTAGTCATTCACCTATCAAAGATGTCAAAATGGCCGATTCTGTCTTTGCTGAAGAACGGGCGGGCCATGGAGCGATGGAACCTTTTCAATGCGTCAGAAGTTTGCAAGCGGCCGGAATCGCTGGCTGCTCACTTCCACATATCCCCTGTATATCACTGGCATGAGCGCAGCACTCTACACGCATGATCCATGAGGCTTACCGTCAGCGTTGAACACACCGACTCCCAGGAGACTCCTCATTTGGGAGCGGAAGGTGGGTCCTTTCTCGAAGCTAGTAAACTCGGTTGCCAGGATTGCCTACAGGTATAACATGAGTATGTGCATGCACAGCGCCGCAGCACTATAGAGCAACAAACCTTGATATGGTCGGGTTCAACGGTGAAGAACTAAATTATGAGATAGAAACCGTCAGCATGGCAGTCGCGAAGACATTTCAAAGCTCGCATACCCGTTTCATGAAAAACAAGTTGATCACGAATGTGTAGCCGTACTTCTCGCAGAGCTTGAAGAGGAAGTCCCCTATGAATCACGACCACAACATGTGAGTTTATACGTTTCTAGGGAGCTCTTGCGATATGACGCACGCGGGTAGCGGTTCTGGCTATCCGTTGTCTGGGCGTCCTTTCTGGCCGTCTCACGGGGAAGCTTCGCCCCATGAGCGGCAGCGGAACGCATCCAGCTGACTTTCCGCCAGACAACGTACGCCAGAAAGGATAGAGGGATGGACACGAAGACAAGGGGTACCAGAGCCCATGTCGGAATAGAGACGTCGAAGAAACGCCGAGAGACAAAGGCAGCTAGGAAAGGAAGGGAGAGCGGAACGACGATGTAGTGCAGGTGTTCGAGCAGGAAGCGCGGTCCGGGAGGCATGGTGTCTACGCTGGACTCGGGTGTTCTGGGGAACTCCATCCTGCTTCCCTAGGTCCGCCTTATAGCGCGAGTCGAGGAGACGGATTGTTGGGTGGACCGGGCGGACAACGGCTATACGAGCGCAAACCCGCTCCCGTCTATACTTATAGTAGCTGCGGTTGGGGAGATAGCGGTGTGAGTTGGTGCTTGGGTTTGCCGGGCACTAGACCTTTGTCCGGATGTTTTGCGCTGGGGTGTCTCCTGAAGAGAACACGTCCGCCCGCGTAATGGGGCTCTGTAGACCGGAGGCAGCTCCGAGTTAACTGAGGCTGAAGGAGAGGAGACCCCGCATTTGAGCGAATTAATCAAAAGCTCTGAGTCCTTTGATGACAGACCTGAGCGTTGGGGCAACCCGGATGTTGGCCGATCCCAAGGCGCTCACTGCATCCGGACTCCGCGCATGGGGCGGCGCACGTGGTAGTGATACAGCGTCCGTGGCTGTGTTTGCTGTCCAAAATGTGCAGGCGCCCGGGCGATCGACGAGTCATTCCCCCACTGACCACCGTATCTTGAGTACCTGCTCGGGCACCGGTTACCCGAAGAGATGTCGCTCCCTCCAGTAGAACGCCAGCTGATTGTCTTCGACTTTGACTGGTGGGTGGCGCTCGCGAACATTGAACGGACCGGTTTGACAAAAGATCACCAGGTCGCTTGCCGATCAGGACACGGATAGATGGATCTTTGAGGTCCTCGCCCCCAAGCTGCGCAAGAAGATGAAGGGGCTCAAGCAGGAGGTCCAGTGGACCGACCTTGTGTAAGGGCTTATTGCATTCCCAAATTGCGATCACACTATACTCATACGGAACGTTACAGTGCGCAGTCTCTCAGAGAATTGCACGAGCTCGGGGGTACGAGGCAGGAAATTGAGGATACCCTCCGCATCATGCCTTTCGTCAGTGTTCACGTTTCTTCGGTGCTAGGCATGGCTTGAAAAAAATTCCAGCACCCTGCGATGGTCCGCGGCACCACTGCGCTCAAGTCGCGCGCAAAGACGACGTTCTTCTGCCTCTCGAACGCCAACATCATCTTCATCACCACGATCCTCAAGGCATGTTCCCCCTGCCTGCCGCTCCCACCTCACCCGCTGACAATTTCAACACCACAGTCGAAGGGCCTCGACGAGCTCTTCGATGAGATCGTCACGAACCCCGCCGAGTGGGACCCCTCCGGGCTGCTCAAGCTGCGCCGGCGCGTCGACCCCGCCGGCCCCCAGCACGCGTGCAAGGTCGGCTGCAGCCCGAACATGTGCAAGGGCGACGAGCTCGATGCGTTCCTCGCGCGCCACCAGCCCGCCTTCGACCGCATCGTCTACGTCGGCGACGGCTCGAACGACCTCTGCCCCGTCCTCCGCATGCGCAAGTGCGGCTCTGGTTCCCGCTAACTGGCGTGCTGTGTACTGATGTTTCTTTGTTCAGGCAGGATGTGGTATTCTGCCGGCGCTTCCGCGGGTTGTACAACCTCATCAAGCCGTACGAGGAGGAAGGCCGTCTCCCGTGCCAGGTGCGCTACTGGACGGGCGCGTGGGAGGCGGAGGAGCTGCTCGACCAGCTGTAGAGTAACCTCCTAGAAGAAGAAACAAACAAGAAGGGATGCAGCTTACGACTAGATGTAAACTAGCTACGAAACGTCAACTTCTCCTTGAAGAACTTGCGAACACATAGTACCAGCAGGCACGCAGTAAAAATTGGTCTCAGAGCAAGGCTAACATGTGATTTGTGGTGCGAGACGGGGTACAGCCATGACTGCGCGATTGTACATCATTGTGAGAGGAGACAGAGAGATTCAAAACAGAACAGGAGACGGAGGGTCCGTACCAGGCTGCGGCGACGCGAACCTGCACGATGGGAGCCGGGCCATCGGGGGCGATGCGAAGACAAGCTACACATTTGAGTATATACGTGGCAAGAGGATAAAAGCGAAACGGGGCGAAATAGGGAACACGGACAAGAGGAGAAGATGCACCGGGCAGTACAGCGGAGTGAAGTAGCGAGAGTCGCAGCACGAAAGGGAGAAAGAAAAGGGCGGCGGCGTTCAAACAGCAAGAAAACACCGTCCTCGCGCGCAGGCTATCAGTGAGCGCGCCAGTTCGTCTGCAGAAAGCGCTCCGAAGCAGCACGACGTCCGGGGCCGACGTCCAGGAGGGATCACTGGCTCCACAGCTCCATCCCGCTCTTCCGCCGCGCCTCCTTCGTGGTCGCCTGCGACGGGTCCGGGCCCGCGAACGGATTCCGCTGCTGGTTGTTGTTCCCGATCGCATGTCCAGCGGGGACGACGCCCGCGCCATAGAACGACGGCGCGACGGCCTGCTGCGGGGGCACGACCTGTCGCGGTGCGCCGCCCTGCGCCTGCGCGCCCCCCGCCGCGGCGTTGTACGGCCCAAACTGGTCCGGCTGCAGCGGCGCGTACATCGCGCCGAGGTCGTTGCCGCGGCGCTCCGCACCGTCGAAGCCTGAGGCCGAGCCTTGCCCGCCCTGCTGGTTGTACGTCGCGGCGTACCGGTTGCCCGCTGTCGTCGAGTTGCTGGCGTAGGCTTGTGGTGGGCTCGGGATGACGCTGCCGCCGGGCGACGCGAAGAGGTTGCTCGCGGGGTCCGAGTGCGCCGCGTTCCGCGCGTTGGACAGGATGACGTCCCGCCGGTCCTCGTCGACGACCATCGCGTTCGGCTGGTACGAGTGCGCGAGGTTCGACGTCGGAGGCGGATACCGGCCCGCCGCGCCACCGCCATGACCCCAGCTGGTCAGACCTTGCGCCGCCGCGATCTCGGCCTGCTGCTGCAGGAACTCCAGCTGCGGGTACGGCTGCGCCGCGGCAGCTTTGCCTTGCTGTCTCCGCTCCCACTCTTTCAGCGCATCGTCGCGCTTCAGGACTGGGGTGAGCGCCTTGCGCCCGCCGATAACGTCCTGGTTCATGTGCTGCAGGCGGGCGAGCGCGGGTGGGATGTTGTCCATTCCATTGTGGATGGTGTTTGACCGCGCGCGGGCGTTGCCGTAGTACGACTGGCCTGGGGGCGCTGGGTTCAGCTGCTGTGGCACCGTAAACCCTCCCCCTCCTGTCGACTGCCCGGCGTAGTGCGGGACGTCCGTGTTGACGTTCAGGTGCCCGTGTGATGTCTGGTGTGTTAGGCCGCGATGTCCCGCCGTGTGCGTGGGGGGCGAGGCATACTGCTGAGCTTGCGGTGGATAGTTGTTGCCGCTCGCTCCCTCCTGCGACCCGCTGTACGACGACGAGTGGGACTGCGCGGAGGCCGGCTGCAGATAGGGGTTCCTGAAGACGTTCTGCGCCGCCTGAGAAGCCGCCTGTGCCTGTGCCGTATACGCCTGGTGCTGTGCCAGGTGCTGATTATACGACGCCGCGTCCTGGTATGCGCGTGTCCCCTTCGGCTGCGACGGCACCAGCCCGCCGTACGGCCGCTTCGCATTAGCGGCGTTCTGGTTCGCACTCGAGTTGGAGTTGGACGACGTTCCGGGTGCGCTCTGAGACGGAGCAGGGGTCGAGGCCGAGAGGGGCTGCAAGACAAGGATAGCTCAGCTCGGCGAGGAGAAGCGCAACAAAGTATAGAACCACTCACGCTCCAAGGGCCCGTCCACTTCTCTGACGTGATGAACGGATGCTGACGCGCTTGTTGCGGAGACCACCGCTCGATCGGGTTCATGTTCAGCAGGCCTTGGACGAAGTCGATGAACGCCGCACGGTTGTTCATTTCTGCCGCACCGAAATATAGTTTGAGAACCCGGTCGGCGCACCGAACGCAGTCCACGTACCTTTCTCGATCTCGTGCTGCTGCCGTGATGTCGACTTGAACGACGGCATCGGTGCCTGTCGGATGATCTCGGGCAGCGAGGTCGCCTTGAAATACTGCTTCCCGGGCTGCTCGTTCGTGTTGTGTTCCCGTGAGTACTGCTCCAGGCTCTTCAGGCGGTACTTCTTGTGCCCGAACTGGTCGACGATCGTGTCAAAGAACTGGCTAGTCTGCTTCCCCATGTCGAGCATATACTGCGGTGGCAACCTAATACACAAGATAAGTGATGTGGCGTGGCACGCTGTCGCATATACGCACCCTAGCATCTCCACGATGCGCGTAATCTGGTTATACTCGCTCGTCCCCGGGAAGAGGGGCAAGCCGAGGAACAACTCCACCGCAATGCAGCCCAGGGACCACATGTCGATTGCGGCGGTGTACGGAATGCCGAGGAGCACCTCCGGCGAACGATAGAACCGTGATTGAATGTAGGTGTAGACGGTTTGTCGCTCGTGACACGCCGAACCGAAGTCAATCACCTTGATTTGTGGTGATTGCAATCTGAAGACGTCATATAAATGTTCAGGCACAGCAGCGAGATGCATAGACCAACGAAAAACTTACGACTTCAGCAGGATATTTTCAGGTTTCAGGTCGCAGTGGATGAGCCGCGCCTCCTTGAGCACCGTCATCGAGTCCAGCAACTGCGCAGTGAAGACCTTGACGAGCTGCGTGCTCAGTCCTTGGAACTGGTTCTGCTTGATCAACTCGTAGAGGTTCGAAGACAGCAGCTCGAAGACGAGACACAGATGGCTTTTGTGGATGAAGGAGTCTCGCAATCGGAGGATGTGGTGCTCGTCATTCGGATCGCATTGGTTGTTGAGCTAACTGAGGTGAGCATATACGCGGATGACGATGAAGCACACAACGCACCAGCTCGAGTATCGTGACCTCCATCATACTCTGATTGAAGTACGCGGGTTTGTTCTTCACCACCTTGACCGCCACCACCTCGTGTGTCTTCATATTCTGACATTTCACTACCTGGCCGAACGTCCCTTGACCCAAGATGTCTAGAATGAGGTACCTAACACGTGAATGCAAGGTTAAGCCATTTCCGCGCCGGACATTGGCAGATAGACGCACTTGTGACCGTCGTCCGTGCCCAGCCAGTCGTTCACGTAGAGGATGTAATCGTAATCTTCATTGTCATATCCGTCGTTGTGCACCGGTTTGCTCGGCTTCGTGAGAACGCGACGAGGGTTATGTGTCGACTCGTACTTGAACTGCGGGTTGCAGATGTGGTACGTCTCGACGATATTCGTCGTCAGCTGCTTTAGCGGCTGCGGGCGGTCGTATAATCAGCATCCGGCGATAGGGCTTGTCTAATAATGACACGCACGGTCATCACGGTCCCGCTGGCGTCTACCCGTCGTCCAACCGGCTGGGGAATGAATGGCCTCAACTCCCGTTGATCACGTATACGTCTCAGGCCAGACGCTCTGCGCTTCGGCGGTGGTGGTTCCACGGTCATAGGTTGGTGTTCTTGTGCGAAGAACTGGGCCGAACCGTGCGGAGAGTGACTGAACGACAAAGGCGTCGCCGGTTGCGACACGGATGTCTGGCGGGGGTGCCGTTGCGCTGAGAGACTATTGTTGGAGGGCGCAGGACTTGTGGTATCCGTAGAGTAGCCGCCGGAGTAGAGGGAAGACGGTCCACCCGAATGTGGCGAGTATGCGGGTACTGGCGGCGAGACCGCCTCCCGCTTGACCTGCGAGTGCGAGCGCGAATGGGTTTGTGATTGGTAACCGCTCGTGGCGAACGGTTTCTGGTCCGTCGTCTGGTAGCCACCCCCCGCAAACGGCTTCTGCTCGCCTGTCTGATACGCACCTCCGATGAACGGTTTCTGCTCCGTCGTGGGCGAGTACGGGTAAGAGTTCGATGACGGCGAGGAGTACTGCTGTGGCGAATACGGGTCGAGCAGATTGTTGGATTGCGGAGCCCTATGCGGGGACCGGGGGGCCCGCGACGAGCTAGAGTCGTGCTGCGTTTGGCTTCTCTTGGGCGTGTGGATCGTAGGACCGGCGTAATAGGCATCCTGATACGCATCAGCAGCACCCGTAGACCCGGCCGCGTTGTTTCCTCCACCCTGCGGAGCACCGGGGTAGGCAATGGGCGGCGGATAGAGTGATTGCGGAGTGTGTCTCTGGCTCGTGTCGCCGTCTACATGGAACGCACCCTCCAGGTCATCTTGAAGATGATGCCGGCGTCCCCTCGACGAAGCGTTCGACGAGTTTCCCAGCGAGAGACTGCGCGCCAGTCCACCAGTGGAGTACGGGGATGTGTTGAGACTGTACTGCTGATCTTCATCGAGGAGCTGGTTGATGCGGGGCTGCCTTGAAGAGCTTGAAGGCGGCTGGTGGATGGGCGGCAGACGATTCGGTGCTTGTGGTGG